TTTAGAAGTATAAACCAAAACCATAATGGCCTATAATTGTAAGTGTGCTAGTAAATTCAGGGTCAAGTTAAGTAGCTGCCAATTCTAACATATCTGTAGATTCAGATGAATGGCAAACACGTGGACCTTCTTCTTCCTCAGGTTATTCTTCAAAGACGAATTCTTCATGTTCTTCTGAGAATGGAGAACGAAGTGGGGATATTCTTGGAATTGGGGTTTCTTCAAAATTGAATTATTCTTCTTCTTCTTCAGGCAATACTACATTTGGACTGACAGGTGGGAGTGGTGATTCTTCATAATTGAAATATTCTTCTTCCTCTGGAAATAGTACAGCATCAGGAGTAACAGGTGGAAGGGGTGTTTCTTCGAAAATGAATTATTCTTCATGTTCTTCTGGGAACACTAAAGGATCAGGAGAAACAGGTGGAAGTGGAGTTTCTTCAAAACCGAATTATTCTTCTTCTTCCTCTGGGAATACTAAAGGATCAGGAGAAACAGGTGGATTTGATGATTCTTCTTGATCTTCCTCTGGTTAATCAGGTGTTGGGATTGGTTGTTCTGGTTCTTCTCCTGGGATGGTCCATTCTTCTGTTCCCTCTTCTGCCACTGTTGGTTAGTCAGGTGATTCTTCGGTACTTGGATTAACAGGTGGCTCATCAGTTGGACCTTCTTCATCTTAAGGTACTATAGGTTCGTCTGGTGTTGGTTTGTCATCTGGAGTAGGTTCATCTGGGGTTGGTTTATCATCTGGAGTTGGTTCATCATCTGGTGTTGGTTCATCATCAGGAGTTGGTTAATCATCAGGAGTTGGTTAATCATCAGGAGTTGTTGGGGGTACACCTTCTTCTACTGGCTCTTCGGTAAATTCTTCACTTGGGAGTTCTGAAGGTACTTCTGGTACAGGTTCATCTGGGCATGTAGGTTGGCATGCTGATTAACATCCGGATTGAATAATCTTGAGATCCTCGATCTTACCTTTGACCTTGATGACTGTAACTGGTGATTGCTAGCATTATTAGTGAACATTATTCATTTATTTAATAAGATAAGCACACAATTTTGTTAATGTTTCTGTGCATTCTTCTCTTTCATGTTTATCTTGATTATTAATTAAAGTTGTTACCATGAGATTGCAATCCTTGTAATTTGTTTTCTAATTCAGAAAGCACTGGTGGGGATATGAGATCCAAGTCTTTGATCTTATCAACCAGCTACGAATACTTTTTGTGTTTAATTAAGTGTTTCATTTCAGTTAATGTTTCAATATGTGAAGGGATACGCTCTTTATTCTCCAAAACATTCTACCATTGAGTCAAGGTTTATTCCAACTCATCGAAGTGTGATCGGGGAGTTTGACAATTCAATTGCGAAGTGTCTAATGCATCTACTTCTGCTAATGTATGTGACATCAAAGATGCCTCGAAATTCAATGCTGCTGCGGCCATCAACAGCACAAACAGGGCATGCATTCTCATTTTTTTAATAAATATAATAGTTATGCATTCAAAACGGATTATTACAAATATTGAATATTTAATATAAAGACCTCCCATTATTATATGAGTTGAAAAAGAAAGACAATAACATTCTTTGGCCCTTGTATAAGCTAGAGATTAAGAAATTGATATAATAAGGATAGATATAAATATAGTCCAAAAACATATTATCGTAAGTTTTCAATTTTTTTAAAACAGGTTTGCTACCAATTTATGATTTATTTCTTTAAAGAATTGATGTATTTTCCTTTGAATCTTAACATTACTGATTTATTAATCGTTTCCTTTAATAATTTTCAGATTTTTTCGATAGGATTCAATTCAAGTGAGCACGCTTGTAAAATATTAAATTTAACTATTCAAAATAATAACTGCTCTATAAGTTTAATATGATGTATTGGACAATTATCAAGAATTAGAATAAACCTTTAGTTTCGGTAATATTTCGTTGTTTCTATATTCAACTTTTCGAAAAATAAGGCAAACACAAAGTAATAAAAATTAACTAAATTTGCAAATTTAGTAACATAGAACCAATACGAAAAAGACATTAAGATTATACCTCTTATAATTAACTTACTCATTTTTTTAAAAGTTTTTTAATTACCTTCATCTAGTTTTACTTGTCTGAGAGAAAGTAGTTTCTTCAAATTAAAGTAAGTTCCCTCTTTGTTGTCATAGCATAATAGCTAAAGAAACTATTCCTTTTATTTCTTAAGCCTTTCAGAACGAAAATAAGCTTGGCCACACAAACATATTTATTAAAAGTGATTCTATTTTCTCTTAAATATTTTCACAATAGTTATTTTAATTGCGTTCTGAGTTGTTCTTGAAAATAATGCTTAAAATAATCAAAATTACTTACTTGACCCCTTTATCTCCAGAAATCCATTCATTTTGGCTGTTCTTAATATATTATTACATTACTAATTTTTATTATTTTCCTTTAATTAAATGAAACATTCTACTTACAACAAAATATCAAATTAAAATCAATATTGTAAACAACTCATTGACTTTATACCTAATTTCCTACATTTATAGATTTATTGTAAAATATTAATTTTAGGATTGGAAGATGCAAAAAAAATTAAAGGATCATTAAAATCAATGTTTACAGTACTGGCATTAAAAGGTTGTATTACATCCCTAAATTAAATTCTCTTTGAATAACCATCAAATATTTGCTTAGAATAGCTTTAAGTACAGTTTTTGTTTGAATGTCGTCTGATTTTAGAACTTCAAACCTGACGAGGAAAGCAAAAAGATTGAGTTGTTTTGGGAGGTTTCGTAAATTGTAGGATAAGAACAAGTTTTAGGATATACATCAATGAAATTGACAAATAAGAATGATTAATAAATGTGCAGAGCTCGAGTTCTCCCAAGGATATTTGATCGTATATTGATTTAGCTTTCAAAGCAAATGCTAAAGATTAGAAGCAAATCAATTTCAATATATGTTCTAATCTTTAGCAATATTATCTGTGATTTTATTATTGGTTGTAATTGTGTAAAAATAATAAAATTAATTCAAATCTTTGAAGTAACAGTTACCTATCTTAGATTTAATTAAAAAATGGATAGATAAATCTTTGATTTTAAATGTTCTTCTTTGATTAACTTTGCCATTACTTATTTAGTTAAAATATATGAACATAAATTTAATATGAATCAATTAATAATATGGTGTAAAGGTTCTTAGGTTGATTATCCTAGTGTTTACGCTTACAAATAGTAGAATTTAAGAATTCTTAGCTTAATAGTGAGCTAACGTCATGTTACGTTAAATATTTTGTGAGATACAAGCATAATTTTAAATGTTTTTACAGTATCTGTATAATATTCAATAAATTAATTATTCAAATGGCAGAACATGAACATGAATTTGAGGGCCACGAAGAGGAATTAGAGGCACCAAAAGATTCATTATGGAGAGATGAACATGAAATGGAGAAATCTGCAAACATCGTTTATTTTCTAACCTTGGGAATTGTTTCAGGGTTAATATTGAGAGAGATCAATAAAAAGACAAAGTAATGGAAGTGATATTAAGCTAGATTTCCATATTCTCCTATGATTTTATCATTAGGAATTTTAATGGGATTACTTTAAAAGAGTTTGGGTTACGTTGGAGAAAGTGCGAGTATCTTGTCAAAAATGCATCCCCACTTAATAGTGTTTGTGTTTGTTCCTGTTTTATTATTTGAGTCAGCTTTTAATTGTGATTGGTATACTTTCAAATATCAGATGGTTAATATTTTACTATTAGCCGGTCCTGGTTGCGGTTGGGTATTTGAGATTATAAAATTAGGGTGCAATTCTTTTAGGAGCTATATTTAAGATGGTTCTACGATATGATGATAATGATATGACATGGTATTAAGCATTTACTCTTGGTTCTGTTCTATCAGCTACAGATCCTGTGGCAGTGGTTGCTTTACTCAAGGAGTTAGGAGCAAGTTTGGCATTCAATCATTTGATAGAGGGGTATTTGTAACTTTAATAAATTTAGAGAAGCTTTATTGAATGATGGTGTAGCAATGGTATTTTTTATATTTTTTAACAAATTTTCAAAAGCAGCAAGCGGTAAAGGGGAGGCTGTGACTGCTGGTTAAGTCGTTCTCAATTTTGTAAGAAATTCATTAGTAGGACCAGCCTTAGGATTAATATTAGGAATATTAGCTGCTTTATGGACAAAGAGAATTTTGGGTGATGATATAGAAGTAACTTGGTTGACTTTTGTATTTACGTATTTGACATTTTATTGGGCAGAATTTTGCTTTTTTAAAACTAGTGGTTTACTAGCAGTGGTAGGTTTAGGTTTATTTTGGAGTGCCTTTGGAAAAACTAGAATAAGATCATCGGTAGAACATTCTGTACACACTGTATGGGGATTTGTCTAATATTCTTGTGATACTTTAATTTTCTTATTGGTTGGAATTATTGTTGGTACTCAAGTTATTGAAGAGACATTTATTCATAAATCTGATTATATTAGAATGATAGTGTTCTACTTTTTTATGATTTTGGCTAGATTTATCATGATATTGACATTCTGGCCATTTTTAAGATGCTTTGGATATCCTATATCAAAGTCTGAGTTTATAGTTCTTGTATATGGTGGTTTGAGAGGTGCCTTAGGTTTAACATTATCTTTAATGGTTGGATGTGATGAAGAGCTGCCAGCTAGATTTAGACATTTGTCTGTTTTTTATGGAGCAGGGATGGCAGCAATTACAAATTTAATTAATGGTACTACTTGCAAGGCTTTGGTGCAATATTTAGAGATGATTGAAAATCCAGTTGTTAAGAAGAAGGTGTATAAGAAATACTTGGAAGAATTGATAGTAAATTCATAAGATAAAATGAGAGAGTTAGAGTCAGATTAGTTTTATAGTATGGCAGATTGGAATTAAGTGAATCAATTAATTGGTTAACCTAAATTCATAGAGAAAATAGAGAAATTAGAAACTGAAATAAAATACATGATAGGCAGTAATAAGGTGTAAGCAAATTCTACAAACTTATACGAAGGATTAACAGATCAGGAAATCTTTGGAGAAGTCAGATACAGAATCTATCGTATTATGAAGGGTTTGTATTATGACAAATTTGAGTATGGATTATGTGAAGAGGACACAGTTCGATTGTTGGTTGAATCAAGTGATATAGGTTTGGATCACACAAAGGCAATTTTAAATATTTGGGATTAGCTATATAAGAATTTCTTAAATTTTAGTAGTGTGAACTTTTTCTTTAAAGTGAAGGAAATGCCACTTATTGGACCTTTCGCTAGAGATTATATGATTAAGCATTTAGGATTTGTTTATGATGTGACCACCACATTCTTATCTTGTGCAAGTGAAGCATTTCATTTAACTGGAAGTTTCCCTATGAGTAAAGATGCAGTCAGAGTTGTTATGGAAGAACTTAACAGGGAAATAGAAAAAGCAGAAGGATATTTGGGTATTTTAAATGATACTTTTCCAGAGATTGTTAGAGCAATCTAAACTAAAAGAGCATCACATTCTATTTTAACACATTAAAGACATTATCTCGATGATACACAATAGAATGGATTGGTAGATGAAAAAGAATATTAATTACTTAAAAAAGAAATCAATACTAGATTGGTTGATTTGGAAAATCATTAATTTGATATGGTATTACCATCATTCCATGTCTTGGCTATGGAATTTCCTATTTTTTCAGGCCTTGTTTCTACAGACTTAGATAATATAATAAAGAGTGCTTATGAAAAGAAATTTGGACCTGATGAAATCATATATGAATAAGGAATGACATGTTAGAATATCTATATTGTGAGCAAAGGTAATGTTGTGGATGAATTCCAAGGAGGTTCAATAAAGAAGGGCTTAGGATCTTTAATAACATATACTAATCTTATAGGTGATGGAACTTGCATGAGTACGGCTAAGACAACTGCTGACTCTCTGCTTTATTCATTAAATCTCAGAATTCTTAAGGATTTGATGAATAAGAATCCAGATTTCGAATTTAAGATATATATTAATTCTATTGGTAATTATACAGATTATTCTTAGAATATTTAAGAAAGATGTATGAAAATTAGTCTGGGCCTCTTGCAAATTTAGAAATAAAGAGGTTACTAGATTTCTTTAGAACAAAGAGTAAATTAAAAAAATTTACTGCAAACTAAAAATGTGATTTTATTTTTGGTGGGTATTTATTTAGGGGAGAATTAAAGGACATCAATAATAAAGTATATTCTCAATATAAGTAAAATATATGTTCTATTATAAAGTTATATACCTCCTCAAGATACTGAGTGTTTAGTAACCAAAGATTGCCAGTGTTTGATTTTTGAAGATTCGGTAGAGTCATTCAATAATTAAATGCTAAAACAACTTGATTTAGATCCTCATAAAGACTAATAGATTCAAGAAAGATATTCATAGATTAAGCGTACTTCTATGATGGATAAAAGTAAACATCATTGATATTATATCATTTATATATATATCCCAAAATAGTTTCAATTATCGAATACTGATTTTATTTACATACATTTCCTATGGATAACGGCTCTGCCCAATTCCATTTTTTGCTTCCAGCCTTTCCTTTATAAATATATTCAACATATCCCCAATAATGAGACGAATTCCTAGGAACTAGTTAATTTATTACTTTTTGCTTGAAACTTTGAAGAATCCATCTAATTTATCTAGACAATTAGGAGGTATAAACAGCCCGCTGTCAAGTATTTCTGCTTGTAATTGTTCCTTAATATTAGACAAGTATTGATTTGGTACTTTATTCTATAAATATTAATTTATATCTCCCAATTCACCAGCATAAGCCAATGTAATAATGAGACCTCTATTATGATTTGATTAAATTTATACTTTTAATCAGTTTCGAACTTTAGAGCCTTTTAAAAATTATCACCTTATTCAATATTTCTCCTAGTTTCCTCATTGAACTTTTAATACTCTTCTATTTTATGCAGGTATAGTTATCTTTTTTTATTTTACAAATCATTCCAAGGACTTAACCAGTTTCTCTTCCAAATCAAGGGAAGCACTTAGGGACCAATTATCCAAAATACTAAAGATTTAAGACTCTAAACTTAAAATGCAAAGGGGAATCTCATCTATGAATTCATCTTTCTTAATGTAAAGATAACTGACATTTGATTGCTGTCAGATAAAGTGCTTTGCCAATCGAATCTTAAATGAGCATATTGGACTCTGAAATCGCTTGATAATAAAAGCAAGGATTTATTAGCATTTTTAAAATAGCATAATCTGACACATGACCCATAATTTTATTCCTTAACAAACTAATAGGACAATTAAGCATTATAATTTTTGTGTTTAACATATCCTTAAAGTGTTAGTCTTTCGGATAGTTATTTATCAAAATGTAACTATTTTTCTTAGGCATCAAATGTAATTTGAATTGAGGATTAATCTTTACCAATTGCTGCTACAATTTAAGGTACATAATCCCCTTATTAATTGTTCGCTAGATTGAAGTGAATCTCTCCAAATGAACTTTTTTTCTTAAATGTAATTTAATCTATTTCCATGCTTGGTAGTTATTGTTAGATTTCAATGCCACAGCCTTTGATGAGCGGCAAATTCAAACTTAATGCCGTTACTAAATAGTTTTTACTGATTTCTACTTCTTTGTTATTGTAATTGAGTAGATTGATTTCTGATTTCAAAGCAAACTCAAACTATTTCCAACGAGGTAATTGTAAGATTTATTATATAAAGGCACATTTTTAATTTTAATTTGTGGTACAAATAAATGTGTTTTAAAATGTAGCTTCGCATAAGAATGATTTCAAAGTAGAATATGAGTTCAATTCTTCCTCTTCTAACTTAAGGAGTAATAATTAAACCCTAATATCCTCGATTACATTCTTGCCTTGATGGAATTGCCATTCAATCAACTCAAAATGTTACTTATTTTCCATCAGCAACTATACTCCTGCAAATCCAAAATTATCATAAACCAGTTTATTAAACTCATTCCCAATAATTTTATACGCTTAATCGATTTTCTCAAAAGTTTCCACACTTAAATTATAATTCTCTTAACTCTGTTTATCAGGATGAAACACCTTAGACAACTCTCTATACTATTCTTTTATCTAACTAAAAGAAGCATCTTCGGGTAAACCAAGTGACTGATATGGATTTTACATTAAATTAATTATCAATTTATAATGTTAAAATTGAAACCTTCAGAATCTGCTCCAAATTCTCTTAAGATGCCACACTTAAAAGCTAAGGACTTAGACAAAAAAAGTATGAGATATTCTTCATATTCATTGTAGATGAAATGGATAAAGTGATTTAGTAGCAAATAATTATTGAGCCTGAAATAGTGAGATTTGCAGGATTTGAAGTAGGCAAATTAAATTTACTCAAAATTCGTGTGATCAACAAGTATCTTTAACCATAACGAATTTTGGTTATACCTCCTAAAACCAATTTCTTCAATGTCAAATATGATAAGAAGGGAGCCATTGCTTCTGGAATGTTTGAAGAAATTTATATTTCCTTCAAACCCTTTGAATATAAACAATACTAGGATTCGATGAGAATCAACACTTAATTCGATTCGATCTTGATTCCAATACATGCTTTTCCAGCAATCAACAGGGATTACTTAAGAGATTTATTTCCACGGTATTTGGATTTTGGAACACTTGAGTTGGGTGAATAGTTTTCTTAAGTATTTCATTAATGTAGGATAGAGATTTCCAATTTAAAATAAGGTACCACTTAACTTTGATTTTGAATTCATCGTCATTAAGGACAACATGGATTTTAGAATAACTCCCCTGAGAGGTACTATTCCTGACAAGGGAGTAACTGAAATAGAAATTCTATATCGACCTTCCATTAATGTAACTGTCTATATGGAAGTGGAATTGATTGTGGGATCTGTAGACTTTGAACCCTTGCCAATCAAGCTGATGGGAACTGGTCGATCATAAAATGATAAAAATCTAAGTCGAATTAGAAGACCGCAATCAGTCAGAAAACTGCATTCCATAATCCAATAGCCAAAACAAAATCAAAAATTGATTCCAAAGGAATTATAGTCATCTTAAGAGAATATCGATGAATATTCTATACCTGAGCAATCCCCATAAGTCATTTACGAAGCCACTGGAGGAAATGATCAAGTCGAATAGTTTTATCCAATAATAAAGCCAACCACTAAACGAATTAGACCATAAATCATTGAAAACGAAGTTTTGGAAATCAAATAAGGCGTATCTCTCCAGGGAAGACAAGTTAAAGAGAAACAATACCTTGATCATTTCAACCAAATAGCAAATTTAGATAAGGAAAAGGAAAATAAACTCAAACAGTGCATTGGAGATTCGCCTATTTAAAAGGAAACCATCTCAGAAATCATTAGTTAAAGAGAACAATTTAATCAATAGATGTTAAATTAGATCTACTAAAGTGGTATTACAAGGTATCAACTTTAACTTAATATTGATAATGCAGTGGCTGATTAAATATTGCCAAAATATGAATGTCAATGGGATTTCGAAAAAAATGATGTCATCAAAATCAAGAAAATAGTAAGGCGTTTATTTTCTATTAGTTTTGAAACTAAAAAAATTCATCTATGCAGTAACTAGAGTTATCTATAGAATAAGATTTGATAATAGGATGTCCAAAATCAGAGCATTTTTGAAGGGAGCAACCAAAAGATCAGAAGTTGAGAAATTGGTCAACCAAGATTGGTAAAAGGCAGAATATGCAGGTGTTGGCAAAAAAGATTTTGTAATTATCCATATTTAAATAACTAGATTGCTTTTACTTTTGAATTCGAGGAAAATTGTATTGGAAAATTTGCACTCCCCGTTCAGTACTAAGAAACAAACACCTACTCATTTAAATTTGATATTAATCCAAGAACAGGATTTGATGATTGGGCTCCTATTGAATAAATTCCTTAATCTGATTAAGAAGTCATGCAATATAAAAATTGGGATTACCCTCAATTAGTCTATCATCCTCCACTCTTGTAATAAGTAGTTTTCAGAGATGGAGCCGAAGAAGAAAAGGCAGTCAAAGGGAAAATGGGGCCTATTTTGAATATTTTATCCACTAACCAGAAACTTGAAGAAACTATCAAAATTGTGATGCAAAAACCTCCAGAATATGAAGGAGTCTAGTTATTATTGCCTCACAAAACCCTTCAATGCTATTTGCCATTGGATACTTGTAATCCCATAGAAACTTCATTTTTATTAAACTATAGAACCATATCTAATATAGGATCAGACTTGGATATTGATGCTTCCAGGAATAATTCCATCTTAAAATAAGAAATCAGTAATAGGTAGGCAGGATATAATAATTTAAACCTGCTTTACGAATTAAAATTGGACTAATTTTATTACCAAGAAAGGAATATGCAATTAGCCTATGATTTTGGATTTGAGGATTAAATTGAATAATATTGTGCCTCTTTGATGCATGACAAAGAAAAGGATGACTACATCACAGATGACAGTGATGAAGAGAGACCACCTTAGCCTGTCGTTGTAGACCATAATGAATGGCTTGCGAAGTTAGAATAAGATGATAAAGCACTTTAACCATTTAAATAAGGTGAGATCATCGATCAATAAGAATTACTAAAACATAAAATAGATACAAATTTAATGTATATAATTATGTTAATTTTAAAGGATTGAGAAAAATAAATGGATTTCTACTGTTCCATCTAAGACAAACGATTACAATAAATTTATTATCAAAAATGAGAATAAAATTATAATTTTATGAATTAGTATAATATTTTGTAAAAAGATCATTACATATCCATTTCTTAGCATATAGTGATAGCAATAATTGATTCTGTTCATCTATTAGGTTTGATCTAAATGCTTGATTTTTTTATTTTAGTAATTCCATTTTGATTTGAAATATAGTTCGAATAAAGATTTAAAAATTAATTTTCAATAATTAAGTTAGCATATTTAGGTTATAAAATTTAATATTCCTCAATAATTCTAGATAAATGAAAGAAAGATTTTTGGATGAATTTTTGAAGTAGAAAATTCATTAAAAAATATCAATAGTGATGATATCTTTTTAAGTAATTTGTTTTTTTAAATATTTTGCTATCAACCAAAAATTGAAACCTTTAGTTAGTTTGAGTGAAGTAAGACTTGAAATTTCAATTTTTGAGAATTTCTAAGAATCTTATCTAATGGTATTTCTTAAAGTATTAGGTTTTTGCTTCATCATTAAATTAGCCAAGTATGAATTTCAGAAATAATTTCAATTAGATTTGGACATTTAAATTTGCAAAACAGAAAATTCAAAATTCTTTGGGGAGAAAATAGAAGGAAATTTAAATGAAATATCTTCAAAAATCATTTTTGTTATTTTTATTCATTAAATCAGTATTAAAATTAAATATTTACTTAAATGGGGACTTGTCAAATTTGCAATGGAATATAGGTCAAGGAGATTAAGGAACAATTGAAACCATAAATATAGAGAAAAGAACTAACTCATAGATAAGTTGCGTTAATTCAGGCAAGGATTAGAGGAATCTTAACGAGAAAGAGAGTTCTGATTCACAAATAAAAGGAAAATAATAACTAGCAATAATAAAATTCTTTGACTGAAGACTTAATTTGCTGTGAATAGATTTAACAAACAATTACAGAAAGATCTACTGTAGCTTAGTAATAGGATGATCATGTCGCTATTTCGATGTCACCAAAAATAAGGAATAGCCAAAAGTGGTAGAATGGATCAATGACTGGGTTTGGTAGAATGGACATGGAGGACGGGTATTAGAATAAATAATCATAGTTGTTACTTGGAAGGCATGGTATAGAATTATAATTTAAAATAAGTGGTTGGATGGGTATTTCAATGGAGAAGGACTGTACAGTGCTCCTGATGGTACATATTATAGAGGAGAATGGAAAAATAGTTACATGAATGGTCAAGGAATATATTTTAATTCAGCTAAAAACATCAGATATGAAGGTAGGAATAGATAATTATAGAATTTTAGGAGGATGGGAAAATAACTTACAACATGGTCAAGGGACAGAAACATATGCAGATAAATCAATTTACACCGGGACATTTAAAAAAGGTTTAAAGGATGGTTACGGAAAATTCCTTTTTAATGATGGGTCTTACTATGAAGGACAATTTCAATAAGACAAGTTTCATGGTTAAGGAAAATTTGTATTCAAATTTTATTAATTATAAGGTTTGGGATTCCGGTTAAAAGGTTTATAGTGGAGAATGGGTTAAAGGCAGAAAGCATGGCTTTGGATACACAGAAATCAAAGGAAAATACTCCTATGAAGGTCAATACAAAGATGGGTTAAAAAATGGAAATGGCGTATTGGCTTGGAGTGATGGTAGAAAATACAATGGTGAATGGAAAGAGGGATAGTAACACGGAAACGGGATATTTTACAACTAAAAAGGAGAAACATTTAGTGGTACTTGGAAGTTTGGATTAATCCAATATCATTGATCTCTTTTTCAAATTATTATGTTTTATTTTATATAATCAGTCATATACTCAATTAATAAATAGCTAATTGTGATTCTGTGATTATGAGAGCAAAGGCAATTTTATTTAAATATTATGCATAAGAAAAACTTTAATCTATTTTTATAAACTATCTAATTCTATTGCTGCTACAAAGATCTAACTGTTAGTAATTATTTAAAATCTACGTCTGCTCTTTTTCATTTAAAATTATATTTTTATGCATAGAGAATTAGATTAAAAAGAGGCAGAAATATTAATAATTTGGATTAGGTTCTCATATTTAACTGAAAATTATGCAAAAATCTTGTATTGAAGTTATAGCAATATTTTAAGTGTATTAGATTTGAAATAAAACCTTTCAAAAAATGAATAGGATTGGTATTAAATATTTAGAAATGGTTCTTTTTTGTTGAAATTAGGACATTATTAAATATGTTGGATTTTGAGCAAGATTTTTATAAATTTGTTAAAGCCCAATTAGATAAGAAGAGAGAAAACAGACAACTAACCTTCGATGATTAATATACTGAAGAGGAAGTAATTAGAAGTACTGAATTATTATTTTATTTAGGAAATAGATTGTAGAGTGAGAACATCCAAAAAGTCTTGTAAAATGAAAGAAAAAAGATGAGGATTAACAAAATTTCAAAAGAGCAGCATTTCGAAAACAAAATGAAAGACTTTACATCAATGGACACTTTTATTGATGTTAAGTAGTTTCTTAAAAATCTTAATGATTAGTAAGTGAAAAAAAATCCCAAAATATTATTCCAGGCCTTAAAAAAATCATAATCGGATAGTGATGATGAAGATATATTTGATTATGCAGAAATTGTTTAAAAAAGTAAAAAAGTAATTGCCAATTCTGAACATTTTCGAACTAAACCTCGCATAGAGGGTTATTTATAAATGGAAAGCGAGATTAGTTAAAGATCAAAAGCGATTGAAGAAGGAAGGTCAACAAATGAGAAATTCTATACAGGAATTGATAAACTCATAACTGATATTAATCACAAGAATGTTTTGTCTGAGATGGATAGGAAATATGAGAGAGAGAGAAGGAGAAATAGAAACTCTATGAGTTCTGAAAAAGTAATCTAATCAGCAGTTCCATTAGATTTTGGGAAAGATGAAATTGCAATAAAAGCTGGAAAAAAATTTAAAGAATAATCATAAAAGGTTTTACAGCTCTTAGAAAGAACGACTAAAATGCTGTATAAAAATAAGATTCCATAACCTCCAAATCAAAAACTCTTAAAGCAATAACAGCAATAGTTGAAAGAACTTTAACAGTAACATCCTAGTTCATTTGAAATTAGAAGTCAAAAGCATTTATTAGTCAAAAGCCGAAGTGAAAGCAACGATTTGAAGTTTCCTCTGGTAAATGGGAAAATAATTAATCCTCTTGTAAGGAGGGTTGTTCCATTATCTCAATTGAACCATGCTACTCTTCCTGAAATTAAACCTGGTTCATTTGTATCTTAAAGGGAGGACAAGAAATTTGAAAATTTTCATTACTTTAAAAGCCCTAAAAATGAATAGAAACATGATGATCACCAAATAAATACTAGTCGTCAAACTGTTAGTTTGAATATCAAAAATTAAATTGGAGAATTTATAACATAGGTAAAGAATTTTATTGATAAAGCTTGATGATGCACAAGAGCAGTTTTCTAAATTATATCCCTCTGATTCTTAAATTTAAAAAATTTAGGATAATATGAGTAAAAATATGAGATAAATTGGCAACACTCCATTGGAAAGTCTGAAATATTTGACTAAGAGGAAATTCAATATTTCTAAAAAGTATGAATTGAGAGGTAAGAAAAACAAAGTTCTTCAAATTTTATGATAATAATTATGATTAAAAAAATTCAATACATTTTAGAATCATCTCCTTTTTATAAAATCAATCTAAATATTAAAAATAATTAATGTATTTACGGTAATATTCAAAACTTCCATTTTATGATGGATTTGAAATGTTCCGTAGGCTTAAAATGCTTAATCCCAAATAACACAATCCTCTTGTTTATGCAATTAGACCACCCGAAACAAATCTTGGATTTCCATTGAGAGAAGAAGTAAATGACACTGAGAATCAAAAAGTGCTTAACAAATTAATGCATAGATATCCAGATCTTAAATACGCTCCCCTAATAAAGGAAGGACTTGGAGAAAATTAAAATGAGGGATCATTATTTCGCTTTTTGAAGATGTTTAATACATTGAGAAAAAAGGGATATCATTTTGATAAGGTATTTGCAAATAATATGTTTAGGCCTTTGAAAAAGCAGAAATGGCATTTTAGGCAAAAATGTAAAGAAAAATAGATTAAACTAAAATAGCAAATAATTTGGCAATAACAAATCAAGCAAGATCTTTTATGACATTAGCCTAATAAGAAATAGAGTTTGAATAGAGACTAAAAAGAGATAGATTATTAAGAGATTTGAAAATCTAAGAGTTCGAAAAAAACTCACCTTTGGACCCTGAAACTCAAGCTTTGATGGATAATTACAAAAAATCTCTAATTAAAGTAGTTCATCATGACGATAAGCCAGAGGAGACCTCACATAAAGAAGATGAAGAAACATTTACAGAGAGAGCAACAAATGTCTTTAATTGTTATTATAACAGAGTTGCAACACAAGATAAGTTGAATGGTCTAAGTGATAAATAGATTCTGTAAAATATTAGACAATCACCATCTAAAATAAAGAATAGATTAAGGAAATATTTGAGAGTTTTGCAGCATTACAATATTACCTTTGATGAAGAAGGTGAATTCGTTATACCTGAAGATCTCCCAGAACATCTTCAATATTAAATTGGAAAGGGAATATTTTATATAACAAAACTATACGATGATCTTGATTTTGAATATTCACATCATGAACACTTAGATACACTGTAATAGGAACTTGAGGAAAGACTTTAAGAATAAAAATAAAATAGACAACATTACAATGAAGATGCAGAATTTGCTATTAAAAAAGTGTTATAGGATGCAAACATCAAAGCTTAAAACACATATTCATTATTTGAGACACCAGAGGAAAGATTGTCAAGATTGCAAATTAAGTGGTTATATAGAAAAATAGATGAGTATACATTAGTTAAGCTTAAACATGAAGATTAAAGCGAAGAATCTTAAAAAATTATTGATGAAAAAATAGAGAAGTTAAGCAACCAAGCACAAAAATTAGTTGATAATTTAAGAAGAATGAAATTAGAATTAGAATATTAATCCTTTGCTAAAACAGGTAAACAGTTGTTTTAAGAACATGCTGTCTTACTTAAAGATAAAGAGTTATTTGTTGATGCCAATAAGTTATAAATGAATGACATTGACATCTATTTCAAAATTCCTGTTGATTAAAGAAGATTAACATAAGCAGGATAAGTTAATGATGATATCATTCATAATCTTATCAAAGTGTAACATCTTTTATTTAAATTAGATAAAACTTAAAATCTCATGTAGCCAGATTAAATCATGATGATTTAGAGAACAAAGTAGGTGATTCTTCTTTGAAAGATGAAACTGCTGAAATTTTGAAGAAAAAAATATTGGCTTAATATAAGTTATTGAATTTGGCTAAGAAGTAATAATTAAAGGGAATGACCGAAGAAGATTAAATTTTAGAATAGAAAGATGAAGATTTCTCTCTTGATGATGAAGCATTTAATGATAATATTGTAAAAATATATTCTTAATTATTAGGCTGATAATTTAGAAGAATTACAAAAGAGATAAAGAGAAGCTAGACTTGAATTTGAGAAAGAAAAGGCCCTTGAAGCTAAATAGAAAGAAGATGAATTAAAAAGTCAATAAGCAGTTAAGGGATAAAAAGGTTCAAAGAAGAAAAAGGCTAAAAAATGATCTTTTTGAAGAGTGCTCAAATATATAGTATTTATTTAATCATTTACGCTATCTTAAAATGAAAAGCAAATGTGTAAAATACGCTATCATATATATTGCTTTTTCCACATTATTGAAAATAATTAATTTAGATAATTAAAGTTTAACATGTCATCTATTTTGAATAAATTTAAGAAGCAGACAACTGCTGATACTCCAAACGGGATAAAATTGGAAAATACCTCTTTTGGTCAATAAGCTGGAACTTATTAGCCACCAATAATCCCTGCTGTGTAATTAACCTAATCTAATTAACCGAGACAAAAAGGAAGACCAGGTGGAGGTAAGATTAATTGCATAACAACAAGGTTGGGATGATGAACCTTAGCCTTAACCATAACAAATTAGTGTATCAAACAATAAAGCAACTAACTCGATTAATTTATTGAACGATACTCCACCAAAATAAAATAATGATTAAAAAATTAATCAAGATGTTCTTCTGCCTCCTTAACCTGCTTTAGGGAATATTTAATTGAGTAGAATTACAGATTACAAAAGAGGCCAGCTGTTAACTTACGAGGAATTAGAATTAGGAGGATTGTATAAAAAGTTTTAATTCTTAGTGATTATGAATTTCATCTTGTAGATGAAGCCATTAAATTAGGTGGAATAAAGTTAAAGCAAAGTGATAATGTCTTAAAAGATTTTACTAGAGCCATTGCAACTATTCAAGAATAACTTATAGGAAGCATACTTTTAAATAAATTGCATAGTGAAGACAACTGGAAAGTGTAGATTGTAAGATTTTCATTAAATTATTAGAGATGCATCTATGCTATTCAATATATATGTTAATAATACTAAAATTACAGAGAATTCTTCTAAATCAATTAATAATATTTGAGGGTAGAAACTGATCAGTAATTACTTTCAGGAGCCATTGATTAAACATTAGCTGAAGTTAATGGTTAACAAGTTTAAAAGCAAAAAGTAAATAAAATTATTAATGTATAAGGAATTTTAATTTGAGTTTAGAGAGCCACCTAAAACATAATAATAACCTGTTTAAAACTAACAGACAAATTTAATAGATATTTTGGATGTTTCTAATAATGATTAGTAATAATAAAAGCAACAACAATAAAAACTCAATTTAAAATAACTAAAAATTAAATAGCCAACTGCTTAAACATAATAATAACCTATTGTGTAATAATAATAACCTATTGTGTAGTAATAATAATAAATACAACAGAAAAATACTTAATAAATTAATTTATTGGAAGTATTTAGTGAGATGTCTTTAGAAGATTATAATTCAAAATAATCCTAACCAACATAATAATAATCATACCAATAGTATTCATACTAGCAATAACCATCAAATTAATAATAATAATAATAGTAATAATAATAATCGTAGTAGACTTAGAATGGAATAAGTTTTGATGATTTACTTAATTCATAGACACCAAATCAATAGTAGGCATAGCCAAAAAAAAATGCATTTGGATTCTTAAAAAAAGATTAATAATAGCAATAATAGACAATGTAAAATAATTAATAAGCTCAGCAACCAATTAATTTACTCTATTCTCCTCAATAATTTTATCAATAACCATAAATCATTAATTAAGTGCCGCAATAGCAATAGTAATTTAATTATAATCAATCTCAAAACAATTCAAATTAATAGATGTATTTACAACACTAGACCCAAATTAACAATCAATAATAATCCTAAAATAATAAAAAGGATCTAATTGATTTTCTAAATATGTGATTATTATAATATGTTAAAAATATAAAGATAAATGTAACACAAGCCTTCCATTAACTTTATAAGTTTAATTTCAAAAAAAAAATGATTAAGAAATTGTTCCTATAAAATTTTGGTAAAGATCTAACAGTTCTTAAACTCAATTCGAACTAAATTCAATATAAAAATTCTTTGTTAGTAAAAAATGATTAGATTTTTCAATAAAATTACAATAGCAAAAGTTCTTATGTCCTAACTTTCATACAAAATCTGATAGAATTGGAGATTGTTGTTCAACAAATTAGCTAGAATGTCTTGAATATAAAAAAAATGCAAATAGATAAATAATAAAAATTAGACTGTAACGAGACCAAAACACTTTTGATGTTTTCATAAAAATTTCCAGGAATTAGCATTATAATAGTGAAATGCTTGAGAAATAGGGTTGGAATTAAGAAAATGAATGTGAAATAACGATATATATGAAATATTATTTATTTATTGTAATTAATGGAAATATTACACTTGGCATTACTAGTTGTAATATCTATTATTTGCTTTAAAATTGGTTAAGGATTGGGACAGAAGGAAGTTGAAAAGCAATAATCACAATATATCTAAGTAGATAATAGTTTAAAATTGTTTAGTTGCAAGAGAACGAATAATTAATTGAAGAAATTGATGAAGATTTTATTAAATAGGTAGAACAATAAGAATAAGATTTAAAAGAAGCAATTAAGAAGTTCAATGAAATTAATCAAAGAGATAAGTAGTTATAGAAATAATTGAGCGATTTAAAAAATGCATAAACGAATAATGCAAAACCCAAGGTTTAGTAACATGGTAATTAATATAATGAGATTTTTAGAATTACTAAGTGATAAGGATTTTGATAATTTATTGGATGAAGGTTTTGTTGTAGATTAGGAAATCAATGAAACACAATTAGATTAAGATTTAATTGAAGCTAGTAAATGATTTGTCAATTGTGTTTCTATTAAGTTTATTTCTTGATATATACTCTTTAACATAATCTTTTTAAGAATCAGATCTATTAAATAGAAATAATAAACAAATATAATATATTATTTTATTATTTTAATAGTCATTTACTACCTTATTCCTCCTATGATTTAGACCAAGCTTAGGCTATAGTTCGTTTCATATTATCATCGCCGTTCTAATACATTTCCTTCATCATGGTCATTAAAGACGCTTATGGGTCCTATTAATCTAATTTAGATGGGTCTGTATCGATCTGAATATTAATTATTAATTATAATTTACTATTTTCCCCTTATAATTCAATTAATCCCACTTTTATGAGTCTTTCTTAATTAAATTTACGATGATGGAATTGTTTGTTACTTTAATAGAACATTCCTTATTTTTCAATTCATCATATGTTTTTTTAATAGAAAATCTAAAAATTATTCAAGAAGCTACACCTGTGATTAAGACCTTTGTAGCCTTTAATTTTGACATCTACACTATTTGGAGCAAAGAAGGATGTGATATTTTCTTTAGGGAACTAACCAATTCCCTCTAAATTCAAAAACACTTTGACTTTATTCCCTTCTTAATCCCATGCATATTTTGTAATTCCTTGATATATTAGAGTGTCTTAATCCTTTTATTATTGTTATTATTATGGCTATTCAACTTTCTATGGTGTTAGTATTTTAATAGAGTTTTCTAAAAATTTGATTCTATTGTTCAAGTGGTCGATATTGGTTTAGCGTTTAAGAGTTGAAAGCACTTATTGGACTTCAGCTAAATCTAATTTGAGCTCTTCTAATTCAGACATTAAATTTAATTATAACACAATATCAACCTACTAAATGGTATAATGATATATATGTTAACTGTGTCTCAGTGTATTAGAACATGATTTTTTATGTGTGATATATATGAATATTAAACTGTATTATAGCATCATTCGTTTAAGCAATCGCATTCTGGATGTCTTTGTGAAAAGCCCATCAAACATTCTACTGATCTAAGGTTAACGGATTATAAGCATTCAGCTTAGAAATCAGCAACACATTATTCGACATTACATCCTTAGAGAATGAGATCCCAATATCCAGTGTTGGGGCAGTATTTAAGTCCACATTCATATCTATAAATTTCTATTTTAATAAGTACAAGTCAATCAACTTTTTGTTTTTGGATTCATAAGCACAGTCACGATAGCATGGGTCTGTTTCTCCGCATCTATTTTTGCAGTTTAAAGCTTTTGAAGCACAGCCAAAGACCTCAGCAACACAAGCATTGTATTCCTTGGGGCATTTTTCTTTAACGCAAGCTTCGTCAGCGATGACAGCAATAGCAAGAAGAGCAATAAGGACTGATTTCATTGATAATATTATTCGATAAAATATCTAGGATTTAAATTTACCAAATATTCTTATAAACCACCCCCATAAAATTTGAATTACGTAATTTTGATATTCGTAATACTAATATTATTAATATGTATCTTAATCCTTACAACCATTTATAATTTTCTGTGTATGGTAGAATTATGATCTGATCAAGAAGAAATGAAGACTTAAAAGAAAAAAAAATTTTATAATAAAATTTATACATTTTATATATTTATTATGGGTATAATGAAATATATTAGTAAATTACTTAAACTTAAAGTTTACTCTAATCCTCAAAAAAAGAATGAATTAAAGTTGAGTTGAAGATAATTTCCAAATAGTTTTGAGAATTATTAGTTATACTAAATGACCATTTCATTTAAAAGCTATCTTATCATTAATTTGAACTTAAGACATATATGACAGATGAACATTGATATTTTGGTTGGATTATTATAAATGCTCAATTTTATTATGGATTACTATTTAATTACAATTGTATTAAAATTAAGAAAAAGCGAATTCATGATTTTATATATGCATGTAGAGTTTAATAATTAACAAATCAATCGATTTATTATTACATAAAATAAATGTATAAGATTTTCTGATCATAATTTACACAAAAATTAACATCTTTCTAAATTCTTAACAATATTAAAATTTAATATTGAAATCACAAATTTTATACTTAGCAAATTCCATAAATAACTAAGGATTATAAGGTGTGACGCATCATAGAAATAGTACGCATTTGCTCCAATTATTAAAATCCAATTGTCAAAAAAGATTTAAATTATAATATAGATATGTTAGTTTAAGAGGAAGATTATTTATTCGACACTGAGTTCACTATTGCTACAAAAACCATTCATAAAACATGTGACTAAGCATATGGAGCAGTGAATCCTCCAATTTACATGAGTTCAACATTTGAATTGAAAGACGTAGACTCATTTGGAAAGGGTTACTTTTACACTAGATGTGGCAACCCTACTCGAACAGTGGTTGAAGAGATAGTAGCAGAAATAGAACAAAACAACTATGCCATAGCTTTCAGTTCAGGAATGGCTGCAATCCATTGTGTGATCAACCTATTGAAAGAGGGAGATGAGATGCTTGCTATGGATGACCTTTATGGAGGAACAATTGGTTATTTAAAGGCGATTGCAATGGAAAAACATGGAATTAAAGTTAAATTTGTAGATATGACAAATATAGATGAAGTGAGAAAACACATGAACCAAAATGTCTAGCTAGTTTACTTGGAAACTCCAACTAACCCAACTATGAAATTAACAGATATTAAAGAACTTTGTTAGGTAGTCAGATAAATTAAAAATAATGTAATTGTAGCAGTAGATAATACGTTTGCTACACCCTACCTTTAAACACCCTCAAACTTAGGAGCTGATATAACATTAAACTCAGGCACCAAATACTTAGGAGGACATTCAGATATAATATTTGGTACTCTGAGTTGCAGAAATAAAGAATTACATGACGCCTTATTTAAGATTTCCTATCTAACAGGAGGATGCCCAAGTCCATTTGATTGCTATTTGGTAACAAGAAGTTTAAAAACTCTTGAAGTGAGAATGAAATAACAAATTAAAAATGCTTATATTTTGGCTAAGTACCTTGAAAGCCATCCAAAAGTAGAAAAGGTACTCTACCCTGGATTAGAGAGTCATCCTCAACATGATTTGGCAAGAAAATAAATGAGAGCTGGAGGAGCGATGATCAGTTTTTATATTAAAGGGGGAGCTGCTGAAGCTGAAAGAATGATGAAGGGACTTGAATTATTCACTATGGCTGTAAGCTTGGGAGGAGTAGAAAGTATAATATTGTTTCTATTTTAGGTTTAATATAAATTCCGGCAAAAATGACTCATTCAGGTTTAACTGAGGAGAGACGACAAGAACTTGGAATCACTCAAAATCTCATAAGACTTTCAGCAGGTTTGGAACATGTTAGCGATTTAATTAAAGATTTAGAACATGGATTCAAGAATATCTGAACAATTTTATCTATTTTCTATATTATTTTTACATAATGTATATTTATAAAATAATCAATAGTAAGTATTAAGTATAATTTTAGTATTTTAATAAAAATTCCAATCACATAAATTTTAGTATTATAAATGAATGCCAAAATTCATATTTATTCATGATGCCCTTCCCACCATCAATATTAATCCTATTCAACACTTAATCTTTCGAACACGCTGATGTAGCTCAGTCGGCAGAGCGGTTGGCTGTTAACCAACAGGTCGAAGGTTCAAACCCTTCCATTAGCGCTTTTTTCTATTTTTTTAATTAAAAATTATATTAATATTTATTCATTTCAATGTCATGAAGGGATGCATTATCATATAATTAAATTCTTTACATTGAAAAATAAATGAAATTTATGAACAATAGGTATTAATTATAAAAGTATTGATAAGTTTAAGAAAATTTAATTATAAGTAGAAATTATGTTGATAAATTCATCACTTTAATGTAGCAGCTCAATTTATAATTATTCTACATAAACATTCTGCATAAGTAATAAAAGTTAATTTTATTATTGATATCAATTTTAAACTCAAATTTTATATTATATAATCTAGATTAAGGTTATAATTTGATTGATCAATATTCTATGGAATGAGATTAAATCAATTATTAAGTTGAATGTAGTTATTAGTTATTAAGATTATATAAATTTAATAATTAAGAAACCAATTATTTTTTGATGTCATCATTAGGATAGCATATGGAGCTTTAGTTTAGAGAATCAATAAAAGAATCATTATTAAATGAGTTTTCTATTTATAATTAAGAGGAGTATCGTAAAGAACTTTCAGAGATTATGTTAAATGAGAAATAATTCTAGAATAAAGCCAAATTGGCTATGGAAGAAAGAGAAGAGAAGGAATAATAATAATCATAGCTATACATTTAGAGAAGATTCGTTAACTATATAGTGATAGTTTAGAGGAAGTATAACAGAAATTAAGTATATAAAATAATTTATTCTAGATATATTGTATTAATTACCAATTTTGAGGCCAAAACAAATAAGATTATGGAAACTATTAATCAACTTATTGACTCTATTTGAAATCCCTGTTTATTTTAGCATTTGGTGAGGGTTTTTAGAAAGTATGGTTATATTTACTTTAAGGAATTAGAGACAGAATATTAGGTTGCAGGATTGTACTATTCAATATCTCTTTTGCTTATCATCGATATGGGGTTGGATTTCATAACAGCATATTATAAACATGGAGTTGTGATTACAGAGAGTAGAAAAATAGCAGTCAATTACTTTTATGGGAATTTCTTTTTTGATCTTACAGCAGTAAACCTTTATTATAAAGAGCTAGCTTATAATCTCAATTACTAGTTTATCTCTATTCACTTCTAAATTTAGATTCATCTTTCTAATGTTCTACTTTAAATTACCTTCATTTTTAAGATTTGATGATCAATTAAATGAAATGGTATTACTGTATCGAAGAACGAGAGTATTTTATGAAGCAGGAAAACGAGTCATTTTTATGTTTGTTGCTTTCAATGTGTTTTTGTGCATCTTTTATATGATTGGATTATATAGTGTAGCATCTAATTATAATTCATGGCTAACGAATTCTGGCAATTTTGGTATTATTTTGGATCGACCCTTGCATGAAATATACTTTTTTGGTTTTTATTTTTCTTTAGGAACAGTCTCAACTACCATGGGTTATGGAGATATTGTAAATATTTATTTGAATGATTAGTCTCCTATGAATATTATAGAGTGTTCTTGGTGACTTTTGGGAGTTATGTTTGGACTCATAATCTTTGCAAACAATATCAACTCTTTTTAAAAAATGATGGAAAAATACAATTTAAATGATCTTAAACAATTTAAGTATAAGGTGAGCATCAATAAATTTATGGAATAAAAATAAGTACCATCTGAATTACAGGAAATAATCAGGTAATATCTCAATGAATACTGGCATCAATAGGGACTTAGGGATTAGGAGCAGGAAATGTTGGTATTTTAAATGTTGGCTCCAGAATAAAATTAAGAACTTATGTATTAATCTTATGGCTAATTCCTATAAACAACATTCTTCTCAAAGTATTTTTCAAAGCCTTTCTTAAAAGATCTATCAGAAAAAATTACAGAAGTTAATTATTCAACTGGAAATGTCATAATTGAAGCAGGGGATTCTAATGATGATTAAAGCTTTGATTTTATACAAAGTGGGAATGTAATTATAAAATGTGGTAATTCAGAAGTTGTCAAAAAGAAATAGGTATAGGGAGACAGCTTTGGTGAATATGGCTTTATGACCGGTATTGAATTAATTTATCTAACATAATAGGATAAGCAAGGACAGCCACAACCTATTCTTAAATAATACAGCTAACTACATAAAATATCTAGAAGTGACTTCTTAGAGGTCTTAAAACATTACCCTGATGATTATGAAATATTCTGTAGTTTGAGAGATGAACTCATTTTTTCATAACATTTTCAATCACTTGGGTAATTTTGTTGGACTTGTCAGAAATTTGATCATTATGCATCCTCTTGTCCTTTTACACATTACATACCTTAAGTTTAGAATTTGGTTGACAATGCTACAGTTTTGGGTTAAGCATAAAAAAGAATCCGACTAGAACGATTTGATAGAAAACATTGGCCAACTAGAAAAAATTAAAAGATTTTAGTGAACGGTTTGAATAACTCTAAAATTTAGAAATTTGCTAATGTTACTTTTCAATTTAATTTGGTTAGTTGAAATCTGCAAAAAATATTAATTTTTAAAAATAATCTGCTCAGAATATGTAGCCAAGTGTACAAAAAAGAGGTCAATCACATGGGTAGGACTCTGAATTAAAATTAGAATTTATTAAATCTGAATCAATTTAGGATGATTCTTTGAGATTAATTCACTAGGATGAAAATTAATTAAATTAATAGTAATAAACAGAATAAAAAGATGTTAGCAAAAGCAATCTCACATCATTATAGACTAAACTTAATCAATAAAGAGATTAAAAACAATATTAAATCCATTAGGGATTAGATTTTTTTGATGAACCTTAAAATTTCAAATTTTACTAGAAAAAATTCAATTATTCAAATTACAGAGTCTTCCAAGGATTTAAAGAGTCTTAATTGAAGAAATAGTTGAGCATTAGAAAATCATTTGTGCCAGGAGCATATAATTGATATTTAAATACTTTTATTATTTAATATTAATTAAGTTAAGAAAAATAATGACATCTTTGACGAGATAAATAAGAACCTTTTTAAAATAGATAGATTTATTTAGCATACCTGTTCCAGTGTTAACAACTGATGCTAAGTCTTAGTATTCAAGTTCCTATAGTGGACTTATTTCAATTATCGCATCAGTGCTCAGTATAGCTTACTTTGTTTACGTAATTTAAGAGTGGGCCAACGGTAATATTCCTCCAACAATTACAACTAATTAATAAGCTTAAGCTTACTCTGAATAAGTTTTGGAAGATAATTTTATTTAGTTCAGATCAAATGATCCATCAAATCATGATCCTTTTAAACGGAAAAATAACATAATTACTCCCTTATTATTTACTGTGGAAAATTATAAGATTATAACTGCTCCTACTCCATTATTCAGCGATGAAAATTAGCCATTCACAGTGGGATTAAAGAAGGGGACATTGGTAGTAAATAATTTGAATGACCAAATTGATGACTAGTCGTACAAGCCTTCGAAAAATTATTTATTGATATTTATTGAATGTTTAGACTAATATTTAGATGAAAATAGTAATTGTGCAAGTCAAGAAGAAATTGATTAATATATGTCAGAGTATCATGGATTTTTGGCTATTATTATGAAGTTGGAGTAATATAACTATAAAAAGGATCAAAAAGAATATATAATAAAGTAAGCATTTCAAGCGCTTTCACCGGCCTATATTCAATATACTTAAATTTCAATATAGCAAAAAGAGATTAATATTGATAATGGCCTGTTATTTGAAAATTAGATTAATCATAACTTAATTAATGATTTCTAAATAATTAATTAATCGATTGATAATCAGTATATATAAAATATAGCTTCGTCATTTTCAACTTAGAAATTTGAGTTAAATGCTATTTTCGCATATTAAATAAGCATCGATAATTTATAAATTTCAGAAAGGATTATTCAGCCAAAATTAAGTGCAGTTTTGGCCTATATAGGTTCAATTGTCTAAGTTATATTTCTGTTGAAATACTTAGCAATCTTCATAAATAACTAGCAGTTTAAAGAAGAGATGCAAACTGAAATTCTTCAAATGTACTATCCAAAATTGAAAAATGTAAAAGTTAAAAGAAATGCATTGGGTAAGATAATTTCCACAAATCAGGGTAATGAAGATAATCCAAATGCATAATTTATAAAATAATATTAAGATCATCTTGATTTAGCCTTTAAGAAGCTACGGCTGATAAACATTATCTATGAGCTATCCCGGATTGAATTACTACTGGAGAAACATTTTGGTCTTCAGAATATATGTGAGTGTAGCTAATTGGGATCTGAATTTTAGTTTCTTGGTCATGATAATAAAAATGAATCTCCTAAAGCCTCAATATTATCAGTTGGAAATTAGAGTCCTTAACCCAAAGAGGATATCTTTACATTATTTAATAAAAGTTGATAAAATTAGAATTAAAATGACATCATCGATATAATATTTAAGAAATATATAGTTATTTTATAATTTATTTATATGATCTCTATATTTTTCTTATTATTTGGCTTAATATAAGGCTAAGATGATAACATAATGAATGATGTGATTGAAGACAGACAGGATAGAAAAGATCTAATGTAAGAATGGGAATTGATGATGCAAGATTTTATTCCAGATGATATGATAGCATTTGAATTGAAGCAAGGCACTATTGAATTATTAGAGGAAGGAATTCATCATCCAACAACAATACGTGGAGCTTATTTTATCAGCATGGCAACCAAAGAGAAAATAAATTTCTTAGTAAGAAGCATTCATTATAGATTAGATTAAAGATCCAAAAGGAAATATCATAAGTAGTAAAGCAGGCAAGAAGGAGGCTGTGTTTTCAGTCAACATTACTGAGCCTGGAGATTATTAATTTTTGTTTGATAATGAGAGAGGTAGCAGTGATTAGATGGTAACATTTGCCTTAGATATTCACAATGCTACTTATGAACACATCAAGCATCATGATTTAGATCCACTCGTGAAATAGATTCAGCATTTATAAAATGGAATCAACGATATAATGTTTGAAACCAAATTTTCCTAATAGAGAAGAGAAAGTGGTTATGAATCAATGCAAACAACTCATCAAAGATTGTTTTACTTTACAATTCTTGAAACCCTAGTCATAATTGCGGTGAGTGTATGGTAGGTGTATTATATAAAGAGTATCATTGACAATCGTAGATTGATTTGATTTATTGATAAATCTATATATTAATTAGTGTGGTAATAATGAATTAAATTGTATGCGTTGGTTAAGAACTTCTACATACCTTAAATAAAATAATTTTAAATTATATAAATATCTAAAATGCGTAGTTTAAGTAGAATCCTTTTCCGTCGTTCTTAATTACTGATAAATAGAGGTGCAATTCCTTTAAGACATAAATGTGTTTGTGGATTCAGTAGTGGTAACTTGTGATTGGATAATAATAAATTAGGATTTAACAATAACTCTAACATTAAGTTGAAAACAATTCCTCTTTAAAATTACTCATGCGATCCCGAGGAGATTGACTCTAAAATAGGCTCAACTGATTTCTGTCTATTTAGTTCAGTCCAGCCTATCTTTCCCAATAATCCAATGAATTGCCAGATCAAGATAGGGAATCTGAAACGTATCACTAAGCCACTTCTTTACACGATCATATCACCAGACAATGGTGAAATCTTCACAATTGGAATCGCTTTGAGTAAATAGGTCGAAAAAAATTTGAATTCTGAACTCAAAGTAATGGAGTAAAGAGATGCTAATGGAAATATTTTAATCAATGATCCAATGAGCAATACATTCAATTTGGATATAATTTCAAAGTCTGTAAGTGATTTAAAGCAATAAGATAGAAAAATTACCGATTCAAAATAACCAAAATTGAAATGACACCAGATGGTATTTTCGCATAAGGAATACCCTACAAAGATAGACCACTTACTTAAGCAGAATAATAGATTGATATCAAAAATGAAGTTAAACAGATAACTTCACTTGTAGCTTAAATCAGAAAATTAGGTTAAATAGATAGACTAGAAGCATTTACAGATGTCAAATAATCTCTTCTTGACTCAAGCGAAAAATTAACAGCCACTCAAATAGATGAGTTAGTCTACCAAGTTGCTGCTGGCCTTTCAAAATTGCAAACCAGCAATTTGAAATTGAATACATCCTAATTTGTATAATAGTTATTAGAAAGTCAAACATATATTGAAAGAATGTTCATTTTAAGAAAGCAACTTGAAAACATGTCAGGAGTCTTAGATTTAGTAAACAAACACTTCAAAGAATCAGATTCCTCATTATTGAAGTTGCATCAATAAACATTAGCCAAATTAGCAACTGAATACATCAGATAGAATTATTTGAAAGATGCTCCCAATTCATAATCTTATGGAGGACCTGCTGGATCTCAATCCTAAGTTGGAGAAAAGGTATTTGTTTCAGTAATCTAGCAAAAGCAATCTGTGTTGGTTAAGAAATATTAAGATAAACTTTCTCTCATTCCAGATGAATCATCAAGAGAAAAAGTCAAAAGAGAAATTGAAAGATTTAGTCTTCTCGATAAATAAAGTTCAGAATTCCATAAGATCAATTCTTATCTAGATGAAGTCTTCAGTATTCCATTTTCTAAATTCACAGTAAAATAAAATTTTAATATATTTAAGCCTGTTTAATGGGATATTCAATATGCAAAAGATGTTCTAAACAAAGAAATCGAGGGATTGGAAAAAGTGAAGGAAAGAATTATTGAAATGATTTCAGTCAATAAATTGAAGAATTCAGGTTAAAAAGCTAAAGGTTTCATTCTGTTATTGAATGGTCCCCCAGGAACCGGTAAAACATCAATTGCAAAGAGCATTGCCAAGGCCTTAAAAAGAAATTCAAGATTTATTTCTTGTGCAGGTGTTGCTGATCCAACATTCTTTAAAGGACATAAAAGAACCTATGTTGATTCAATGCCTGGAGTATTTATTAGAGAACTAATAAAATCAAATACTATGAATCCTGTCTTTATTTTAGATGAATTGGACAAAGTCTCAAAACATCATTCTGGTGGATCAGATCCCTATTATACATTACTGGAGATATTGAATCCTGAGGAGAATCATAACTTTACAGATCACTACATGGATATCAGCGTAGATTTTTCGCATGTGATATTCATTTTAACATCTAATGACACACTCTAAATGTTAGAACCACTTAAAAATAGATTAGAAACAATTGATGTCTAAGCATATATTTAAGAAGAAAAGTTACAGATTGCTACTAATTTTCTTGTAAATAAAAGTATAGAAAGCAATGGAATAAAATAATAGATGATTAAATATGATAATGAAACTCTGACTAAAATAATTAAAGCATGGTGTTATTAGGAAAGTGGAGTCAGAGAATTAAAGAGATGCTTGGAAAAGATCGCTAGAAAACATGCAACCAATTTATTAACTGCTAATCCTAATCTATGTGATAAAGTTGATGAATTGAATTAAGTTGTATTTGATCCTACAATTTCAAGCTTAGATTTAACCAAGGATAAAAACTTAGAACTCATATCCTAGTATTTAGGACCTCCAGTTTTTGATATTTAATTAGAATAGAGATCAATTAAAAAGTTTCCACCTGGCTAAGTTAACATTCTAACTGTTGGCGGTATGATAGGACATGTTTTAACTGTTGAAAGTTGTTTTGATGATAGTGAAATAGAAAAGAAAGGATAGATTGTAGCATCTGGAAACATTAAATTAGTTCTATAAGAATCATTAAAATTAGCCAAAATAAATGCATTTAAATATCTTAATGAAGAATAAAAATTACAACTATCAAAATCAGCCATCCATATGCATTTTACCGAAGGAGCTACTCCTAAAGATGGACCTTCTGCAGGCACTGCTATTACAACTGCCTTAATTAGTTTAGTTACCAACTTTACCGTTCCTAGCAATTTGGCTATGACCGGAGAAATCTCCCTGAATGGATAAGTCTGCAAAATCGGTACATTCTATTTTTATTTAAGGTGGTCTACAATAAAAGCTTATTGCTGCCAAAACACTTGACATAGTTGATATCCTTTTGCCTTATGCTAATTTAGGAGATGCTTTGAATCTACCAACTTAATTATTAAAAGGACTAAATTTGTATTTCGTGACTGACTATCAATAAATTTATGATTTGATTTTTGATTAATAGATTGGAAATGCTAATTATACAGTAAATACAATTAAGAATGGAATTTATGAAACAATTTAAAATAGATCAAAAGAGCAAATATAATAATCAATTAATTGTTGAATATGTAACTGAATCATTATTATTATTGAAATTCTTGTAATATTTATTAGTTTTATTCTATAATCTTTTTCATATAATCGTCATCTATCTCTTAATTAACATCAATCATCTAATATTAATTGTCTGTGTCTTCAAAATTGTTCTCTTAAGTATAACTATGAATGTTGTTTTCCTCTGTTCCAATAAACAAGGCTCTATCCAAATAGGCGATACATTTAAATGTTTCAGGTTTTGTAAATTTAGAAATGACCTTTTTATTGGGGTAATCCCAAGTAAGAAGTAACCCAGTACCTATGCTAACTAAATATCCAGTTTCAGGGATGACTAACAATTTTTAAATTGGGTGATCCAATCCTGAAAAATAAGTAAGGGCTTAATTATTATTGAGATTCCATAATCTTATTGTTTTATCATGAGAACCACTAAATAGGATTTTACCATCCAGAGCCAAACAAGTAATGCTGTCTTGATGTCCAACAAATGAATCATCATGTTCATAAGTGAACATATTGATTAAATAAATTGTGCATTTGTTTCCAGCTGCTATAATTCTCTTTGTTGTCTTATCAAATAAGAGACACAGAATTTCATTGCCTAATGAATCAGCTGTTGCTTTAGGATTGGCTAGCAATGACTATTTTAATTAAGGCATAATGTAACTAGCCATTAATCGTTGTTTACGTTCAAAGATCTCCCAAACGTTTATTCTACCATCATAACCACTACTGAACATGTATTCTTCACTATCAAATGTGCAACTTGTTAATGCACAAACAGTATTATTATGTCTAGATTTAGCTTTACTTTAATCAATAATCAAATATGATCCTATTTCTATATTCCACAATCTGATTTCACCATTATCATGTCCAGTTGCTACTAGATTAGCATTTGTTAGATAATGCATACTTGAAACTTCATTCTTCTCACCAGTTTCAATTGTAGAAATACAAGACATATCTTTTGAATCCCAAACTCTTATGGTATTGTCCAAAGAAGCTGATACCAATTTCTTTGGTTCAAATTCTTAAGGACAATCTATACCTAATATTTCAATTACTGGCCCTTTGTGTTAATCTAGGAGATTTCCTGTTCTAACACCCCTCTTGATTCTCAAAACATCAATAAACTATTCTGTGTACACAACCAATGCTTCCAAATGGTCTATAATAATTAGAATTAAAGATTACCTATAAGATCTATTCCTAAGATTTTGCATTCATACAATTTGAATTCTAAAACCTACTTATCACTAGAGATGTTCATAAAGTATACTCTGCCTTATTCATCAGATGCAATCAATTCCTAATGAGTTTGACTCCATCTGATTGATGTAAATAGACATTTATGTGGATTCTTATAACTAAAGAATTTACCACCAGATTCACCATATCCTAATATTTTTTAATCATAAGCTATTGAGAATATTGCGTTATCTTTTTCTACTTCTATAATCTAAATCACGTGCAATCGATGAAAAGAGAAGAAACTTTTTTCTAATTTTACATAAGTCTACTATTATTGAAGAGTTGGTAGCGAATTCATAAATAAATGCAATGAGCCATCAGTATCACCAGCATAAAGCTAAAAGTGAGGCATCTTTACTAAAAATGCAGTTATATAAGATTGCTGATTCAAAGATTTCTTCATAGAGAAATCATAAATTATTTACACAGTCACAAACCATGGATGATACATGAACTCTCGTCCACTCTCTTATTTCCAAATCCTAAGCACTTTATCATTACTAGCTGAAAACAAACTGTCTTAAGCAAATGCAATTGCCATAATGGATCCGGTGTGACCAAATAAAGTTTATATACACCCTTTTTTGATATCGTTTTCCCATAATTTTATTGTTCGATCAGCACTTCCTGTGAATATATAATAACTGTCAGAAAATTTCTCAATTATCAAACATCTTATTTCTCCTTTGTGATTATTTTTATTCTCCACAGGCTTTAAGATTTCATAATCTTTGGATTGTAAGAAATGCTTGGTATCAAATCCTTTTTTTCGAAATTGCATCATTTATCCATTGCTCAATCCAAGTGTTATTGCTTGATCAGAATAATGATAGGCAGTAATTCTTGTTTGAGGATCTTCCTTAAATTTTGATTTCTTCTCATAAAACAAAGGATCTGTAAACTTTTTGACTCTAATAAATTCCATTCTTTTATTGTAATGAAAATTAATATTATATTTTTGTTATTCATATTATATATCATGCAAATAGACCCAACAAATCCTTAGGAGTGATGTATTTGAGTTTATCTCCATCCTCAACAAAGACTATTTCATGTCTCTCTGCAATTCTCTCTAATTAATTTAAATCAAGTGTGTTTGGAACAATCACAAATTCTTTTGAGTGAACTTTCTTAGCAAGATCAGCCTAACATAATATAATATAAATACATGATTCAATTTCTTATTAACAATTCCAGCCAATATCTTCTTCTAGAAAACAACTGACAGTAATTTGCCATTTTCTTGGAGTGGAACAGCAGGGTGTGTCTTTAAGACTTCCAAACATTATCCAACTGTGGCTGTTGCTACATCCAATGGTTAAATATCATGCAATTACAAATCAGTAATGGGTCTTCCAGCTAATGGATGCTCAGGTTCTTTCAATTCATCATAAGGAAGGAATTTATTTTCAATCATCCAAGTCTTGCTCAAGTGTTTGGTGATGTAATTTCTAATGTTATCAGGTAAAATGATGACAATCTAAATAGAAGTTTATATTTAGAATTACTCTTTGATTCTCAGTGAAATTTTGAGATTTGGCCCATTCCAAAGCTCCCCAAACAGTTGCACCTGAAGAACCACCACATAACAATCCCTCTTGAGATAATAACTTTCTTGCCATAATCAAACTGTCAATATCTACTGTTTTAACCCAGCCATCAATTTCAGTCTATAATATTAGTTGGTAATTTTACTCTATCTAAGACCTTTGGGATAAAGTCATATCCTATGCCTTCAACTTTGTATGTCTTGATGTCAGTCTTATTAACCTCTTAAGGTAAAGCCAAATCAGATCCATAGGGATCCACAGCGATGACTTTACAGCCTGGAATTCTTTCATGGATTTTTCTGCCAACACCTGTGATGGTACCACCTGTGCCTGTTGAAATAATGACAGCATCCAATTTATCATCACAAGCCCACAAGATTTCTTCAGCTGTGCCTTCATAATGAGCCAAAGGATTGGATGGATTGGCATATTGATCTAATAATATGACATTGGGATCATCAGTTGCCATCTTCTTAGCCACTTGAATCAATGATTCAGGTTCATACCAAGCAGCTTCTGTTGGTGTTCTAATGACCTTAGCACCTAGACCTGTGAGGACATCTTGTTTTTCTTGGGACATCTTCTCAGGCATGGTAATGACTAATGGATATCCTCTAACAGCACAAGCCAAAGCTAATCCTACTCCGGTGTTTCCAGAAGTGGCTTCAACAAGGGATTTGCCTGGTCCAAGACGACCTTATTTTTCAGCATCCAAAACCATTCTAACACCAATTCTATCCTTGAGTGAGCCACCCACATTCAAAAATTCACATTTAACGAGCACTTCGCATTTTAAACCATACTCTTTTGGGATTTTATTTAAACGAATCATAGGAGTATGACCTACGGCGTCAAGTGCGTCATCGTAAATTTTTTTGAAGGGAACAAATTCAATGTGTGAATGGGGTGTTTGGGGTTATTCGTTTGCTCCTCTTTTGTAGGTGCATTGGATTGTGTCTTTAGACAAGTCTTGAATCATTAATTAAATATGAATTAGTTTTAATCAATTAGAGAAGGCTATGAATAAATTGGCCATGAATAATATTACCAAGAATATGGCTCTAATTATAAAAATCCTCATGAAGATAAAATAAAATAGGCCCTTTTGATGGGCTTGGCAAAATGGAAACCTAAACTTATCAAAGTTCTTGATTTAGCATGTGGAAGTGGAGAAATCACTCTGATTCTCAAATCTTTGGGAGTCAAAAACATTGTAGCAATTGATCCTTACACTATGGAAGCATTCAAGAAAAGAACTGGAGAAGAATGTCTACCTATTTCCTTTGAATAAATTGCAGATGGGCAAATCGGAGATCATGAATATTCATTAATCATCTGTAGTTACGCCATGCATTTGGCTGATGACTCCTTATTGCCAGGATTATGCATGTAATTGGCCATGATTTCTAAACATATGATCATATTGTCTCCTCATAAGAGGCCAGTCATTAAATGGGGATGGAATCAAGTCGATGAAATTATCAAGGATAAGACTCATGCTCGTTTTTACACTTCAACATATTTATGATTCCATATTATCATTTTCTTAGTAAAAAATACCATTTAAATTTATGTGTTCTTGCCTTTAAAATTGGCATTATTAGAATTTAAGTATTTTTAGTCTTCTCAAAGTGAATGCTATAATTTTAAACATATTTCTACAACATTACATTGCTTTCTGAAATTGAGACAAAAATATTAATTTTTTTATCTGGTTTCAGAATTCTATAGCCACAAAATCAACAATATAAGAATCAATATTAAAACTTTTTTGTTCTTATATAAAAATTAGTTTTATATATTAATATTATTCATGTAAATCTTCAAGTCAGATTGATGTTTGTATAAATAAATCAAGCAACAAGACTTGGATGGCTTTTTGAAAATAAGATGTTATTATAACATTGGAATTTTTAGTTTTAGAGTCTTTTAAATTCTTGAAAATTCCTAATATTATTATAATGTCAAATTAAGAGATCAATGAGCTTCCCCCTCTCAAAATCAATGTGCCATCTTTCCTTTTAAAAACATACGAGATACTAGAAGTAATAATTTCATTAGATTTCGAGAATTCAACGCTATCACACATTATTGGGTGGAATCAAGAAGGCAATGCATTCATCGTTTTCAATACCAATGAATTGGCATCCAAAGTACTTGCCAATTACTTTAAACACAAAAACTACCCAAGTTTTCTGAGGTTGTAGTGCTTTTTACATTAGATAGTTGAACATGTACAATTTTAAGAAGACCAAAAACTAATATGGGCAAAGTGAATTCAGACATAAATGGTTTAGACGAGGACTCAAGTATGAAATCAGAATAATTCTGTTTTTAGAAGTATGCTCCAATACATTCGTAGAAGAAACTAAGAGGAGTCAGAACAAAAAATAGAAACTAAAGACAATAATTAGGAACTAGAAAACTACAAAAGAGAACACGAAGAGATGAGACAAATAGTGAGAGACATTTAAAATACATAAACTAAAATGCAAGCTGACTTTACAGCTTCTGCTGAATCTAATGCCACTGTTAGCCGTTCAAATCACTCCATTATATAAGTAATCAGATCATCCCTAACTAAGTGTATAAATTAAATGCAACAGCAGTTCAATAAAAAATTTGATACGATTTCCATTCTTCTAGCAAAAATTGTGTCCAATCTCCCTCAAATTTGTATTCAATTTAATTGATCTAACAATTATAGCACTTTAGATAGGAGATATTCTCAAAAATTCTTATGAAGAGCACTCTCCTGGCAGATCTGAATCTAATTATATAGTACCATACAACGAAAACAATCAATATAATTCAATCGGATCGCCCTATTCACATTATCAATATAACAGTCCAATCCATTATCTTTTTTCAAGGCAGAATTAATGTAAAAACACTAAATATGCAATAAGAGTTCTCAGAATTTTGTTTCTAGTTTGATCCCAATGTTTTTTCATACAACCGTCAACATTAGCAATAACAATTAGCATTGCCTGCTCCCAATATCAATTCCTATTTACGTAACAAATGAAACCTAATCCTAATATAGCCAGCAATAACTACTCTTTGTAATCAAGTTTGTAGAACTCCCCCTATAGAATAGCCAGTCCATCTCACACATCCACAACCGATTCTAAAGATCCAGATAAAGTATTTCTAAATTTACCTTAAATAGTTCAGTCTCTATTAGCCAGCATGAAAAAGGTTATTGTGCTTATGAATATTTAATTATTTAATAAACTAAATCATTAACCTTTTGTACTAAAAGGCGATTCTCAATTTAAGATTATTCTTAAAAAAGTCTCATCACATTACTAAATATTCGATGTCTTTGGTATCCCTTTAATTGAAATGCTCGAATAGAGTCTTCAAAAAATCTTGAATCTAATAAAATTAAATGAGTTTCTAATTTTAGAATATAATATTATTTGGATTTACTAAATTGAGAATCTTACATGTCAAATATCTTGAGGAATAAGTATATATATATCACATTAGTGATTATATTATTCACTTCTAAAATTAAATTAAAAATGAATCAAATTTCCCACAACATCCTGGTTCAAAAATTAATCGATTATAAGCTAAGGTATTTGAAATTTATAACTGATTCGCAGAAAAAACAAAAACAAGAGAAAGTCGAGTCCTTAGTTTTCACCTCCCAAGATGCCGATTTCTTAGAGATAGACATCATTTTCCAATGGTCATGCCTATTCCGTTCATTAAAAATTGAAATCAATTCAAAGTGAAGAGAAAGTATTCATTCCTCAGGCTATACCACAGTCCCTGATCTGCTCGAACTATTAAGTCAAATGTTCCAAATCATATAATCATATGAACAATAGGCAAGCCATCTCTGGTCCAAAAATCTTGAGATGTTAAAGCAAATCAAGATTCCTATCCTCCAAGAAAACGAAGATTTGAAACAGACTCTGGAAACCTTAAAATAAAATGATATTCAAAATAGTGTGTATGGATAATTGAAGGAGTACGATTAAGTCTAAAAGCCAAAGCCTAAGCTCATTGATTTAAAACACATTAACAGAGATTCAAACTTTTAAGAGGAATTCTTGTCCAAAGTAAATGAATTCAGTCTCTCCTGGCGACAAGAAGTACAATAGCTTAAATAAATATGAAAATATTAAATATCTAATTATATTTACAATATCTAGAATATAATGCGATTTGTATTTATTTGTAATTTGATTAGCTTATATTTGTTCTTCTTGATTTTTATAATATTTGATTTTTAAATTGGGTTGTGCATAATTAAACAAATTTCACAACTAAATTTAATTTTGAAAACACAAATAATAATAGCAGTAGATAATGATTATTTGTATGCTCTTTTTATATTTAACTCACATAAATGGTAGCCTCTTAATAAAATCCTTGAAATCAATATGATATTCAGGAAATTGAGGGATTTAGATAAACATTCCATTCTCCACATACGGGTTTCCTATCATCGTAGAGAATTTATTCCCTTATCTCTACTTATGACGAGGATCAGATTTGCATCTCACATACACCTTCTTACCTTTCCTTTAGAAATAACAATGTTCACACATCTTTTTCAAAGCACTTTTCACTTTCATTATTTAATTATATTAATGATTCTTTTATTTTCATTGATACCAACATTGTATTGCTTTTATTCCAAGGGTATTGTTGATCAAGATCTCGATCATATCATGAACGAGTTGATAAATGGTTCATTACCTTAAGGTAGGTTATCAATAAAAGATGTGGAAAATTTATTTGCAGAACTTGAAAACACAACTAACCTTGTTCACTCTTAATCAATTGGATAATCCTATCTTAATAAAACCATTAATTCTTATTCATTATGCTCTAATTTTACCAAAGAAAAACCAAAGATGCTCATAACAAGTTTGCATCATTCTAGAGAAGTAGCTAGTTTGTAGATGAATATATACTTGTTTCTCTATATTTTATGGGAAGTAGACCATGAAAAGAATCCCTATTATATTAATATGATTACTCATAATTGCATTATGTACTTTTTTTTTAGTTACAACTAGGATTGTCCCATTTGTCAATATTGATGGGTACAATGAAATTGAATCTGAATTGAATAAGCATGTGTACTAACCATAAACTAGAAAAAATCTCAATCGAACTATCAATTGTTATTAATAGGGCGAATTAGCTGGAATAGATTTAAACAGAAACTATGGATATCATTTTGCCTACGATAATATAGGTAGTTCTAATGATCCTTGTGATGAGACCTATAGAGGAAGTGCAGCATTTTCTGAAAAAGAAACCTAAGCCATCAAGAATGTTGTCGAAAATTATAATATTAAAATGGCCATGAATTTGCATTGCTTTGGAAATTTATGGGTCATACCTTACAGTTATGATAGTGAAGACTTAGATAAAGATGGAGCTCCATATTTGATTTATGAAGATTTTAAGCAAAACGGAGAATTTTAAGGGAGGTACAAAATAGGTCATGCAATTGAATTAGTCTAATATACTGCAAATGGAGAAGCTGCCGATTGGATGCTTTCCTAAGGTATAAATTTTAACCTTATCTATTTTAGGGGTTATTGCAATAAGTCCAGAATTAGGAGAATAAGCTTACTCTAATTTTTTTTAAAACTTTTATCCTGATAAAGATTAAACGATCAAATTATTCAATACTGAATTTCCTCCTTTAATTCACTTTATTAAGTACTTGCCTTTTCAACCTTTAATCAAAAATGTATATCAGTATAACTTTGATGATATTGAGAGATTTAAAAAAGAATTATCTTCAAATCAATATATTGTTGAAATTTAATGTATCAATCATGGTGTATCCAACGGTGCTAATTAATATTTTGTTGTTTCTAATACTGTTTAACTTGTTGAAGCATATTCCATGGATATTAAATATCAAGAGGAGTTTGACAGGGAACACATTGATACGAGTAAATTAAGTATCTTAGAATTTTCTAACAACACCTTTTCCAATAATTAGTTCAAACCTCGAAGTTAAATAGTTTATTTTTTAATTTTACAGGAATCTAATCTTGGAAATGAAGTGAAATTCTATTTTGATTTGCACGGAGAAGACAATTAAAATAGTAATTATAAAATATATTTTAGCTTTGATTCTCAAAGATCTTCAATAAGAGTAAAACCAATTAAGAGTCATCCAGTATTAGAAACTTTATAATTTATTATACATAGGGGTTTTAATTGTCTTTATAATTGCGATTTGGATTATTCTCTAGCGTATATCTAAGAGAGCAGATAACGATAAAAAATTAAACATTACAGAATTAATTGAATAAAAACCTGAACAAATTGAATTGAATGTTTAGATATGATTAAGTAATATCTCAGTAATTCCCTTCCAATATATATTCGTATAATCTATTGATTTTTGATTAATTTTTAATTTCCTACTTCCCCTATGTATGTGCTCGATTTCCTTTTGAGGATTTCAAGTGTTATTTAGTTTTCATTTTCTCAGTACTTTGCGATCTCACTTTTTTATTTTATAACTCTATTTTAACATATTTATTTACTTTCTTCTGCATTTATTAGAGAAAAATAACAATGCTTAATTGGTAATTATGATAAATTAACGTTAGTTTGAAATTCTATAGGCTAAATTTATTTAGAGCTGTCTTTTTTCTCAGGATGGTATTCTTATATTCTACTGACATTAATTCGATATTGTTCTTCACTATGAACCTATTCTTGGAAGTTTTATTATTATGTAATTTTTTGGTCTTGCTGTTAAACTATTTATTATTTTTAGGTTTTTTTAATCAAAGAGGATATGGGCATCAATATTGATGGATCAGATGATCGTTTCTGAATTAGGATATTATGGGCTAAAATTGATTTTGATTATTGATTTGAATTGTTGGTTAAAATAGATTTATTCTAAACTGGCCTTCCTGCTTTTTTTTCTGTATCTCTTTAATTATATAATCTTGATTTAGAGATGTCTTATACCTATCATATACAGATTCTTATCTAATTCTTTAACTGCTCATTCCAGATTTTTCTTACTGTTTCTATTGAGAACTTGTAATGTTTTCCTTATCTCTGTATTTCATAACATTATCTCTCTTGATATTTAGTTTAATGTCAAAATTCTCTAGCTTTGGAACGAGAACCTAAATTAAATAATTTTAATTACTTTTTAAGATTAATAGGTTGACAGAGTTGTTTATTTTGCTTCATTTGTCTTGAATTATTGATATTTCTTCATTAAGTCTTATCTTGACTATTTTATATCATCCCATTTATTAGAATCGTTTACATGTTGAATAGATTCAAAATTGCCCAATGAACTGAAACATTATTAGGAGCTTTATTTCTTGTCATAGAATCAAAATTTACACTTAAAACATAAAAGTCTTTTGCCATTTATTCGTTGAAAATTAGAAAAACAATTATAAAATATTTAACAACTATATAAATATTAATTTTTATTATAAACTATAAACCTCTAGGTGAGATTTCACCTATGTGGAAGTATTCAAACAATAGTTTTCATGTTTTACTTTCCTATGAAAGCATTTATTGTAATTGATTTTCTGTTAAATTATTTATTTTTGGTATAAGAAAAGTTAATTGGAACAAAGTATTTTTGGATAGTATACGGTACTAGGATGAAATGTTATTTCATTAAATATCCTCTATATATTGAGATTTAAATATAGAATTATGATCATATATAGCATATATAATAAAGTTATTAATCTAGTTCTCAAGAATCCATCAAAAGTGCGTCAATTAAGTAACAAATAACTAGATCTTTCTATACAATCTTATTAGTTATTCATGAATATCAATTTGAATCATATTATTTTACGTGCTTTTGATTATAAGTATTAAATTTATAAAAATTTATATGTTAAACATTAGTGATTTGAAAACTGATTTGCAACAAAAATTTTAGGCTGTTGACAGTATTGAAGTACCTCAAAAATATATTTCAGATCTTCATAAGACAATTAAAACTCTAACTAAATTGTTAAAAATTAGAATAAGAACTGATATGCCACAATTAAGCATTAATCAATTTAAAGACACCATGACAGAATTAATAAAAATCTCAAAATAAATGGCTGAATAAATATTGCATAAATAAACATAATCATTGCAAGAAACATAAAGGTAAAACGATTTGGAGAAGAGACTTTTGTTTTTGGAGGAAAATGTCGGAAGCTAATTGAAAGAACTCACTTAAGTAATAATTAAAATAATTATAAGCAAAATATTGATTTGTAAAACTAACTTGATTCTATGTTAAGAATAAAGGAAGAATACGAAAATCAATAATTAAAACTCAAGGAAATTGAATTATAAAATAAATAGTTAAAACATGATAAAGACTAATTAAAATCCTAAAATAGCAATTTACAAAGTTTGATTAGATAACTAAAAGAAGAAAAAGGCAGTAAAATTGAAAAGAAACTAAAGACTCTAAAGGATGAGGTTTCTCATGTTAGTTAGGATTATTAAAAAAAATTGGAAGAAAGAGATACATATATTGAAAGATTAGAAAAAGAGCTTTAGATTGTAAAATCCGAATTAGAAATGAGCGAAGATTATAAAATGCTCACTTAATCATCAAAGAAATTATCAAAATCTCCAGAACAATAATTTTGATTAATAATTAATAAGTATTTTTAATAATTATTATATTAATTTAATTAAGTGATTTAGAAGTATTTAAAGAATGCAATAAAATTTTGATAACAGATTATTGAATAAATTATTATTATTACTAGCATAAAATACTAATACTTAATTTAATGAAGAATGTATAATTTACTATTTTCTAAGTAAATTATATGATGATTTAAATAAGACTTACAATAAGAAGTTTAAAATGATAACAAATTAATTTTTCACAACTGCTTTACCTAATTAAAATTAGTGCTCCTGATTTATGAATTATTTTCATGCAAATTTTTATAATCAAGCATATTCGAAAATAAACTTGCTGTAAATAATGCTGACTAATTCATTTTTTTATACATTGATTCTACTTCTCTTTTAGATTTATTCATTAAAATTGATCTAGCACTAGAAGATGTTTTTAACTAATTTTTCATAATATTATAGTACTGGCATTTATGACTCTGAAGCATTGTTAACATTGTTGAACTTCTTGTCACTTAAATATGTATTTAACTATCGAGAAGTATCATTACTATCATCTTATACTAATATAGGATCTTATTTTGATAATTCACTATTAGGAGATCCAAAAAGATTTGGTTTTTTCTAGCATTTTTATATCTTCCCTTAAGTTTTCTAGAGAACATTATTCTGTTGTGTTAATTTAGCAATGAGTTGGTCCTTCTCGAATAATTAGGTTTAATATTTTTTAATTTCTGCTTATTAATATAATAGTCTTTTAGAACAAATACAATTCTTCTCGCAATTCTGTAGTGAAGTACTAGAAATACCTTAACCTGGTTAAGTCTAATCTGCTTCGTTTAAAAAATTATCAAAGGACAGCCTCGAACTACCTTTCCTTTCACAACTCAATGGATTATTCATCAAAGCTTCGATTTGATCCTTCAATTATTTATTCTCAGTTTATAATTTTACTATAGTGTCTTTAAACTATTTTAATATAGAAGTACTACTTTAACAGATGCTAATTTCAATTAAGTATTTTCATTCTGAAATAACGTATTAATTTCTTATTATTGTTTTATATCAAATTAGTTAAATTCGTTTTTTTCAGCATGTTCCTTAATTTATTTTTGGGCATTTTTTTTATCATCTTCAACCTTAGCAAAAACTGCTTTCAGTTCTTCATATTTTTGTTATTGTGAAAAAAGTGCATTAGCTAATTACTCATTACTAAGTTCCTTTATTTTAATTTGTCTCTGTAAATCTATTATCTATTATTATAAGGTTTCTGTTGTAACAAGGACATTAGAATGAAATATCTAATCTTTAGAATCTAACTTTGGTATTACTTTCTTATATTGATAGTCATCATAAACACTAACTAAAAATTAAAATTAATATTACAATTCTATCCAGATTTATTGGGGCAAGAATTATTTATGATGGATTATTTATCAAAATGAAAATTTTGTGTACCATTTTTTGGATGCATTTCTAGTTTATAGTTAATTTAATATTTTGATTAAAAAAGTTCCAAAAATTGATATTTTAGTTTTTAAATAGTACAACTAGGCAATTAAACATCCTCCCTTCATTGTTTCGTAAATATAATTTTTTTTTCAAAGGGATCTCCTTTTTTTTTATCTATATTATTCAATCAATTTTCTAAATTAAAAATATTATTTTGTCAAGCATAAATATCTGAAATTCATTCTAAATTATTTAGATATTTTTATTAAATGAGCAAAGAATAATAGAGTAGAAAGTCGAAAATTTCACAATTAAATACAGAATTTTTTTCCACTTTAACAACATTAGAAGAAGGATTTCATATCAAAGTATTGACTAGAGCAAAAATCAATATTTTGATTTAAAAATATGGTAAATTGAGCTTTTTTATGTAGCTTAATTGGTTGAGTATTATGATTTTCACAAAGACCCTATCAAAAACTATTTCCTTGATAAAATTTAGTTTGTGCTGTCTCGACCAGATACAATTAAATCTATGGTTTAGCAAGAAATATCCTAAGAGGAAGAGGAATAATTATATTACAGTAAGCTGTAAACTCCTAAATAAATGACTGTTTCTAGAACTCCTTCGATTACCGAGTTAATAGATCGCGAAAATGTTCTAATTGGACTTGAACATAATGAAAACCATTAGAAATCAAGAGGATAACAAATGAACTTGACTTTATAAATTTAGATGCATAGGAAAGAGCAAGAGCCCTCTTTGGATAAATTAATGTCTGTAATTTTAATTAATAATATAGGATTATAAATCAGAGACTGAAAAAATGGATCATTATATCTAATCAGAAATGAAAATTTAAGCTGAAGCTGTTTAATTCAAGTTAGAATAAAGAAGGAAGAAATTAGTTAACTAATAACATAGGATATTTAGAACAGAAGCATCTGATGATGAATCAACTCCTTAACTGCATCATTTTGATTGAAATATATCTACAAATTTCTTATAATTATTAATAATGAATAATCAATAGAAAAATAATTAAGTTACAATATTATTCATAGTCAAATTCAATCCAGTAATATTTAAACATAGTATGAAGTTTATAATACATTAATATTGTATCGATATTTATGTATGTTACACCGCAATGAATAGTATTAATATATTGTCTATTGTTTTTTAAATGGTTTAGAGTTGTTTCCTGAATTAGATAACTCTAAATTTTTTTAAATTTTAATGAGAGTTAATTTTAACACAAGCATCTGATTTTTTGATTAATATGTTACTTAAAACATGCATTGTAATTTATTTAAATTGGAAAATTAAAAAAAAATCATTTATAAAATAATCATTTTAATTAAAACCTTATAATAAATAAGCTTATAATTTACTTTAACTTTATTGTTTTTAGTTAGAAAGTGTAATTTCTCAAGATGTAAAAAAGCTTTTTAAAATAATCTTATTTTTTCATTTATAATACATCAGAAAACAATTTTATTTTCTCATCAATATTGTAGAATTGCTCCTATGTTTACTCAAAATATTTTGGAAACAAAATTAAGAATGTAAATTGTACCTCAGATAATTACTTGTAATAATGTTTTTAGAGCATATCATATTTATGGAGCAATTTACAAAAATGATTGAAAAGCTTTGGTTACTTTTTTCCGTTAATAGAATTCATTTTATGATACAAGCATTCGAATTTTTTTCTCCTAATTATTCATATTAGATATATTAATACTAAGACATAACAATTTATTTAATTTTAATAATATATTAAAACTGTTACAATATTTCAGAATTCTTTTCAACATTGAAAATGTTTATATCTTGGTTATAACCTTGAGTTTGAAAGAGTTTTCATTTTCAATAATTTTTTCATCCTATCCTAAATTGAGCAGACTTATTATTATTGTATTATTCATTAAAATTATTATATTGAGTAATTCTTTATAATTCATTAATATAAATTACAATGTACCCAAAACAAAGAGTATCAACAAGACCAATTACTTCCAATCCAGTTTTAAGTAAGTTTTATTATAAATAAGGGAAAGAGAGTTAATTCGTTGAATTAAAAGGGCTTAATTCAAGACATCAATAAATCTGTTTAATTGGATGTATGAATTTTTGATATATATCAAGATTGAAAAAACAAAACTAGAAATGCTATTCTTGGTTGACGTGGAAAGGAAAAAAACAGAAACAAATAAACAAATAATCCATCAAGCATTTCTAGAATCTCAAGACCTACTAAATGAAGCAAATAATAAAAAGCTAGCAATAATATAATAATAAAATGAAGGCACATTATAACAAATAATACAAAACCATCAATAAGAAATAATAAAATTGCATAAATATTATGAGCAATAGATTGAAAAGATCAAGTAATAGTACGCATCAAAGGAGGAAGAAGAAAAATTTAATTATTAAAATAGCTTATAGTAGTTAAAGATATAGATTTAGACTAATTTTGAGTATCAGCTTGAACAATATAGATAATAATTTTTAAGAGAAAGAAATGAAATCAATGAAAGGCACACTTGGGATGTTTAGAGAATAAAAGAAAAAAATGACCAATAAATAAAGTATGAATTTACAATATCTGAAGAATTGTCTTTGATAGACTAAGTAGAGAATACGACACAAAAATGAATGATTAACTTTACTAATTAACAAGTAGTTATGAAGGCAAAATTGATCAACTAAAACAATAAATTACTCACATTGAATAATAAAGGTAAATTTTAGATGATCAACTTCGAATAATACAAAAATAAAATAGTGATAAATTAGGAAAATAAGAAACGACATATTCTAATGCTTCAGTTTAAACTACAATCCTTTTGAAAGATTAAGATATTTAAACTGAATAATATATTCACATAATTGAACCTTTATATTGCACTAATTATGAAGAGATCATAACAAAGAACAACTAACTGAAATAATTGAATTTTGATTTAACATCTTAGAATTCAGAATTAAAGGCCAATATTCAATTTTTAGAATAATTAGTGAATAAATACTAAAATTTATTTGATTGAAAATTATTACATTTACTAAACTTATTATTCTACTTTCTTAATTTCATTTTATATAGATTTTATTAAGCATAGTTAATTTTTTATTATTTAGAATCTTTCACTAAACTTGAATTTTTTACAAGCTATTCTGAATTCATTCTTTCTTCTTAAAATAAATTACTAATTAAATAAATTGATTCAAAATATTAAGCTATTGCTACACAACATAATACTAGCTAATTGTTATAAAATTGCTTTTATTTTTAAATTATATTAACATCATCTTATAATAATTGGATTTATTAATATCATCTTATAATGATAGGATTTATTAATAAAACTTATAATAATTGGATATATTAACTTATAAGATATCTTATCTGGAATCTTTAGTTTGAAATTAGCATTTAGATTGAATGTATGTTACATGGTAAATTCTTAACATAAACTTAAATATCCATATATCTTTTTGATTTCAACCTCAGTGAATTATATATTATTAATATAATTATATATGCAAGACAATCGAAAATAAATACTAAAATCCTAAGATTCTGATAGTAGCATGAAGAATACAGCCAATACCATAACAAAAATAACAAATAAAAAAATACAACAGTTGGCCTTTTTAAAATAATTTCCTTAATAAAGAAAATCTACTGTTGTTGAAAAAGTGAATAAGCTGATAGATAAGACATAGAGTAAATTGAAGCATTAATAAATACCAAAGGATGTACAGTTTTATTAAAGAAATATGAAAAAATTTGAGAATTTGTCATCCTTCATTAATTCTAAGGGACTGTTGTCTGCTAATTTTAGTATGCCTAAATTACGAGTCAAAGAAGAAGTAAATGATTAAGAGCAGGAATATGTGGATTATTTACTTGCAAAAAGTTGTAAATTTTAAATCATATTAGATAAACTATAGTAAGAAGGACAGAGAAAAAAAAGTAAATAAGCGAAAGAAAACTATGAGCAGTGCTGGGAATTAGAAAATTCTGATTATGATTTTGAGTCTCCAATCAATGTCGGAAAAGAATTAACTATAGCGCATTAAGATCAAATAAAAGGAGAAATAGAAGCAAAAGCAAAATTGTGGGAAATTTAATAAATTCGTAAGTATAAAAGGAAAACAACAAATGTTGAATTTAAGAGTTCTTAAAAATCCTCTTATCACAATTATGAAGACGATGAAATAGTTGAAGGTTCTGGTCATTTGAATGCATAACATTACAAAGAATAATCAGATAAGGTAATTAAAATGATTTGGAATGCGGCAAAGAAGATTTATAATAAAAAACAGGATCAGATTAAAAAAGAGATCCTTATGCAAAAGATAGCAAAAAACTACAGATAAAAGTAGAGGGATATGGCTAAGGAAGAAATTAATAAAATCTTAACAAGTATTATTATAATGTATAATTTAGCTGGTTAAAAACCACATTTGACCTTTGCTACAACTGTAAGGCATCTGCCTGACAATAGTGACTCTAAATAGAATACGGATCAATTTTTTAGGAAAAAAGGGCAAACTTGTCGCAAATTATATGCCCCATTTTCTTTAACTCCACAACATCAATAGGAGGAAATAAAATCTAATAGAAAAATATCATTGATTAATTCGAGATTGCATGATATCGTTAATCAAATTGACAATCTACCTGTTGGAGACTCGACTCAGACTATAAGAAAAATGGAGAGTGAACAAATATTGTATTTTACGTTGAGGGACACTCTATAGCCAGATCAAATCAAAGATACTTTAAAAGGACTGTTTCATTCAACAGATCATTTATATAAAAAGCCTTTGAAATACAACAAGAAACACTTCTAAAATTAAATCTTATGACTCTACTTTTTATATAGTAAATGCAGATATAATTAATTGATTTTTACTATTAATTTTATTCACAATCTCATGTCGTCAGGAGAGTAGTCCCAGGAGAAGAAAACTTTATTTTCATCGTTAGTCTAAAAAAAGTAGGCAGAGACAGATGCTTAAAAAATATAGAATCGCATTTTATAATTGAAAATAGAACATGAAAAAGTGTTGAAACGCATTTAACAAGATGAAGAACGGGCTGATGAAATATATAGACACAGAGTAGAAATCCAATTAAAGGTTCACTATTATTTGGTATTATGTTTAGAAAGAAAATAAAATAAAGTAAAAATAAGCATAACCTCCTCCATTCTCACTGGCGATTTCTCATCATCAAAGACAAATTCTCAAGAAAATAAAGGACGATGAGATCATAAAAAAGAAATCAGAAGCTAAACTTTTTAGAGAATAACTAAAAAAAGATTATTAGAGTGTTTAAATGCAGAAAAGCTTGGAACAAGAAGTTTATAGAATAAAGGCGATTTAAGTGAAAGAGGAGGAAAGGTAGTCTACTGAAGTAGCTGTGTAGAAATTGAAACAAAAAAGGGAAAAGGTTAGATATCAAATAGAAAATGAGAAGGATTAGATAATTAAGGAAAAGAAGTTATATGATTTTAAAATATCAGAATTAGAACAATAGGAACAATTAGCAATGATGGAGCTCTAAAATTCGTTGGCTCATCAATCGTATGTTTAAAAGAAAATTGAACAAGCATAGAAATTATCTCCTAGTGATTTCGAGAAACAATATCAAAATAATAAAAATTCTGAGACCACATAATGATTATTATTAATATTTTTATATGCTAAACGAGAGTTTGGAATCTGATCGCGAAATAGACCCAGAAAGGGAAAGACAAAAGCTTATGCTAAAAAGACAGAAGTCAATCGAGGAGAGTCTCTAATTGAATGTCAAGGATCACATTGTAAAATTAGAAGTATTGATTAAATATATTTGAAGAATTATTTAGCTGAACTTAAAAAGGACTTAGAAATCAGTAAAAAGGAGATGTCGAACTTGAGAATGGATATAGCAACAGTAAAAAATAATCACGGTAAATCAAGCGATGATCTATGTACTTTTATATAAAATGATGTATAACTGATAGTAATAAATCAAGGCAAAAAGATAACTTAGTGAGGCATTAAAGAAATCTTAAGATGCTAAACATGATGCTGAATTTTTGGATGCTCAATTAAATGTTTTAAAAAGTGATAAAGAGAAATTGTAAGATGTTACAGGAACATTAGAAAAGAGAATAATATCTTGTGAAACAGATGTTGGTTTTAAACACGTATATGATTGAATATCAACAATATCACTTATTTAATCTAGATTTGACTTCTTCAATTATTTTTAAACTTTCATCATAAGTATAGGCCTACTAAGGCTTTTAATATATAAGTTCTTATAGTTTTTCCAATTATAAGGTTTGTTCGCTTATAAATGCTTAACTTAAATAATAGGTTGGAATCTTCTCAACATTAGACTATAATTTAAATCAGAACAAAGACTTACTTTGATTTGATTAAATTCTTCCACAAACTCTCCGTCTTTAGCATCAATTTCCTTCTTGATTTCTTATTTTAACAACTATTCATCCCTCATGGCTTATAATTTCACTTCATTTCCATTGAATCTATAATTTCTTAAATCTTCTTCTTCTTTCGTCAATTTGATGCCTTATTATTCTAATTCTTTCTTTTTCAATTTCTCTGCATAGACAATACCTTTGATAATATTTAAATTGTTTGGTCTGGGTGTTCCTGGATTAATTTCTTGATCATCTTCAATCATAGTTTGACTTTCTAATGATCTCTCTCTCTTTTGTAATGGTGTTTCTGTATAAACTTAGCCTGTAGATAAGTTAACTTTTCTTCTTGCAAATTCTTAGATATCATCTTCAAAACTAGTTAGCGATTTCTTATGATAAGGTTGAACAGATGAATTGGAAGGTAAGAGAACTGAATTTAGAAATATTAAAAATACGCATATGCTTAGCTGTTTTAATGGATCTTGATACTTTTTTATGTTAAACTTCTGCTAAACTCGTTTGATGTCTATTTTTTATCTTTGCACTTTTGTTCAAAAATTACACCAAGAATTCTGTATTTCTCCAATGAATATCGTAATTGTTGACTCTTCTGATAGGTTTTTTTGGTTAGGGGTGATGATGATATACAACTTCGTCACTAACCAATTCATTTACATGTTCCAAATGATCTTTTGTGTTTACTAAAATGTCTTTCTACTTATCATGATTCTTTAATTTCATATTATTTGGATATTTATTAATTGGAACATTAAATTAATCCTTGCCAATATCTTACCTCAAAGCAATATCGACAATCTTTTAAACTGTGAATTCTTCTCCAGGAGCCATATAAACCAAACGTGCTTATTCATTATTTTTTAACAACTAAAAAAATGCATCATAACTTAATGGAATGCCTTTCTAAATTCTTTAATTATTAAAATACATCTACACCATTTGTCAAAATCTCTTCTCTCGACAATCCAGTATCCTCTAAATCTTGTAATTTCTTAGTAACTTGAGTTTGGATTTATTTTATTTATTCCTCTGATAAGTTCTTCAATGCTCCTTTTGGACTCACATGACCTTCAACAAATGTTTTAAACTTGCTTAATAACATTATGATATTACATTTTGATGTAAAGCATTTTCAAATGTTGGTACAGCAATGTCTTTATATCTCAAAAGGGACTTAATATAAGGCACTTCTTTAGACTGTCTATGCAAAGTAGTAGGTGGTTTATGATCTAAAAATTGAGGATGGATTTTATCAAATTCAGGGTTGGTTAATAAGTCCTTCTTGATTTTTGAGAAGTGACGAGAGAGTCTTAGAATTATCATATTTAAATAAATTAGAAAATTTATTGACTTTATTAATCTCAACTTTTAAGGGGAGATCATCGACTTTTCATTCACTAGACTTCAATTAACATAAGAAATATATCCAATTGAGATGCTTGATGAAAATCAATAGTAAACTCTGAAAATTTAAGCTTTTAATGGAACAATTAACCACTCTTTGATATATATAAATCACATATATGGATTTTCGATTTCGACCATTCCATCTATTGCAAAACTATTTATCAAAGCTCCTCTGCAAATTACAAGTCCTAATATTCTTTGAGATGGCAATTCTCTCACTTCATCCAATACTAGATTTAGTTGATTATCAAATGATAATAAGGTTCCTTTGACTTGTCTTCCTCCTTAAAATTATATTACCACTTCTTTGTTTATGTGTGATTACAACTTTATAATTGACTCTTTTGGTAATTAATTCATTAATTAATTTATTATTATGTCGACTATTAAACCATTCCAAATTTTCGATATTTTGGATTACAACAACATTAATTTAGACATCCTGACCGAAACAGTAACTATTAACCTAAATTTAGTTCAATGTTGGCTTCTATGGAAAGTACATAGCTAAATGGCCAGAATTTTGTATTTCCATCAAAAATCACTTTGGCAATTTCTAAGGATATTGTAAATACTTCTTCTATTAATTTTTAAGTATTGGGAAAGATTGAAGGAGAAAAAGCCAACAACAATAAGCAGAATTGGCATGGTCATATTAGTGTATATATAATAAATTATGAAGGCAATTACTGTAGCACCTGAATACCGAAGGTAGGGAGTGGCAAGATTCTTGATGAATTACATTGAAGATGTAACGAATAGTTAAAATGGATGGTATGTGGATTTGTTTGTTCGACCTTCAAATAAAATTGCTGTGTTGATGTATTAAAATTTCGGATATGAAATATATCAGACTGTATACTAATACTATAGTAGTCAAAATGGAAAATACGAAGATGCATATGGTATTTTTCAGTCCTATCAAATTAGATATGAGAAAGTCCATGTTGAGAGATAAATAGAAACTAAAATAGAAACCTACTGGAAAGGTGATCAAACCAGAAGAATTGGAATTTAATTGAGTGCGTAAATTTAATATCCATCTATTAATAATTGTTAAACAGAGTCTTGCAAAGTTCTTAACCAATATTATTAATATCTACTCTATAAAGTTAACAACTATATTAAATCACAATGAAATATCAAGTCTTCTTCTTTTTATAATTATCTATCATAAATTCAGCAAAGTAGGCACTTTACGGATTCTTTTCATCATAAATGATATCTTCTAAATAAGATGTTCCCATATTGAACAATGACTCTCCATAGACTATTTCTGCATAGTTCAACTTCAATATTGGAGTAGTTGGTATCAACCAATAATACCATTTTTCATCACCCATGAATTACTTCATATTTTGTAAAAATGATTATTATCTCCCGAATTTGCCTTATAATGACTCGATCACTGTTTAATTGTCTCTAATTACTTAAATTTGATCCCAGAGCATTGAAATGACAAAAAATGAAAAGAAAGAACACATTATTATGACCAAGATGACTTCAACAATCTCAAATTAATTAGCCGTTAATGAATCCCATATATTTTAATAATTCGTCATAAAGAAAGAGTAAATTCCCAAAATATGTATTGATAAGATAGTGATAATGTAACAAAACACGTAGAGTAGAAATAGTACAAAATATTTTTAATTTAAAGCTCCTACACAATTATTCGTCCATTCGCAATGATGATCCATTTTATAAATACATTTCTGACACCTTTTACAATGATGTGCTCTAGGGGGCTTCCAACTGTTGCACTTATCGCAAATATTTTGGTAATACTACAGTAATTGCGAATTATTAAGTAATTTCAATGGCACTGTCTTCTATAGTATTTCTCCAGGGTCTGAAAATTGAATTCTAATGTAGCAAATTTCTGATATAACCCATAATGCTATAGCTAAATTTCTTAAACATTTGATTAATAAGTTTTGATATTAATGAATGAAGACAGTATACAATCCCCAAGTCATTAAAAATTCAACTACAATTACAAAGTATAAGCCAAGTTAATATTTCTTTGATTTTTTTTTTCCTTCTCTGACTTTTTCTTACAACATTATGCAAAAATTATTTATGTGTAAATTCAATAGCAAATTTATTAAAAGATAAGATTGATTAGGACACATAATTTAATGTTAAAGTGACATAAATGAGTTTAGAATCCACATTGAAATGAATTCACTCGAGAAATAGGTCACTATAATTAAAATTACACTAATTTACCATAAATATGGATAATAATGCAATTGATTAAAATTATGGGATAGTGGAAGATTTTAAATGTCAATAATTTTCCTAATGACATACTCTTTTTAATCAATCGGATTTGTTGATACTTTAAGTTTATGAAATAATATTGAATAATATTTCTCATTTTTTTACTTCATTATACTTAAATCAATATCTTAATATCTAAATTCTCATAAGGAAATCTTATTGAGATTATTTTAGATAGGACTAATTTATAAATGATAATTTATGAAAAAATTAATATTATTGGATGATATTAAATTAATCTACTCATGTTTAACAAGGATCTGAATCCAAAGTAAAATAGTTGTTAGCTATTATAGTTGCGAATTCAAGCATTGCAGGTCATTCTTCTAATAGAATTACGCTGAGATGAAGTGGAGTTCAACTCCATTACCCTTTGAGTTCGCCTCATTTTAATTTAGAGATACTGTTAAAATAAAAGAGGGAGACAGTCTATAGATCAGAGATCTCAAAGTATACGACAATTATTTAGTCTTCGATGATCAGGTATGCTCAAGGATAATCTAAATTAGAATCGAACATTTTGGCTTGACTATGAAAACAGTATTATAGACTAATTGTAAGAGCCAAAAGGGATTCGCCTAGTGAAGTGTTTTGATCAAGTTGAATTTTATAGCGAGTCACATCAATGGTTTAAGTTACTTAAAAGACATACAATATAAAGTGATTTCTAGAAATAATATGTATTGATAAAAAAGATTAGTAAGGGAAGGTTTACTGAAGTAAGTTAATTTCTCATTGATTAGGTATACCGGGCAAAAAATAACAGTGATGGGAATGACTATGCTGTTAAAATCTTAAGAAAATCATCACTTATTGACGAAGCAGATTTAATTTCATTATTCAAGGAGATTAAAATTTTGCGAATAGTATAGACTGAGTTTTGTGTTAAATTCAATGAGATCTTCGAGAATTCAGAAAATATTTATATCGTGATGGAACTCCTAATAGGAAAGGATCTGGATGGACATATAGAAAAAAGTTCATTTTTTTCAGAGGAAAAAACTGCTAGATTCATATTTAGATTGATCAAAACAATATCATATTTACATTCAAAGGGAATCATGCATAGAGATATCAAACCAGAGAATATTATATTCAGATAAATTGATAATTTAGATAGTATTTGTTTAACAGACTTTGGATTGGCAGATTTCTACCACAATGATGGCCTCTATTTATTTAAACGTTGTGGCACTCCAGGATACATTGCACCTGAAATCTTAAGAAATGAACCATATGATTACAAAGTGGATGTATATAGCATAGGAGTCATCATGTATTATGTTTTGGTAGGTAAAAATCCATTCGATAATGTTAATTCTAAATAAATATTAATTAATAATCAACTTGGCTAAGTCAATTTCAATGATTGCAAATTAAGTAATACAGGATTACAGTTTCTGAAATGCATATTGAATGACGACTAAAATGATCGACTATCATCACATGAAGCATTAAATCACATTTGGTTTTAAGTTGAAAAAGTTTCTAAAATTAGATAATTTGTTTTCAAGAAAAAGTCTGATAAGAAAAAACATTAGTCTAGTGCCTCGCTTTAAAAGAAGGCAACTGTAAAATACAATAATCCACCCTTAAGTCCTACCTGTAAAATCACCTTAAACTAAATTTATTCTCCATACCATAGTCGAAAGTTGTCTTAAAAAGACTAGTTTTCGCAAGATCTCCAAAATAGCTAAAATACCACCACTAGAATCAGTCAATTTAGCATCTCTAACAAAATTTAGCCTTTGTTCATCTCTAAATTCAAATGAATATTTACTTTTATTTATTTTAAAAATGATCCGCTTCTTATCTAAAATTGACAACTTTGGAGCTGAATTTAAATAAAGGATTGTGAACTCTGAACAAGAACATAAATCAATCATTGGTGGCATATTCACACTTTCAGTCTACAGTGTGTGTTTTGCTTATTCTATTTTTGTGCTGTCATAATGGGCATCTGGACAAATATTACCAAAGATCCTTTTAGAATCAACACTTGCAGCTTTTGAGAAATTTGAGATGCCTAACGAAATAATTGAAATAACCTCCGTTCGTTATGATGACTCATTAATAGATCCTTTTGCTACATAAGGAAATATACTGATGCCGATTGCAGTCATATTAGAAAACAACAAACCAGTTTCTTACCAATCTATATTGGCTAATTCCGAAATATCTAATTATGGAACGAATCTGATTGAAATGGAATAAATGCAAATTATCAAAAATGCTCACAATGATAAAACACAAGAAAACTGTAGATATTACTATTTATTAGTAACTGCTTGTTAATAGTAATACTTAAAAGATAATTAAACATGTGCTTCAGAGGAAGACATATCAAATTATTTGAAAAACACATTAGTTCCCATAGAATTAGAAGTTAAATTACAGTAATTTAATACAAAAGACAAAAAACTATATGAAGTGGAAAAATAGTTACAATTTACTTTACAATAATCTCTGACCCTCAAAGCAGAATTGCTATTTCAAAATACAAACACAGTAATTGATGACAATTTGATATTTTCTAATTCTTTATCTTACACTTATTTCTCTGATTTTAGTGTTTTGACTTAAACTATAACAAAGGCTAGTAGTACCTAAATAGTTAAGGATGATGTTTTAATAGAAATAGCTTTCAAAGTGGATCCAATTGAAGTGAAGTAATCAGTTACTTATGTTAAATTTGGAGAAATGTTGGCTGAGGTTGGATCAATAGCAAGTTTACTATTAGCAGCTTCTTGGTTTATTCAATAATTTAATAGAGAAGAAATGGAAAATAAAATAATTGATGAAATAATTAGTGTTTATTATCCATAATTTCGAAAATTAAAGAAGGTCAAAAGTTGTATGGGCAAAACCATATCAATTATGCATGAAAAGGATTAGATAAATTAAGAAGAATTTCAAAAGTGGTATGAAAAAGTAAGGTAAAATGTCATTCTCAAGCTCTCTGTTGTCAATCAATTGCATGAGATATCTCGGTTATATTTTATATTGCGTTCATAAATTCCGTGTTAATAAATGATCAAATATTAAAATTATGGTATTCCGTTGCCTCATAAACTGTTTGAGAAACATAGTAATGAGATAAATAATGAATTACCTTCTCAGGAGATGAAAATGGAGGATATTGAACTTGAGTCATCAATACTGGTAACAAGTGGATTGTGTGATGATGATCTAAATATTCTCAATTATAAGAAGATCAATATTAAGAAAGAGTGATTTATATGATTTAAATAAATATACAATTTCACCATTAAATTATATTCTTATTTTTACACATGGATTTATCTAAAGAAAACTTCAATTTTTCAATAGTTTGCTTTATTTGGGATTCACTCAAAAGCAAATTCTTTTTGTAATATAATTAATGTTGATAATTTTTTAAAAAGGATGAATTTATTTTTGCTTATAATAAGAACTTCAATAATATAAAACACAATTATAATAAATTTAAATTGCATTAAATTTCAAACATTCAATATTTAGCATGATTTATTATAGCAAATACTCACTTAATCAATTTTATTTGTAGACCATGATAGATTACTAATCTCATTTTCTGCCTTATATTCAAGTAATGGATCTAAATTATGAAGAGTTATACCAATAGAGTTTTAATCATTCTATTTACTCTGTAGTTATGTGAAATCCCAAATCAAAGCTGATTAATCATCGGCTACACTGCATAAATGAGTTGTGGATTCTGGTGCCCATGCTATTGCATTCACATAATCTTTATGATTCTTTAATTTAGCCAAAGGTAGAAGGGGTTATCTGAATAAGAATAAGAATATGAATCAAACCTTGTATCTAGCAATGTGACATAGTTGACATCCATCTCTATGATTGCCAGATAATTTGTATCCATTTTATTCCAGGCTAGTCTTACAATAGGATTATTGTTCTCTGTCTCAAACAGTACTGTCGAGTGATCTAAGGCTCTAATAATTTTCTAAAATATAACCTTAGATCAAATTATCTACAACTACCGTCTGCCCCCACAGATGCAAAAATTTAATGATCAACACTAAAACAAATGTCATAGACTTCCTTGTCATGAGCAATAAGTTGAGTAACTACAGTCTGTTTGTCAATATCCCATAGTGTACATGTTGTATCTATTGAGGCAGTTCCAATATAATTTTGTTATTTGCAGCTCCAATCGAAAGATGTCAAAGGAGCATTGAAATCACTTGTCTATATTCGGTTAAAAACATGAATTAAATACATTTTTTAAGTCCCCCTTAATCTTAACTTGAGAATTTACATCATCATATTCCCAAATCCTTAAATTTTCCCCACTAGTTGCCAGTAAATCAGGATACTTACCCTCGGCATCAGGAATCCACAAGACTTTGGTTGGAGCATATCTATGGTTGAATTTAGCTTTTTTGCAAAATGTTTCTTGTTCTTTGTCCAGCTGGAGGATGAACACCTATTCATAAAGAAAAGCACTCACTTCATTCTAGATGTCTTCAATCATACTACAAATGGCAATTCGAGACGAAGGACTTGGTTTCGATTAAAATCCCATGGCATAAATCAACCAGGGAGCCTTATAGGTGTAGATTTAGTTTGAACTCTCCTGTTGCATGGAGTTGTGCATTTCGTTGGATTACATAATCTGATCTGGCTACTTCGATGCTTACTGTTCTTGTTAGCTCATTACTCAAATATAAATGAAAATTAATTCATTGGATATTTTATTGTTTTCTTCCTATAATTCTATTGTCTAAAAAGGGTAATGCTCAAATGATAAAGAAATGAAATATTAATTGTTTATTGTATTAAATAATCTATCTCAAAAGAGTTCACGAAGCTCATCGTAATTTTTTGAATTGAAAAGCTAAGTGTATTCTTCGGATAATGGATATCCTATGACTTTGGATAACAATACTAATGGAACTAAGAAACTAGGATCACCGATTATAGTGATATCATATAATTTCTTATATTCTTCTAATTAGCTAACATATAAATGAAATAAATACTAAGAATGCTCCTATGCTAAAAATCCTATACTCACTTGATTTGGAATATTTAGGAATTTAGTCATGTAAAAATCACTTGGTAAATCTCCCAACAAAATAGTGTTATTTCTGAATTGAATTCCAGAGGTTTCTAAGATTTTGGCTTTAGTGGTAGCTGTTACCAACATCTCCATCTTTTCTAAGGTGTCGTCTTAAAAAAGCATTTAATTTGTATGTAATGTCATTTCTTCGTAGGTGTCGATCTCGTGAATAGATGCTAAAATAGTGTTTATCACTCTATCGAGTCCACCACTGACGATGTGAAATGGAACATGTTCTTCCACACATTTATTAAAGAATGGTTCGAAAAGATATCTCAAATAGATGTGCGAAGTATTTAATATTTAACATGATAAAGACTTTGTGAATTTAGCTTCATGAAAGGCTTCAGATACTTTTTAATACCATTCATGCATATGCTTATTCTTCTCATCTATTTTTATGCTCTAATCTTTCTCGATTGGAACATAGTAATCATAATACGATTACATTTTATTTTTGAAATCCTAAGGGGATAATTCAGACATTCTATAAAGATTTTCAATATATATAACCTAAACAAGCTGAATGTTGCAGGACTAAGGAAAGAAGAAATAGTTTAGTCAAAATCTGTCACTATTTGTGTCTACTTAGCACCATCAGATATCATCTTTTCAATTTTGGATTTCAATTCCTCAGGATTTCGAATTACTAACTTTTCTTCGCTAAATGAATTTGTTTTCTAAGAAGATAAGAATATAATATATATAAACTTTTTCAGTCCATTCCCCGAGTGTAGGAAACCTCTATATTTACATCTTATATATTAAATTAATTAATCTAAATATTTAGAATTTGCTTAATGGATTTATAGTATAAACTATAATTAATTTGTGTTGATTACATAAAGTTTAATATAATTATCAACCTATATTAAAATAACTTTCTAATAGATTATCTTTATGCCACTCATTCTTTTATGTTATTTAAACCAAAGCCTAGGGAAACAGAGAGAAATCCTTTAGAGAATGCATTTTCAGTAAATATGCCTTCAATTGAGATACATATCATCATCTTAAACATTAAAATTTATCTATAAAACATCAAAAATTAAGTCTACTGACTACATATTAGATATATTTAATTACGTAATTGAAATGATTCCAAAAAGCCAGAATCATATTTTGACACACGCTTCAATTACAAATTAATTTTAATATAAATAACTTAGATCAATCACTTTAAATTGATTTTGATGATCTCCTAAATTTAACTTTCTTCCTTTATTTAAGAATTGCAGTAGAAGATCTGTTATCTTAAATGGCATTTCCAAGATCTCTAGTGTGTTAGAGATTATGCTTCAATATCCCTCTCAACTCAGAACTTGATATGTCCTCCGAAGTATCTGTTTGTTATTGTTATTATTATTACTGATCTTTGGGTTTGGATGTCTCTGGAATCTCTTAAAGTTCTGTATACTCAAACATAATTTATTAGGCTTAAGGTAATGGTTGCATATCAGATTCTTCAGTTTTTGTGGTGCAATTTACACATATAGAAGAGCCCATTTAGTTATGAAATTAATTAAAAAAACAAATAACACTTATCAAAACTTCATTTCAAAAGCCACAATACCTTTTCTATTGAAATTCTCAACCAGAAGTGTAAGACCTCCTATCAAAGATCCTCCAACAATTCCACCAACAAAAAATGGGACAACCCCTAGAGTAGAATATTTATTTAATATACCCAATGTAGATTTGTATACAGCTCCTGAAATAGCACCGCAAAGCATATTTTTTTTCAGTTAATTAATATCAGCTAATTCATCTTCAAATAAGAGATTCATTCCTGCTCCGACGAAATAATACAGCATGCTTGCACTAGCAGCAGCTTAACCGTATGTCGATGTTCGTTTTCCTACAGCATTAAAGAAATTGTTGAGAATCAATTTTTTGGGCATATTAAATTATCTTGGAAATCCTTCAATAGCTCCTTTTAGTAACCCAATTGATGAAGCTAGAATTATGAAATACAACCTACCTAACATGTAACTGACACCGACAGTGAAGCTTATCTTGTCACCAAAGTCTTATCCTGAATATTATTCAATTTAATTCTCGGCCTTGCTTCCCATAAATTAAAATTTATTATTAATTAACTTATTTTCATACCTCAAATAAGACATTATAACAAAGATATATATTGTAAGAGTTCATCTCAACATAATAAGGGAACTCTAATGTTGAAAAGTAATAATTAAATATTTCAATAAATTTGATTTTATGTTTACACTTTGAAACATTAAATTTAGATTTTTCATCAATTTAATTTAGAACATGCAAGTATTATATAATATTAATAATAATTATATTTAATAGCAGAAGTACTTGCAAATTGGCTATGAATCTGGGTCTTCTTTATGATTATAAGTAGTAAGATAAGTAAGATTTCATAAATAAGTGTATTCATTTACAAACATGCCTCAAATAATCAGTGCTTCATAATAATTAACAATTAATTTGACTTTTATTATGACAATCTATTACATATTTATGATAATTATTAAACTCCTAGGACAAATGTAAACCCATTTCCTTTTGTATAATTTTTATGTGAATTAAATTGAAATTATTAATTGAAATCACAATAGGCAATAGAACTATTCCGCATGTTAGAGTATCTGAGTAAGTTGAGTTATTAAAACCATCCTCTTGCTGTAAGACTGTATATGCAGAGTTAATTTATTTAATGAATGAATAAATATATTAAATTATTGATCATCCTTATTTTTAGATGGGCAAGAATAATTTAAATTCAGGCGGCAATTCCTCTTCGCTATATAAACGATCACTGAAATAAATTCTTCTAATTCTGCAATTGGCATGTATTTGAACTCTATTATAATTGCATCTATATGTACCGTAATGTCTCTATGTAATTAGTACCATATGCTCTTCTAGTGAAATCAGATAAATTGAACTGAATTTGATTCCATCCTTCATCCAATCTCATAGGCATGGTACAGATAAATGGTTTGACTCTGGTTGTCGACTAATAATAACTATGAAGGTGTACTTGATAATTGGAGGCTCTGAATCTTCTTCTAACATTTTTGTCATCTAGGACTTGCACTTCAAATGTAAAGTATTTTTTAAGCTAGATATTAAATATGATGAATTTACATTCTTAATAATCATTACTAAGAATGGCAATTTGATTCCCAAAGTTTCTTTAGGATCGGCAGGAGCAGTAATGAAATTAGTGCTCACATTTGTACCCATGATTTCTAGAACTGATGATTAAATATCTTAATCTGTAATTCGCTTGATATGTCCATTCTTAACTTTAATATTGGACCTATAAAATACTTTGTTTATCCCAAATCTACAAGGGTTTTGATCCTATTGAATATAAAATTGAAAGAAATCCACTTTGGAATGAGTTCTTGAACATCAGTTATTTTTTTATTTAATTTAACAATATATATATATCACATGACATCCAGCAATTTAATTATTACACTCAAATTAAATTACCAACAAAAGTAGCTCTCTTGTATTTCTTACTCAAAGATTCCCAATTCACTACAAACTTATCACTAACCCAATATAATAGTTTTCCACTCAAGGATAGATTTTCCACTCTGCACCAACTCTCTATAAATAAAATCTTGCATCTTTTTCGAATAAATAATAACTACAAATTATATGATCCATTACATATTGTGCAATCAAAACAATCACAACTGGAATGCATGTCCCTGGACCATTAGTAATAAAGATATCCAGATCTCTGAATCTCAATAAGATTAAAAAGGTATGCAGTGTTGCCTTGAGTGTTGTGATTATTGAGGACAGATATGATTGTTTGACTTTTCTACTTCTGTGAATCGTAATCCATTCCACTTTTGGTAAAGCAATCTTTGTATTTTATTAACTCTTTATACTTTGTTGTCTTCAATAAATTTAGCAACTCTCAAGGGTTCCTAAGTATCAGCAAAGGAATGCATAAAATATATATTCTAACATTTTTATTGGAAATCATAATTTCTTAAGGCCATCAACATTTCATAAGTGTGTCCACCTGATCCAAATAAAATGAGCATATTGTATTTTTTATTGTATTTGGAAGCAAGCCAAAACCTCAAACCAACATATGCCAACAGGAATATTAAAATTGATAATGTTAACATAAATAAATTAATCACTTCTTTAGTACAGCTCTCAAGTATCTCCGAATTGGAGTTGAACTATAAAACGTATATAATCATTATATTTACTTTGTTAATATCTGCATCGGCATAAGTAGCAAGAGAGTTCGACTTTTTTGCATTGCCTTAGTCAATGACGAATTACTAGGAATCCATAAAAAGAATGCAATAAAAAATAAGTAAAATGTGAAACAAATAAAAAGAGTTCCTCTGGTAATTGATAAATTCTTGAAGGAATTACTAATACTTTATTCTAACTTTTCAATTAAATATCTTTGAGTGTATCTAATGATGATCTTTTCCATAACCCTTACCTCTACACTAAAATTGGTACTTAGTAATAAGATTCCGAATTATTTATTTTGTGCCTCTGTTTAATTCTGCAATCTTTACATTTCATAATCTAGTTATAATATCTTCAGATTTTCATAAAATTTAGTTAAGCCTATTGATAGTCCATCAGAAACCGTCCCGTCTAATACAGTGTTACAATATTCCTCAGTGATAAAAGTTTATAATTGTCCTAGAAGTGGACAAGGATTTTAAATGTACAGTTACTGAAATACATTAATAAAATCTTGTTAGAATAAATCAACATTTTAAGTGAATTAAGTTTGCATATTTGCATTCACATCATACAACTATGTTAGGTAGGTTTCAATAAATGTTGAAGGGGATGTACTAAATATGTTCCTGCTGGGATTCATTATATATTCTCTAATAACATTATCTCCAAAACGATATTAAGATTCCAACTGGGATGTAGTATTCAAAATGGGACATAAATGATATGTATCCTCTACTACTTATTAGGCTGAATAATATTGATAGATAAAGTAGCATTGGAGAAGCATAAAGATAAAGAATGCTGTTATCATCAATTTGTAAATTTTGGCATTGCTATTTTTCCAAACTTTTTTAGTTTTCTTGTTCAACATTTTCAATTCTTCTTGTTCTTGATTATGATTGTGGTTGAATTAATGTTCCTCGTTGTCCTCATCCTAAAGTGAAAAATTATAATAAATACCTACTCTTCATCCCCAACATTTAAAATAGATAAGAATTTTTCGCAATTTTAAACTACTGCATGAATACGTTATTCATTAATTTCAAAATAAAACAAATATATTTACTGAAGCTATCTACTAAAATAAATCAAGTAAAATGCTATTAAAACATATGCAATTAATAACAGAAAGGTCTGTAATATTATAAAGGCTGTCTTGTTATCAAGTGAGTTCTAAGACACTGATTTGATTGAGTAATAGAAATAATTCAAAGGTATGTAAGAATATTGGGTTACTGAATTCAAAATGTTATAATTGTAGTAAAAGAAGTCAACATTTGAATCATCAAATAAGGAAATTTATTTTTAATTTAATTGAATTGCCTTAGCTATTAGTTAATCTATGGATTCCTTGTAGGTGTAATTCTGGCTGCTTCCATCTAATGAAAGCAGTTCTACGTTTTGAGTGAAGTAGATTGTTTCATATATTTGATATTCTTCATTTATATATGTATCAATCATACTCAAATTCGAATGAATTGCGATAAGTTCTTATATTTCCTATTCCATCAATTCTAAATTATAATTAAAAATTTCATCAAGATCAGACCTAGTATTTCTAATCTCACCATATCTTACCAATCTAAGATCTTGCAAGATAGCATTAATCATCAAGCAACTAGATAATCGTTTGTTTGTTAAACTTAAGTTGAATATCATATTTGATACTTAAGTGTCATCATTCAAATTAAACAAGAAGACAACTAATCCTGATGCAAAAAGAGTGAATAAGGAAATTTGGATAAACACATTAGTTAACTTTAAAGCGTTTGGAATGTGGGAACTAATTAGAAGCTTTTTGATAGTGGATTTAGATTGGAATAATTTGAAATAGTGTTAAAATTCTTAGATTTCAATTTCTTTCTCTTCATTTTCCTTATTTTTTGTTTGTTCGTTACTTTCCTCTTCCATTTCTTCTGAACCCTAGTTATTATCCTAGATATCTATTATTTGGCCATCCCACAGTCTTTTAATTTTAATTCCATCATCATAACTTACAACATGTTTAATAGATTATGTCATTTTCTTAGCCATTAAAAAGTAATCAGCAATTCTTGATATTTTTGATGTATTATCTTCGACATGACTGTTATTGTTAATTGATTCTTCAATCTAAGTCAAACTCATAAAATCCATATAGAAAATAGATGGTGGGATATATTGAAAAATGGGATATTTGAATCTTTTTTATTGTGCTTGAAGCAATATCATACCTGGGGAATCTGCATCATTAACCTTGAGTTTTTCTAATTTGATTATCATTCCGTATTTGCTACTATCCTTTAAACATGGAAATTAGATGTAAGACAAATAACATTAAAATTCTATCTAATCATATTAGCTTAAGGTTGTATCTACAGTTTTAGTGCTATATTTCATAGCATGAGGTTTAATTTATAGTTTGGCTCCACTTTTAGAGAGAAATTCATCTTTCCTTTGAAAAAAATCAGGGAATAATTCTTTGATGTTAATTTTTCTCATTTTGATTCTTTGAGCATCTAATTTCAAGAATGTAATGCAAGAACTAGAAATATGTTCAATGTGACCTTTTATGTCCAATAATAAATAGCATAATTATTTAGGACTAAAGGATTATTAATATTGAGCAATAAAAAATAATTGATTATTTTGAGCCTACAGTAATTTGATAGTTGAAAAGATTGGTAAAATATAATTACTCTTAGTTACTAAAAATACACTTTATGTGATAAATTCCTTTTCTTATCTTGCTTTATTTTCTATAAATAGCTCCACGCATTAATCATGCTTTTCATTGAAGCTAAAATATAATAGTTTTTTACATGCTTGGGATTATTTGATTGATAGATCTGTCGATTAAGTCTGCTTTTGAAAATCCTAACAAACTACAAAAAGACTTGTTAACTGCATAAATGTTAACTTTTTAAAATTAAGCAGAAGCTACCAAGGTTGGAGTTGATTGATTGCAAACTTCCTCTAATTCACTTAATTATTGTTATTTAGATTTTTGGAGAGTCCAAAATAATTATAAATATTAATCTGCCTTCTCTTAATCATCTAGCACCAATTAATAAAACCTTGATAGGTAATAGTAGAGTTTTAATGATTTATTATCCTAAAGTTTATTCCATTTGTAATCGATTAAGTCCTGTAACTTAATAATTTTGAATCCATAGGCCATTAATTTACTCATATCTGGCACTTCCTCTTACAAGGCACTCCAAAATTCAACAACCTTCAGAGCCACTATTTCTAGTTGGTCAATAAAGTCTTTCGTCTAATTTAGTGAGTTTGTAGATTCAAATAACTCAGCCTTTTTATTAGATTCCTCTTCAATAATGGTTTTATACCTAAAGATATGAAACTCATAATCTAAGGTGGGTTTAAAGTCCATAGCTTGATTTAGTTCTGACATTATCAAAGAATATGGTCTTTATTGATTGAAGAGAAAATAGATGTAACTTAATCTTAGAGGAGTATCATCTGGAAATTTCTTAATTCCTTCATGGTACATTTAAATTATCAATTCAATCATAATGTAATTTCTATCTGTATAAATTAGATTTTCTTTGAATTTATTAGCCAATTCCAATTTTAATTTCACACTGCAATCAGGTCTATCGCAAATTTCCTTATGGATTTCAATAAAACTATCAAGAAGCAATTAGGCTCTTTAACATTTTTCTGACCTTTTTATAAGTAAAACTAGATATTCGCATAAAAGAATTATTTATCTTCCATTTTTAAGCTTTTTTAAATTAGCAACAAATAGATCTACTGTTTTCTGTTATCTTACAGCTAAAATCCCAATAATTAAGGGAACTCCTATCAGCCATGCTTGTACAGTCTTTTAAAAGGTTTGACCATCAAATGAATATGAATAGAGCATCATTATAATAGTCCACAAATTGACAGCTGATAGAATAGACTATATTCTCTGGATAAAAGTATCGTAATAAGGTTAATCTAGGTGAGTACTTATGAATATCCAAGCACTGCCAATGAGGAACACAAAGATAATGATAATTGTATATTGAGGAGTGGGTAATAATTGATAAACCATAATTTACACAAATACGTATAGAAGCAGTAGAGCAGATGATCTGCCATTTCTCATAGCACTAGCGTCTTGGCCAGCATGTCTTGATTCATAAGTTAGGAATGCCATGAGCATGGAAAACAACAATGTCACAATCAAACCGATGATGGCTACAACAGCATGGATGTAATATTCGGAAGTCCAACATTCTTCTGATTATTCAAACATCATAACATATGTCCCCTATTTATTATATTCGCATGCTAATAAACCAAATTACATCCTGACTATTGGCCAAAAACCTATTGTGAGAATTATTTTAAGTAGGTATTTGAGCAATAGCAAGGGAGGTGTTTATAACTTCTAATTTTTAATAACAAAGGCTAGAAGGAGGATTAGTATGATGCTTAGGACAATTAATCCGAGACATATATAAAACACGGTCAAATAAGTGTTAATTCCAACATTCTTAACTTAGATTGTAATTGTAAAATACCTAGATAAACAAGAATTATACTTTAATAATAGATTAATCAAGTCACTGTAGGCTTTATTCTACCATACATATTGAACTTTGAGTCCAAAATTTAAATAGGTGAATTGTAGATATTGAATTAAGCACAAGAGAATTGTTAGCCATCTATAATCTGCCCATCGCTTCAAAATTAGGTAAATAACTCTAAATAGACACAGGATTACTTGAATAGTTTATATTTCAGAGAATTCACAATTTGATTGATTTATTCCTTCTTTTTCATTAATATTATATAATTTCATTATGAATAAATCATTTACTTAATATCCTTGAGCTTACTATTAAGTTCTTGAATTTACTACTGATTCGCCATAAGCATTTACTTCAAAAGTTGATTTTGTTGAATCTTAGTATCAATAAGGATCTTATAGTCTTCGTTATCATTTTTAGTGCGTCTCTCCAAGGGAGGTTTGAGTGACAATTTTATGACATTAGTATTGATGGTCATTGAGCTTAAGTAATCTACCACTCTTTGGTTCAATTGTTTTTGGGAATCTATAATGCGTTGAAGTTAGGACTTATTCTGCTCCAAAGCTTGTATTTGATCAAATAGTTATCGTTTTTCGTCTTCGTGTTTTTATTTTAAATCCTGCACTTCCTTGCCAGACATAATACTCTAAGCACTGGTAGCCAATGACATTGACATTGCCCTGTTTTCAAATATAGACTCTTTTAGTTTTGTCTTTAATCGTTCTATCTATTATTGTAATTCTTAAATGTTCCTCTATTAATCTGCCTGAATTGAATTCTAACTTGAATAATTCGATTCTCTCTTAGAGAACTACTTATTTTCCAAGGTCAAAGCATCGACTCTGGCTAACAAAATGGCAATCTCTTCATTTTTTTATTGAATATACTTGTCTTTTTTTGAATCATCAGGAGATTGCATCTATTGTAATTAAAACTTATAGCTTTCGATTTCATTATCCTTTAATGCGAGTTGTAATTTTAAATTGGATATTTCAGCTTTCATTTCATTATACTAAGATTGATCTTATTATTCAATCATTGAAAACCCAATGCTTCTGATTGACTAGGATGTTTCCCTACTCTCTATTTCCTAGTTAGGCGCTGGTAATTGCATCAGGTTCAACTTACTTTCTGCATCTTTTCTTCTCACATTCCTTAATATCCACAATTCAAGATCTTCATGATTAGTGTTCTTCAATTAAGTTCTGGCCAATATAAATATTGCAGACAATTATTTAATGAATGAATCGTATTTTTTGATTAATTGTGTGATTAGGAATAGAGTTGTATCAAAGTTAAACATGTTGATTGAGAATGTTATTAAGTATCTCTTCAATCTACTTTGTAGGAATTATTTCAGCAACTATTTTTCATCTTCTCCCATACCATATCCTTTTACGCAATAAGTTAATATGCTTAAGATGCATTCCTCAGGAGGTTTCTATTTGTAGATTATGCCTAATAATTGAAAAGTGGAGGCTTCGGAGGAAAAACATAATAGAAAATTGGCCAAACTCACTAATTCGGCTGAAAATGCAACTTCTGGATTCTTTGAACAAAATGTCAAACAAACATTCTACAGTTTTGTATTGTCTTTGCCAGCTAGATAATAAAATTCTTTTAAAGAATAGTTGATATTGTCAAAACCACTTATTTCTGTTTTATCAAACCTTATTTTAGCGCTCTCTCGAGCATTCTTATATTCCTGCTAACTTAGTGAGCCTCCCAACCATTATTTCGATAGAGTGTCAACTCCGTAAGCAATATGATTCTACTCCACAAAATTCTTTATTTACTCTGATTCCTTGAATTAGACTTCCATATACCTCTTTACAAATTTTGCACATTCTATGCGGTTTTGCTGATTCTTTGCCATCTTTTTTAATATGGTTAATCTTGAATGGAGAACATCCCTCACATACAGCTCGTAAACATCTGCATTAAGTTTTATACATACCTTTTGCATTGATGCTCCCTCGTTGTAAAACTGAAACTTTTCTGACAGATTTGACATTTTGGAATTTTCCCACGCACTTCAGGAATATTGATAAAGGTTATAAATTATTTCATTTTTTTTTATTAGCAGTTCAAGTAATTTTTATTTATAATACTTGTATTTTTCTAAATTCCAAAAATTCTGATGATTATCTCAGAATAGCAATTCGATTATTTTATTTCTACTTAATTATGCAATCGTTAACAAATCAAAAAGTTAATTTAAGATAATAGTATATTTTACAGCTATACTTGATGAAACCCTAAAATATATATCTTTAAATTGTCTGTCTAAAGAGGAACTCTTTGACGAGGCTATTAACTTCCATTTCTATATTATGATAAATTGATAAAGAAGGAATTCATTGTAAATAATCTAAGGAAGTGATAGTATTCAAGTAACATTTGCAATTACACAACATCTCAAAAATGGGATTATTGAATAATGTATCAATCTTAGTTAAGGATTGAAAAGTGATTTAGTAAAGATACTCTTATAATCAAAATTTGATTGACCTAAATAGATATTGATATAGCATACTAATAATTGAATAAACTGTTAACCTTAAGAAAGTTAACAAATCCTTTCACTGATGAATCTCATTCAAACATAATAAGGATTTATCAAACTCAGATAATATTTCACTCTTATTTTAAGTATGTATTTTTGATAATTATCTTTAAGAATGACATAATAAATGCTTTTGTTTAGACTCATTTTTAATAATGATAATTGCCTATAATATCGTTTTGCTGATGGCCTTAAGAAAGTTAATGTTCTTAATTATTGGTATTCTTACTAAGATTTACATAAATATTATAAAAGAGTTTAGGAGAAATAATTAAATATTTGTTCAAACATTATAAATGCAAATCTCAGGAATTCTTTTAGTAACACAATTGAAAAACATTTTATTAATTGAATCTTATTCTTCTATTTTCACCAATTTAATTGAAATTTTATGATTCATAAATTCACACATTTTATTGGTTAGATGATGAGACACAAAAATGTACAAAGAGTTAACTAAGTAAGTAAGCTGATATGGAGAACAGTAGAGAAAATGAATCATAAGCACTATAATACATATTATGAGTATAAATTAGTGAATAATATTAAAACACCCATTTAATTTCTTAAAAAGGAAATATTACGTGAAATACTAACAATATATATTCATAACTAGCGAATCATAAATGATATTTCAAATAATTGATTTAGATGAACGAACTCTATTTAGAGTAGATCGTAATTCAGCAACAACTTATTTTGTTACTATTTTGGTTTGTTAAATTTGAAATTTATCACTGCTTTGTTATCTCATATGAAAAAAAGTAAACCTTTTGGCTGCATCTTAATCTATTTTCGGCTTTAATTTTGGTTGTCTGTATTTGTTATTGTCTTCATTCAAATAAGTGGATAGATTTTTAGTACTGTATGTGCTTTCAATCCCATCATATTTTTTGGATTTATTTAATTACAGCTTGCTATCTTATTCTTCTATGCAAGCTCCATGACATATTGTTCTTTTAACTATTTTACTTTTGATCAATCTAAATGATGAGTTCGATGTGTTCAAAACTGAAGGTTACATGATTATTTAAAATATACAAATAAAATGTTTACTTATCACACTAAAATAAATGAAATATGTATTTGTTAATTATTTTATAAAAATGAACTCTTAGCAATATTAGCAAGAAATCTGGAATATGAAAGTTGCAGTCAGAGTACAACTCTAAAATAGCAAAATACCACCTATGTATCTTATGATTTATAGACAACATTATTTGCTTTTCTATTACCAATAGATCTTTGATGTACAAATATCTGAATTATAAATAAGCATTTCGACTCCTTTTCTCCTTAATTTAATAAAATAAATCAAATCACTTTCCGTTACAAAGATATTCCCTTACCATACTAAATACCTTTTGGGGTGCTGGTGGATTTACATTATAATGAGGACGTGTTCATTCCTCTTGATTTAACATTAATCTACCAGAAAGAAGCTCATTTTGTAGATTTAGAAGATGAAATCAAGAACCAAATCAAATTTAACCTAAAACAGGCGTGCTTTGGTCGTTACAACCATGAGGGATATGGAACTCCACTTAAAAATTTAACATAATATATGTCCATAAGCGATGAAAAGCAAGCATTAAAGCAAATAAAGTCATTTGAAAATAAGGAGGATCTCTATAGATATTATAAGAAAATATTCGAATCCCCTAAAACTGGAAGATTATAGCTTCCTATTAGAATATATTTCAAAAAAGGAGGTCACTTATAAACTATAATTGAATTGAAGGACTAACAATTAACAATAGGGCAAGCCTTAAGCACCAAATTATAGGGAGCTACTTTTATATTCAACGGAGCTCTCTTAAATATGAACATACCAGCTCAAGATTTTTATGACCAGCTTTACTCAATTGATGGATTTTGCTATTTTGTTTGTGAGTGAACAGTTTGTTTTATTATTAAACTAGAAACATTTTTGTTCATGAAATCAATAAATCATACATAAATATTTTAATATTCTATCTCAGATGTTTGGCCAATAGGATTTCTTAAATGCAGTATTCGTTTTGATTTCATCATTTGAAATTTCAGAACTCATCTTCTGTATGGAATTCGGAGCATCGGATTGAATACCATCAATTTGAAACACCATCCAAGTCATGTCCACTCTATCCATTTATTAATTAGTTACTATGTAAATTTATTAAATGTTACTTTATGGTAATCGAAATTCTACCAAAGGGTATTTCAATTCATTTAAATATACAGTTATATGAGGATCGGAATCTATCCAATCTTGATTGATTCCCTACTTTGATAGCAGATCTAAGGACTCCTACCGAGTTAAAAATCTTTTCACAAATAAGGTGTATCTATAAGGTTCTAATTGGGTAATATCCAAAATCTCAATGTGTTGATCCTCCTTTGAGATTGAAATGTGCTCCATTCCACCACAACTTTTAGACAAAGGTCCTGTTAAACAATTGTTTTCATTCACTTTGAAAATACCATACAAGTCAAGATTTAATGATTTAGATGACCATTCTAAGATAACTCTTACAGAATGTTTTTGGATACTGCTAGTTAATCGAAATATATAATTAGTTTTCGGTATTCTTCTCTATAAATCTAGAACTGAGCATGTCCTTTTATAATCTGTAAATTATTATATCATAATACTTGGCTTGTATATCATTATTGTATAAGAGTTGCCTTTACTGAGGTTATTTAGAGTGGCCTTTCCATTCTCATCAGTTTATAACTCATAAAGGTTTCTTTCCAATTATTTTATAATTTAGCAAGATTATGACAAGAATTTTCCATCATATATTTCAATTTACTAAATTACTTAATTAAATTTACACTATTCTAAATAGGTTAAAAATTGGTTGCATCTTCTATGACGATTGTAATATCGTAGAATCTGAATGCCTAATCAGCATATTTTTATGTGTCTTTTGATATTCCTTCTAATACTCTTTTTTTTGGAATTTCATAGAACTCTTTTAAGATTTCAAAATCAGCAGACAGAGGATAATCTGAGCAAAAATATAAATTATTATTGAAGAAATTCTCTGCCTCATCTATCTTCCCTTTGATCAATATCCTATCAAATGGTAATACTTAGGCTTAGAAAAACTCTTTTGTTATTTCTTCATCAATAATGATTGACAAATCCTATTAGTTTTCTTCGTTAAGAATTGTAAATTACCCATTTGTGCCTTAAATTGCTAAAATAATTCTAATTAATGATATTATAATACCCCTTCAAATTATTATCAGATGAAAAGGTTATTTTTTGTAATATTACAGCAGTAATTTGCTGACAACTTTGTAAATTATGGAATCCAATCAACTTCTCTTATTTATCGAAGTTCTTATAAATAGGAGTAGGTAATATAGTAATTTAATTTAATACAGATTATTCTCTAGGTTGAAATAATTAACAATTCTTACTTAACAAGAGCATGTTAAATTCCTATTTAGAGATCAGGAGTGAAATTGTAAGTGCACACAGCAAGAATAGCAAGTATTAGTAATATAATAAAGACTACTCCATCTCCAACAATGTGCATTTTGTATTTTTTGAATGTGCTTTCTGATAATATTGCAGCATTAAAGGATTAGACTAAACCAATCATTATGATTAAATTAATCCAAATAGTAAGACTGTTAATTGGACTGAATAGATAATTTTAAACGGCCTTGCAACATTATAAGTTAACGCATCCCAGTTTAATATTTGAATCCGATTCCCATTCATAGGTTTGTTGATCTTAATCACAAGGCAAATATGGTGACAGATCCAAATTTAAATATTTTTATGAGCATTATAATTCATCTTTTAGACTTGTTTCAGATATCGTCTACATTGCAAATCTACATCCATTGGGTGAAGATAATTCTAAATTTAAAGATTGGATTCTTCTGACTAACAATCCATTTACACAAGCTGCCATGATGCAAAGACCAACAATAATGTAACTTATAGTAACAAAAAACACTTTAATTTTCTTGACATTAAATGTAGCAACAAGGATAGTCGATATAAAGAAAACCAATAGGATTATTTTGATGAATGATATTTCTATGTTTGTACTTGAGACCTAATACATTTAATAATTAATTTAAGAGATAACCTAAGTTAGATGAAATCCTTACTTTTTTGAGGTAATATGCTGCAAATGCCAAAAATATTAGATTAATAGCAGAAGTAGCATAGATGATCAATCTTTGAACTCCGTATTCTCTAATATTGAATTGTCTACTCACATTAGCTAGATAAAGTAGTAAAAATATTTCAATTATAGTCAAGGGGAGTATCAAAATAAATTGATTGTAGGAGTTATATTCAATCAAACCTAATACTAAGCCAGCTTAGATTGCACAGAGTATTTATGTGAATAGAGAATGAAAATAAGGCATACTTGATAGTGGGAATCCCTCCTGCTGATTAATAACATCTCTCACTATTTGAAATGTTAAACTCCAATAAAAGGAGAAGATGCATACAATCAATATGGCTACCTTTAATTTATGTGGCAAATTACATTATTGAGTCCCAAAAGCAAATATTCAGTCAATCCATTAGAACTGTACCACATGTATGCAATTACTATGCTACACAATGAACATATTATGCAAATCGGAACCACAAATTTCAGAGATTGCAAACCCTATTTCTGAATCTACGGGGAATATTGATGTTTTGTGATTTACATGGGATTGATATCCTTATTCATAACGATAATGTATATTTATTAATTATTATTCAAAATTATCTAAGACACTTTACGCTTTTTGGATTGCCCAACTCCAAAGTTGATTGCCATTATTAGTTGCAATACTGAGATCATTTATGCTTCTGCATTTCCCTTGACGTTAATACCCATCTCCTTGTACTATATAAAAGTTCTAAGTATAAGTCATTTTTTATAACGGTTCTTCCTGAATTTTATTATAGGGATGTAAATTTAACAAATAATTTGAGCTTCCTTAAATTTTGCAATTGCTCACATTCATTGTAATTGTTACCATGTACTAAATTTTCTAAATAATGTTAAATTCCTTCCCCAGCCCATCTTTTGGATCGTGCCAGAAATTTGGTATTATATCAGGCAAACTCCCTTTAATATCTTTCTTTCCTCATCCAACAATTTCATACTACACTTGTGAGGTTCCTCGTAAATAATTAGGGATCCCAGTAATATAGACATATTTATATTATTATTAATAATGGGGTGTATAAGTGCCAAAGATGTCCAGTAATCTATCAACAAAAACATCTATAACAATATGAAATAAATACACATCATAGCCTTTGATCAAGTAATTATATTTGTATCTAATCTCCACAGCTTTTTTTATTGCAATCCCAATGTTTAAGAGATCTCGATCTTTTACAGAGTAAAGTGATATCCAGAAGAATCAATTTGATCAATATCACAAAGGCTCATCTTCTCAATAACCCTAAATTGACTGAAGCATTTAGATTGTGGACTTGGGGAGTTTCACTTTGTAACAAGGGAAATTCAAAAGGAATTAATGTACATTACAATTTCAGCAATCCTAATGAATCAGTTGATAAGAATCTTACATTCATTTATAATCTAGGTTCCTGCAAAGAACTTAGGTTTCTTTGGTTTGCTATAATTCTGAAGGAATATGTTGAATATGTATAAATTGCAAAACAATAATTTCCAGAAGAGCGTCTCAAGGCCAAAGATATTTATGACAAATTGAAGACTATGAGAGAACAATCTTAAATTTACTTAAATACTTTGTCACCAGCCGAAAAGATTGAATCCTTTTCAAATATCGAATACAATATGAGTAAAATTCACAAAGGATTGCACAATGCAGATTCTTTTTATGAGCATTTAAAGGAATTAGAGTTTGAGTTATTGGCAGTTATTGATAAGAGTAATCAATATGAAATCGAAGCAGATTAATGGGGCCGTAAACTATATCGAGATCTAGATGTCATACCTGTTGGCGAGGATTCTTATAGAATGAGGGCAAAGATGAATAGTTTAGTGTTATTGTATCATCCAGGTAAAAAGAGAACATAAGAAGAGGAAGATTACTATTATAATATTAAATTAGAACGTTCAAAAATAAAACCTAAAATTATGAACAACGATGAGGAAGATAAGAAGTTTAATTGTAAATTAAGATGGACTGGTTGCTCTGAAGTTGATAGGAAATGGAGTGAAATCTCATACATTTTGGAAGAACACAATCAATAAATGAAATAAATGAAATAGATTAGGAACAAAATACGAAATGAATTATAAACCTATAAGTATGAAGATGACAATTTGATTGTAGCTTGGAAAATTTACTGTCTGTCACTATTAACTGAAATAAAGGATGTAAAGATTACATTAAACATAAGTGATTAAGAAACAGTTTAGAGGATTCTCAAAAATCAAGTACCTTTAAGCCAGAATTTAGAACTACAATCTAAACTATTTAGTGAATATTTCTTCATAATAAGACCTTCAAAACAGAAGTAACTGAAGGAGTATTGGAAGAAATTGGATTTTGATAAGTAATGGATTTAAGGATCATTTATGGGTTATGATCAGTTCAAGTTGATGCATCACTAAGATCAGTATAACATGATGACAAATTTAGCCAAGAATATTTATGAATTTACCTCTAAAAATCCTGATTATCAAGAGATATATTAGAAAAGTAGTTTATTTATTAATTCATTTAGAATACATGAGATTAGAGCAAGAGGCTGAGTAGTTATTTAATGATGGGAAGTCTATATTTGAGGAGATGGAGAGACTCTATGAATAATATAAAATAGACAAAGATGTTGATAAATTAATGAGACAACAATTAAGAAGTGATGATATTATTTTAAAGAAAAAATCTAAACTTTCCAAATATAATTGAATTATTTTATTATAACCAAATTAAAATAAAGATAAAATTAAATTACATGGGGCAGACTTGCTGTAAGAAACGTTAGACCAAGAAGAGTCATTAGAGCTAGTCATCAAAAATGGTTCTTGGCGATTCGCATTAAATGATACTAACAAATTCAAATAGTTTTTAATCACAATAGGGGTTGAAGCAATATAAATAATTATGCTCCCTATTGTAATTAGTAGGAAGTCTGGATTAATTAAAATAAAGGACTAGAGATCAGATAAGATAATTATTTTCATAAAAAAATAATTGCTAAATAATAATATAAAACAAAGTAAGGAGAGAGTTAAGAAATTAAGGGTTGATCAGACCCCCTCAGGAAGATGACGAGTACTTATTAATCTAGGATAAAAAGTTCAATAAATCAATACAAACTTAATTAATAATAGTGGCTGAAACTATTAGAACATTACAATAAGATCAAGAGTTTCAGCTGAAGTTTCCCACATTGTGTGTATCCTTCATGGAATTGGCAGATAGCATTCAATCCAACGATTTATGATTTGGAATTAATTCATATTTATATGATTCACTACTAATATCAAGATTTTAATGTTACTATATTTAATTATAATTACAATTTATATCTAGAATAGTAAATTTAACACTTCTTTAAGGTATATGTGCTATTAAAATACCAAATGAAATCTTATTTTAGAGCTAAACTTAGATTATTGAAAATAAAACCTTAGTCAGAAGAGTAACCTTATTAATAATGAAGAAACACAATTAAAAGGACACAGAAAATGTGTTGTCTTTCATGTAGGTTCTGTTAATCTTTGATGTTCCTATATTGCCATATTAAATTAAATCAGTATCTTTTTAAGTGTAATTAGTCTTCTGTTAATTAAATGCAGCAAAAATAACATCATATGATGAAAGTCAAAGAAGTGGATAAACAGCTGATGTGCCACATTTAGAGTATTGATTGAATTAATTTGTGTGTTGCAATTTGGTTGTATTATAGAAATTATATTATGAAGATTTACCAATCAAGGGTTTGAGAAAAATTATATGGAATAAATTTATATAATTAAGGAATGGAACGTAAACTTTACTTCGGAGCAGAGTAGCAGTTGCAAAACAAACAATATAATTACCCTACAAACTTTATTCAAACTAGCAGGTATCCAATCAATTTTAAATGAGGTATAATATAATTACTTTCCTTCCATATTCATTAGCATTGCAATTCTAGAGAATGGCTAACATTTATTTTCTCATCATTGCAATATTGTCCTTTTTTAAATCCATATCTCCCTTTAGTCCAATAAATTCTATTGCACCTTTACTCTTTGTGGTTTCTTTGTCAATGTTGAGAGATGGATATGAAGATTATCAAAAACATCTCAGTGATAATGAATTAAATTCATCTCCAACTACAATTTGGAGCAATGGAGGTTTCGTTAAGAAAACATGGAAAGACGTACTAATAGGAGACATAATAAAAATTGATGAATTGGAAATAATATCAGCTGATTTGGTTGTTTTACAAACATCGCAAGATGGGATCTGTTTTATTGAAACATCTTCTTTGGATGGGGAGAAGAATTTGAAACCAAAATAAGCAGTAAAAGAAACCTAAACAATTGAATGCAGACAAGGAATAATCGAGTGTATAAACCCAAACCAATTGCTTTATAATTTTGACGGTACCCTATTTTTGGAGAGCAAGAAGATTCAATTAACTCATAAGAACTTTTTGTTGAGAGGATCAAAACTGAAGAATGTAAAATGGGTAATAGGTGTAGTGGTTTATACAGGAATAGATACTAAAGTGATGAAGAACTCTGAGGAGCAAAAAAATAAAATGAGCAACATAGATAAATTGATCAATGTCAGAATTATCTACATCTTAATCATGCAAGCATTCGTTTGTTTAATTTTGGCAATAATATACGGAATTAATTGCGATGTCAAGACCATAAACTTTGATTATTTCAGTCGTAGCTTCTCTGGCTACACCTCTTATCACGGAGAAGATGAGGTATATGATCCAGACGTCCCAAATTGTGCCGTAGCCTCATTGATGACTTTTGCTGCCTATTTTCTACTTTTAAATACTCTTATACCAATAAGTTTAATAGTATCTTTGGAATTCGTCAAAGTAGGTTAGGGAATATTTATGTAAAAGGATGGGGAGATGTACACTGCTGAAAATGACAAGTATGTTAAAGTGTTTAGTACTACTATTAACGAGGAATTGGGATAGGTCTAATATGTATTTTCTGATAAGACAGGAACTTTAACTTGTAACAAAATGGAATTCAAAATATCTGTCTGTGGAAATGAGATTTATGGAGATATGTCAATGTTTGACAAGCATGAAATGAGCACTTTTGTTGGCAATCAAATATTAAGAAGACAAAGCACCTTACATAAAAGGAGATCTACAGTTGTTAATGAGAAAGCAGGCATTGAATACACTTTCTCTGGAGCAGCCATTCAATCCATCATTTCTGAAACTGATCCCAATAAGAATCCTATCATAGATCTTAATGTGGACACCTATGTGATTAGAAATCAAGGAGATTTAGTCAAAGAAAATCTGATGTTGTTAGCCACTTGTCATGAGTGCGTTCTTGAATCTCAAGATGATGGCACTTTTAATTACCAAGGACCTTCTCCAGATGAAATAGCATTAGTAGATGCTGCTAGAAGATTAAATATTATCTACAAAGGAATTACGATGGGCATTATGGAAATAGATGTTCTGGGAGTTAAGGAGAAAGTCGAACTCTTGTTCTCCTTTGAGTTTAATAGTGATAGAAAGAGAATGTCTGTGATCATTAAGCATAAGGGGGTTATTAAACTATACACCAAAGGGGCTGATGCAATCATCAAACAAAGATTGGGTCCTAAACAACCATTTCTAGAGGGTATTGATAAAAAGTTGGATATGTTCTCAAGGAAAGGATTGAGAACTCTATGTTTAGCCATGAGAGTACTTGATGAAAGAGAATTCAACTAATTTTCATAAGCTATGAATGATACTCTGGGAGGGAATGAAACTGAAAAATAATAAACTGAATTGATTAATAAAATTGAAAGCAAGTTAACACTTATTGGAGCTACAGCTGTAGAGGATAAATTATAAGAAGATGTTCCAGAAACATTAGCAGACTTTCTTAAAGCAAACATAAATGTGTGGATGTTGACTGGAGATAAGTTAGAAACAGCTGAAAATATTGGTAGATCTTGCAATTTGTTATAAGAACAAATGGATATTTTCTTTTTAACTCCTGGCTGTGACATCCTCAATATATTTAATTAAATTGCCGATCATGTTATATAGAAACCTGAAACAAAAAGAGCTATGATTATCGAAGGTATTGTATTGGCTGAATTAAACGAAAATGAAAATCTAACCAAATATTTAATATTGCTAGCTCCTCATCTTCATACTGTTATTTGTTGTCGTGTTACACCCAAGTAAAAAGCTGATATGGTGAGACTGGTTAAGAATGAACTCGGAAAGATTACTCTAGCCGTTGGTGATGGTGCTAATGATGTTAATATGATATAAGAGGCACACATTGGTATTGGAATATATGGTCAAGAGGGCATGAGAGCTGTTCAAGCCAGTAATTATGCCATTGGTTAATTTAAATGTCTCTGGAAATTAGTGTTATATCACGGAAGATAAAATTACATTCGTATTTCTGAAATGATTTTATACTTCTTTTACAAGAATATCATTTTTACTATTCCCCAGTTCTATTTTGCCTTCTTTTGTGGATTAACAGGAACAAGTGTTTTTGATGAATTGTATTTCTTCTTATCATTTTACTTAGCTTTGTCTCCTTTTACAATACAGTATTTACATTCCTCCCTGTGGTCATAAGAGCCATTTTTGATGAGGATGTGTTCTATACACAATAACGAAAGGAAACAATATTAGGAAGCAAAAAAATTACTGAAGGATAAGAGGAAAATGATATCCTTAGATAGAGTTATCCATTACTTTATTACATTGGCCAAAAGAACACTATATTTACTAGTGAAAAGTATGTTAATTGTAATCTTTAGGTTTTTTAAATGGTTTTCAATAGGGATTTTCTAAGGATTAGCATGCTTCTTTTCATTCTACTTTGAATTAAATGATACTACATTTATTAAGCAATCTGGATACAACAATGACTTATGGTTCTTTAGTATGTCTATGTCAACTGCTATCATGATTGTAATCAATATATTCAATATTAGCTTGTTACATTAAAGTTAGCATTAAACACTCAATTCTGGACAATCATTACATGGGTTGCCTATCTAGGAACCAGTTTAGGTACTTATTTTGCCTATATGTGGGTGTCTAACATTATACCATCATCTGCAATATATGGAACAACCTAGATGTTATTTTCAAGCTATGCGTTTTATTTGAGTCTTGCATTGTCTGTTTTGTCTATGTTTATTCTTGATTTGTTGATGTTCACAATTAAGACTTCTAAGGATACGTTACTTAACTATATGAAAAGATAAGCTAGATAAAAGTAGCAATTAGATTAAGCTAAGATATTCAAGTTAGAGAAGAAGCTCAAAGAATAAATTTCAGAGATGGAAATGCCAGACTTTGAATTGAATCAAAAAAGAAGTTTGATTAATTCCAATCTCTCTCAAAGCCAAGGCAATTTGAAATAAAGTGCAAGTAAGGATAATTATTTATGAGTTAATTTAAAATAAATAATTAATCTAATTTAAAGTACAACGAGATTTTTAAATAGTTTTCAGGGTTACGTCATTTGTAGTTTGGGCTATTTATAATACTAAATTAAATTTATTAAAAAATATATTAAAAATACACCAAACTGATATGGGAATTTGTAAATCAAAAACAAAAAACGAAATGGATGCTCAATTGTAAGGTTCCTTTGCACAAGTCATCAATAAAGGACCTGAAAAGAACGATATTGAGGCTTTGATCAGAGAAAAAACACAATCTCAAGATTTGTACAATCCATACAGAAATCCAATTCTTAATAGACGTCTCAGATAGTCCCCAGCCTGATTGATTTTATATATATGTTGTTTATTGATATCTTTCTGATGAATTTAGATAAATTCCCCTTTAAGTACATGAAAATTTTCAATTTCTTATATCATACTATTTTTCATGTCGTATTTATATTAATTAGTATCTTGATCAATTAATTAAATAAAAAAATGGGAACTTGTGCTGCTCAAAAATAAAAAAGAATCTAAAATGATGGGGAATTATCAGAAACTATGCTCAAAGTCAGAATGTCGAATGACAGTCAGGCTGTTTTGAGAGAGAAAACGAAATAAAAGGGAAGTTTTAATCCATTTAAAAATCCAATAGTAAGTCGAAGAATAAAGGAAATTCCTGCTCAATCAATCAATTGCTCTCTAATTGAATGAAAAATCAATACTAAATATAGATCCTATTGTGTTAAACTGTATCAATTAATTTATATTATATAAAATTAAACAAACTATTTTTAAATCTAAAAAATAAAAGTTTGGCTTTTTTTCAAATTACTTTTAAGATTTTCTCATAGCTGCATCTCCCTTTCCCAAGTTTTCAATGGTTAATTAGAAAAATTATAAACATCTAAGAAATTATCTTTAATATGTTTAGGGAAATAATAAATAATTTATATTTAACAACTCACTTGAATTTAGATGTATATGTTGATGCAAAAATTGACATAGGTTTTGATTTCTATTAACATAGACGGGGTTAATAGTAAAAATATTGTAAAGAACTCTATATTTTAAATAATTATTAAATTGAAAATTGTATTAACTTTTTTCAAAGTATTTGTCATTTTGCATTATTAATTGATATTAATGATTGTGTTTTTAAATAAATAAATAAAAGGAAATAAAATCATAATTTCCAAACATGAGTGTAAGGAGACTTAGAAGTGGAGGTATGCATGCAAATTCGGAAGAGGAATACTTGAATGTATGATTTTATGTGTATTACTCTAGAAAATTGTTAAAATGGAGAAATAATAAAAGAAAAAAACTATTAGCTAAGATGATGAATACTTTGATGGATTCATTGTAAATTCATAATTTACATTTGAATGCATCGAGCAGCCTCAACTACCTTAGATCACTCAGAAATCTCACTTTATTTTAATTATGATTGATGATCTTCATTTAAGTCCCAGAAGACTGTAAAATATGATAGAATACAGTAATTTCATGTTAAAAGTATTTTTAGCAGACAATTGTGAAACAATGACTTAGAGTACGAATGATGATTCCTCAACTTGGAGTCCTTAAATTATGAACTATGACTGTATAGTTCACACATATACCTAAGAATGTGTGAATCATCTCTTTAATATATGGATAATAAATACACCCATTATTAATTCAACTTTTAAATGTATGATAACTATCAATAGTAGATTGCTATTACCAGCTATTTGAAGCCTTGATATGTGTCAACAATATTAAGAGCAACTTATTTTAAGAGGTTTTTGAGGAGATGAGACAAATAAATAGTAAAGTTCAGTAATTCCACATTAAGGAAAATGATGAGGTTAACCATTATTAATATGCTAGGCTTCCCCCGAAAGGAAATAGATAAATAATCTTCAATAAATTTTAAAAACCTTAATCGATTCGAGAACTCCATGAAGACAGCACATTAATGTAAATTTTGTTTATTGTTTATGTTTCTATATTATAAATAAGAATTCGCATCTATTTATATATAAAATATATACAAACACTTTTAATTAATAAATTAATTATTTTAATAAACAAAAATGGCAGATCAATCATAAGCAGAATATTTGAACTTAAAAGTCAAATCTCAGGATGGTGAAGAGGTTTTCTTTAAAATCAAAAAGGCCACATAATTTAAGAAATTGATGGATGCCTATTGTTCTAGGCAAAATGTATTATGAAGTGAATATTTTAGCTCCAAATCTAAAATGTGAGATTTTTATTTGATGGAGAAAGAATTTTGGAGACCTAAACACCAGCAGATGTATATTTAATCCCCTATCTATTAGATTGGAATGGAAACCGGAGACGAGATTGATGTTGTAATTGAATAAGTTGGTGGATATAAAATAATGTGATGTTATCATTATATTTTATAACATATAAATTATACTCTCCATCTTTCCTTTTCACTTATATCCTATACCTGCAGTCAACAACCTTTTCTTTAATCAACTTATTATATAGTCAAATTCTTTTAATATTTATTACATGAATGAAAATCATTTACAAAGATTGCCACATAAAGTTTAATATCACTTCAGTCATGCCAAGTTAAATTTCTACAAAATAAATCGTTATAGACTAGTCCTTAAACAAAGGTATGAGATCATTTATGCATATAGAAAATCTTAACCTACTTTGATGTTATGATTATTTTACTATTTAGGTATTGTATTATAAAAAGAATTAGATTTCCCATTTAAAGGTCATCAAAGATGATATTTACATGCTCTTACATTATGTTTTCACTATTCTTAAAAAGTAGATGAGGTTAAAAATTAAATGAATTAATTTATGGATTGTATTGGATACTTAAGAAATCAAAAATTACATTATTAAATTTTGTAGATTTTATACTGAAGCAACTCTTTAAAAGACTGAAAACAAGTTTCAACAACATAATAGAAGATATTATGATAAAACAAGATTTTATTATGAGTGGTCAATCAATCTATAGTATGCTTAAGAATTAAGAGAATTGTTATTCTAAGCAGCTTCATTAATTAATATTCCAAATTTAAAAAGAGCTATCACATTAGTTTAATATTAATTTCATAAGAACCATATGATATTTTGAAACTTTAATGTCTAGTTAAAAAATTACTTTTTAAGATAGAAATTAATTAAAAAATAATAATTTATAATACTATAAAGTGAATTTCGGAAGATCAAATTGGTCTTGATGTCTCTCCTTATTATTTTTTTGAATTAAAACATATTGTTTATTGATTAAGCATTCTGTATTTAAAGGTAAACATCACGAAAATTCAGCTACTAAATAAAATATTTATGATCTTTATAAAACTACAATTGTATTTTGGAAATTCAGATTAACAATTTTGATAGGTTACAAAGATACATGATATAGAATAAGAAAATATATAATATACTATTCTTATAAATTTATCATAAAATGGAATCATAATCGTAAGGTTCCGGGATATTAAAATACTACTCTGATTTAATTGGTTATTCTTTGATGATAGGTTTTCTTTTATACTGATCTCGAAACTATTGATCATCATCTGATTTATTATCTTCTTCATATTATTCTTTATGTGTAATTTTAACTTAGTTTTAGGGTCTTTGTGGTTTTAATTGTTAATAATAAGATGATATACTTTATGCAATTTAATTAGAATAAAGCCAGTCTGGTTTGTAATCTTAACCTAAAGCATGTCTATGACAGAGCATCCTAAATCTTTCGTTGTCTAAATATTAATTTGAAGGATCCAACTCTTTCCAACAATAATAGTGAATCCATACATTGCATTCCTTATTATTACATTTCATTGTGGCTCCTCTTCTCTTACATAGATAACAAAATGTATCATAAGCAATTCTGACAGCATTGCATAAAGATTCAAAATCTACAGATCCTTTCACTTCATCACAATCTACCATTGAAGACCAATATACACAGAGATCATGAAAGTAAATTCCACTTCTTTCCACAAGAAATTATTTTTCTTTTCTATTAGCCACTGCCTTTTTAAAAGCTTCAAATAGATGTAGATCTAATGCAACAGGTCCGTATAGATCTCCATACTTACAATTCAAAAATTCTTTAATTCTAGCAAATTTTGGATGACATTTACAAATAATACAAGCATTTCTAGGTTCTACGACCCAATTCCTTGGTTTGAATCTTACGTAACTAAGATCATGATACCACATCTTGTGTCCAGCAACAATTGATATCTTTTCAACTCTTCCAACTCCTTAATTACAAGGTTCTTCAACAGGATTTGTTTCTGATTTATATCTCTTTAATTTTTTGAATGGGTTGTTATCTGGTCTATCGATGATAAACTTTTCAAAGATTTTATCCTCTTCAGTTAGGGTTTCTGATTCAAAGATGATTGTATTAAATTGGGCATTGTGAACTAAATCCAAGCCATTTTTAAATTGCAGATTCAATGTGTTGTATGAATCAGGTTACATCATCTTAGTATCTAGGGATTATCTTATTTACTTCAATTGATTCAATACAGGTTCTAAGAAATTTTAATACAATTTTTCATTGGGAACAAATAGATGATTCGTTTGACATGAAGCTACAGAAATTAAGGATAATCTTTTTTATTGAAAACACATTCTTTTAAGAACTCCTTAAAGTTATTCTTGGAACAATGGTTATTAGGAATCTACTCCATAGACATAATATATCAGATTGTTTAGTAAGCAAACATCATTGGAAATTTATCGATATTTTTCAAATTAGGCTTTTATCTAACTCAATTTCTCATTAAAATATTCTATCTAAATTTCTAGTTCTTCAATTATAGCCATTAAACTGGAAGTGGTACGACCAATGAGAGGATCTATTTGATTTGGAGTTTTGTATTTCCCATCATAATTGACCAATCTTTTGAGTATATCCAAAAATTCATTAGCTTCGACAACATTATGATTTTCATGTAATTTTCTACACAATTTACAGATAAATCCTTGACTTAAACAGGATGGTGTTAAACAGACCAAATTTAGACATTCTGAAGTGTGCAAGCTACAAGTCGTATTTAATAATGGTACTTATTCTAGTTTAGTATTCATATGTATATAAAAAAATTAAGGATTATTTCTAAAAATGGAAAATTTATTTAATAAAATCATTCAAATTATTATATTATCATACCCTTTTTAAATTGCTATTATTACTATAACTATTTCTTAAATAAAATAAATATTTCGAATTTATGTAATTTTTATATTATTTTTATGTTAGACAAAGCCCTTTCTTATTGCCTACAAGAAGAAACACCGGTTTCTATTGCTGATATCATGCAGATCTCATAAGAATAGCAAATAAACCACAAACAACCAAAGATCCTGGCCCAACCAATTAAATTAGATTTTCAATAAATTTAATAAAAATTCATCAAACAATCATCAATTAAGGACATGATCAATCAGACAAGTTAGGAATTCAAATAAACACCCAAAATTACCTAAGACTTTACTCCTTACCAGAGCGGGTGGTAAAAAAACATACTTACCAAATACTATAATCTCAATACAGGAAATAACAGCTTCTGCAACAGTATTAATTTATATACAATAGAAACAAGAAGGAGGGCTTATTCGATCTAGATGAATACTAAAAAGGTCAATTTAAGAATTAGAGATATGTCAATGTTTACAGAGAGAAAATTTAAATTAGAATCCAACAATTAGTTCTGATTTTCAAATAATATAATTATTATCTAAAATGCTATTGAAAGTTTTTTGTTTCTATCATTGTAATCTAAGGTTTAATATTACTACATTTTTATTATTGTTTTAACTTTTCGATGATTTTTGCAACTCTTTTGATCTGCTTTAAGAAGAAGAGATTAAATCAGTGGTTTATATCTCAAAAATAAGGATAATATTCATTAGCTGAGATTAAAAAATTCCATAAGAATGATGAAATCAATTATTTATTCTATTTTTTTTATTTTCTCTTTAAGAACATTAACCGAAGAAATTGCAGATGAGCACCTGATGAAAACAACTTCAAGCCATAACATTACTTGGTTGCTTGATAATTTTATCGATAAATATTATATTTTAACAATCAGAATAGATATCAAAAAATAGATTTCATTCCTTTCACTAATTGATTAGAAGCAGACTATAGTTTTATTTATAACAAAAAACTTTGAATCAAAAGTAAAAATGATAAGAATTGAAATTTTAATATTAAGTTTACAATAACGGATGTAGAGAAATAAGTCTCGGAATTTTTATCAAGAAAAACAATTATAATTTCTTTAAGAGGAAGTGTTAACACATAATTAGAGAAGATATTGTTCCAAATTCTAAACAAATAAAGCTAACAAAAAATTGAAAATAATTATTTCTACCAATAAATTACTTTTAATGTCTTTTATTATAATTGCTATATCAAATTGACAATCAAATATTCCCCAATGCTTTATCAACATCTCTTTATCCTTCTTCAACTGCTTTTAATGTAAGTCTGATTTTCTCCTTATCTTTCTTCTTTAAAAATTCAGCCAAAGCTTTCTCTCCTTCGACTTTTGCAAATTCAGGCCATTCTTTTTCATCCTAAAAGAACTTTTCATTTAAAACTGGATGCATAACATCATTAGTATCTTCAAACTAAGAAATTTAATGGTATCTACCTTATCTTTCAAAGAGTCATATTCTCTCAATTTTCTTAATTCTTCAGGATTCATTTCATTGGGTGTTCTTATTTTCAAAAATGTCAAATCTTTATGTCTGATTTCAGGTGGATGCCATACAACTGCAGGTCTTCTGCTGAATCTTTGAGCTCTTCTTGAGTATTTGTGAGGCCTAGCTTTTAAAACGTGTGGTATCTAAATATTTAGTAAAATATTAACCTCAAAAGAGGGGTCATTAATTTTAGTAAGCATCAATTTTCTTAAATATTCACCATAAATAGAATCTAAATCTTAGGGTTTCGTCAATAAAATGTAATTATCAAAACTGCCAGCCTTTCGAATACATTTCATTGTCTTTGCAGTAACTTTAACATGTATTCTTCTCCCTAAAATTAAGGATTCATAAGTTTATTTTTGAACATTCGGCATCCAAGATCGTCGAGTTCTATTTATGAATGGAATATGCTCACTTTTTTTCTGAAAAACAAGTCTGGTTTCCTGATTTTGGTTATTTGCCATGCCAAAGACAAAATTGACTCATAATAGTATGTTTTGGGATTTGCTTTTGACAGATTCTTTTAATTAAGGCTGTGTCTAATAATTATCTTGGACTCAATTAGGATATGCTTTTGGTAGTTGGATGAGCACTAAGCCAATATTGAAATGAAGGGCGGTAACTTAATTATTTCATACCTTTGAGTAGGACATTCATTATTTATTAATAAAAAATAAATATAATATTTTAGTATATCAGCAATAATAATATTTTTAGTTTAACGATTTTATTAATGTTCAGGGACAGTTGATTTAAGTACATAAAAATGCAATCCTGATTTGAAATTGATTGGCCTTCATAGTGTTAATTGAAAGTTATCGTGATATTGGAATTATAATTCAGAAAAAGTGGAGTTGTGAATTGTTGTTGAATTTTAAACAATACTTTCAATCAAATATAAATTATATCTGTTCGAATATTTATTAATAAAAATCAATATTATTAATAATGGACATATATTAGCATTCTTATACACTCCCACCTAAGCGATTGTGCAAGGAGCCTAAATTGGCAATTTCAATTTTGAAAAGAAAGTTCATCGAGCCAATCTAAGATTTTGCTGGTGTTAGAAGAACTAGAACAAGTTTTTCGCCTTAGAGGAGAATGAAATCAATTTAAACGAGATAAAAGTCAGCGATCCAAACATTTAATTTTGAGGTAGGATAGATAATTGTTCCTAAAAGAAATTCTAGAGTAACTCGATTCTAAGGGCCAAATTTTCCATTTAATCTTAATTACTTGATAAAACAAATGAATGCTTTAAAATGATTATTTTTTATTTTTTATAATATGTAAAATAACTTTGGATTGCAAAGAATAATTCGAACTGAAGACGATTAAGAATATATATAAAAATAGAAAAAGTGTTTTGCTAAGGCAATTGTTTGTAAAAAAAAAGCATTAAGAAATGAACCTAAAATGAGTGTTAGTACTCATTGCAAGGTGAGGTCTAAGGAACCTATGATAATCTCGATTAATAAAATGAGTTAGGAAAAACTGTTAGATTTACTATGTTTATCAACTTAGGATTTAAAGGAGAGATTTCTGAAACCGTCAATCAAACATGAAAAAATAAGAATAGTCAATAATAAACATTTACCAAGGGATTTTTTAAACCTGGAGAGTGAAATACAAAATTGATTTTTATTGATTTTATATATAATTATAATTCAAATTTGAATTGTGGTTAAGTATGTCTGCGCAAAAAAATAAGTAGGGATGTTCTAAAAGCAAGAAGGCTTCAATAACGAAAGATTAGAGCGACAGCGGTTTTTTGATTGTGAGTCCTATGAAGGAACTATCGCCAATAAAGGAGAAAATAAGCGAAGAATAAAAGTGTATAGAAGTAGTTGAATTTGGATGGCAAAGACACAAGTTAGGAGGGGAAATACGATATTTAGAGCAATTTTACATTGAAAATCCAAATTTATAAAAATCTGATATCTAGCGCCTAGATTTAGATAGTTGTCTAGATGAATAAGGGAAGCCTGTGTACCGCAAGACAACTTAAGCGTTGATGTAAAACATGGCATTAAAAATCTAATCTCGAATATCGATGGCAGGAGAGTAAATTTATTCATCGATTCCATTACAATAGGCATGTTTGAGTGACTATCACTGTTTCAAAGGTGATTATGGTAAGGATTGGAAGGGTCATTAGGTGATCAAGAGTAAAACTTTGAGTGGAACAAAAAGAGGTTAGACATCAAGCAAAAAAATAATATAATAATGATTATAATTAAAACGGCTTTTGTATTGTTTTTATTGGTACTCTCAGTTGTTGGAGTGCAAATGTCTGCTGGTCCTGAAGCAAAAGTCTATAATTGTGCCAATATTGAGTTGATAGAATTGATTGGTGGCGATCCATTACCAATAGATACAAGCAAAGAAAGATATGTGAGTTTTCAAGGCGATGTGCGATTCTCTGTGAAAACTCACAAATAAACAATGGATAGTTTAAAGGAGGGGAAGGATTATTTTGGAACGAATTCAATTCACTATAGTTCAATTTAGAATGGAATTTATATATTTGTTGTGGAGAAATCATAAGAAAATATAATCCAAACATATATCAAAACTAATTTAAAGAGGTAATACAAACAAGCTCAGATACCTAAAGCCTTTTATTTAAAAACAATAATCGAAGGAGATCAAAAATATGCAATTCATTAAATTGTAATCAGTGATAAACAAGAAATGAAAAGAGAATTATTTAAAGAAGAAAAGGAAACCATGCAATCTGTAATATTTTATAAATATAAGAGTTTACTGGTTTACAATTCTCAAAGAAAAGTGTGATTATGGTATTTGCAACATTGGAGACCGGAACAAATAGTGATTTCACTGCAGACGAGTCATTCCTATAAGGAGTCCAGGCAATATTAGAATCCATTAATTAAGGAAGTAAATAAATTGTCTTCAATAAGAAAAGTGCGATCAATTCTTTTGTAAGCCACCATCCATTGCCAATTTGGCTGAAGCCTTGTCTGATCTCCCGGTACTTAAACTCACATGCCAAAAGAAAATGTGCTCATATACCTAAGGAGGATAAACAAAAGTGCTTTTCACAAAATGTAATTTAAAATTGTACACTTAATTTAGATCCCTTTTTATAGACCGATAAAAACTTTAGATCACTTGAGAAGGCAATAAATGGTATGTTGTTGACGACTTTATCGCCTATAAATTAAAAGTTTGTATCGATTACTGCCTAATTCGCTATGAAATGCAATACATAAGATTTTGACTTCCATTCTGGAGGATACAGTGGAGCATTTCAAGCAATTAAACTTGGAGATCATAAGCTTTACAGTGCATTAATAATAGAACCAGGGTACAATGGAATTAAAAGAAGGCTACAAACCTAAACACCTGAATGTAATACTCTCTTTGTAATTACTAGTTTATGATTTATTGGAAGGAATTGAATAGGTTAAGTCCATTTATTATTTTATGATTATTACAAGCAAAGGACCAGAGGAGTTATTTAATGAGATTGTTTCAGTCATTGAAAAAACTAAAATGTCAGATCAAAAGAAGTTTGAATGCACACCAATTCCAAAAGAAGATGATATCTCATTTATCCAATTGAATTCCAAAGTTAATAGTTAGAAACCATAAAATCGAAACGAGAAATCTGAGGAATATGAATACGTCTATGAATATGCTTATGATGATGATGAACTTGGAGAGTATGAATATGTCTACGAATATCAATATGAAGAATTGCCAGAAGAATTAAATTAATAAGAATTCTATGAAGAAGCCAATGATTTATAATCAGATTCAATTGAGTTTGATTAATCAACAGACGATTCAGATTCAGAAGATATAGAAAATTAGAATATTCCACAAGCTGATCTATTAGAAGTTTAATAGAATGAAATGTGCTTCTATGCATTTTCAGAATGTGATTTCTAGGGTGCTTCACTCAAAATTTGTGGGCCTACTCCAAGTATACCAAGAGAATTATAGAACTTTTTGATATAGTCTATAAAAATGCCTGATTCGATGCGAATCACGTTGTATACAAATTAGCAATAGAAAATCACCATTGAAGGAAATCAAGAGTGCTTGTAGAGACCTTTTGAAATTGATTAGATGAGGCCGTAAAGATAAGTGTTGAGTCATCAATGAAAATGCAATATTAGATGAACATTTTTATTAAATCATTTAATAAAATTATATATTACCATGGCTGAAGGAAGAGAGAACTGGGCAGTTGATGAGTTATTGAAGGCTGAAGAAGAAGCAAATAACATTATAAAGACAGCTTAGAAAGAAAGAGAGAAAAAAATAAAAGAGGCCAAGGTCGCAGCTGATTAAGAGATTGCAGTATTTAGAAGGGAGGAAGAAACCAAATATAATCAAGAAATTCTAAGAGTAATATTAAAGAATAACTGAAGCGTTTTGGATCTACTAAGGAGGAAGAAGAGTTGGAAAGAAAAACAAAAGCAGAAATCGATAAGATATATGCAGATTACGAAGCAAATAAATTGGCAGTTGTGGACATGTTGATTAAAAGGGTTATTGAAGTTAAATTGGAGGTTCCAAGAGTCGTGAAGGGATAATTTGAATAGCCATAACAAAATTAATGAGATGAGATGATGAATTCATATAATTATAAATAATGAGTGGTAAAGATTTCTCATAATTTCTTTCTAACAAAGACAATTAATCAATCTAGGAGAGTGTGAAAAAGAGCATAGATCCAAATCTATTCATCAATGAACAAACCCTCAAATAAATAGAGGCAGAAACCAACAAGCATTTTTGGATCAATTACTTTACTCAATCTATTGTTACAACATTCGTTGCTCCATTAACTACCATCTATACATCCTTACAACTGTCAGTCATCCCTCATTAAAATAAATATGGTGATTTACCTGAGGAATCGGGTACGAAAACATCGACATAATTGGTCAAAACAACAAGAGACATACAACCTCATGAAAAGAGGAAATTTGAATTATTGATTAAGAGTGGTGCTGTTGGAAGCAACAAACCATTTAGAGCTCCTATCTACACTACTTATCGCGAAGCCTTTTAGGGATTGACAAATTAGGGATGGCAGGCATTTTTCAAAGGGAATTTGATTGGCATAATTCACTTATTGGCTAATAGTCATTTGAAGATTAAATTGTTATCTGACTTAGATTTTAGATTAGGAGCTATGTGGCATGAAGGAAACTAATTATTGCGTTAAGCAGTGATTCTGGGATTGGTAACTGTTTCTGATCTTGTCAGTAATCCATTCATGTTATTTCAATCAAGATTCATATTGCAAAATAGATTACCCAACTTTTATTTGTATAAGAATTTATTGAGTGCCTTCAAAAAGCATGTTAGACATAAGAAAGAATACTTCCAAGGATCTACTACATATTTATACAAAAATGGTTTCATCTTTTTGGCACAAGTGCCTATACAATTCTCCTAAAAATTGGAATAATTCTAGATGCTTTATTTATACCTTTCCTACAATCTAATATCCTATCCATTTCTAACCATTGTAAGAAGATTGCATTGTTAAGTATGTTTATGAATTAATTCTAATCTAGTCTACATTACCCGGGATGATCCCCATAAGATATTCAGGACCCTTCCATGCTTTGAGATTGATTACTCAAGAAGAAGGCATTAGAGGTCTTTATAGAGGGTTCGGCTTATATTTAGTAGGAAGTGGCGTGTTGTAGTACATCATGTTCGGAACTTAAATAGATTAGGGAGATTTTTGAAATAATTTGTTTATAATTTATGGCATAATCATTTGCAATCTTATAAAATTCGTTCAAACATTTCGGAGAAGGACATTACAAAGAATCTATGGAGTAATCTACAATTTAAGTCTAGGGAATTGCAGAAGTTTAAACAACTTAAGGAGCAGTCTGATCAAAATCAATCTATGGTGCAAATTAATGAAAATATCATACTTTGTGAATACAATATAACTAGGGATGCCAACGCATGTATTTAAAAATTAGATGAAATCATCGATGAAATTAAAAAACCCCAAACATAGAAAAGTAATAATTAAAGCCAGTTTATCATTTTAGAAAAGAAACAAGATGATGATAGCATTTTGCAATACAATAAGGCAATCATGCTATTTTTGAGCGGCAAGATCAGACAAGCTCATAACCTCTTGAAATTGTTGAAAGACAATTACAACCTTGACATTTACTTAAACATTAAAGTAAATCTACTTCTAGTGGAAACTTCATTTCAATTATAAGAATATGTTTACGCAAGCGAATTGTACAAAAAGTTATCCTCAGATGAAACTTTAAAATCCCTCCAACAAAAACAAACAAAGACTAATCAGATTGATGATTAACAATAATAGCAATCCTAATAAAACTATACTTCACTTTTAATTGGGTCAGATTTGCCCTATCCAGATTCACACCCCAATACATTTAGCAAAGAGGAATTCCTTTTTCTATTAAATGTTATCAAGTGTCGATTTTACATGTTGTCGAATGTAAAGGATTAGAAAAAATAATTAATCCCTCTAGAATAATCATTTAAAAACTACATGGTTCAATTGGATTTATCAAATGGAATATCATAAAACTCAGTGCCTTCATTTTCATAAGACATACAACCATATTTGAAATTGCATGCTCAAATGATTTTTAAGTTGATGAAAGCCTAAAGGCATTTAACACTCAATGAGAATGTTCATAAGTGTATTAAAATGATGACTCCCTAATCTGAAATATAAAACTAAAATCAACAAAGTGCAGAATTCGCTCAATCTAAACAATTCCTTTATTTGGCTTAAATTTACAATAACCTAGGGTGTGTTCATGCCAAAATGGGCAAATATGCACTCGCTGCTGTTTATTTTCATAAAGCTATATCTTAAACGAAGTTAGTCTAATAACAGTAAAATCTATATGAAGGGATCATTATGAATAATGTGAAACAAAGATTATATGCCATGTATTAAAATCTAGCAGATGCTTTGTTTATGGATTAGCAATACTAAAAGGCCCTCAACGTTTATAATCAACTATAGGACTTGTGTAATCAGAGTGCTAAGTTCTGGTACAATAGAGGAGTATGTTTCATTTAAATTTACCATGAATCTATGCCTGACAAAAATGAATTATATGAAATTTCAGAAGATCAGTCTTAATTAAATGCTCAAGATGAAGGCAAGAAGATCATTCTTCCAAGTAGAGAAATTTACAGTGATGCCGATGAGGAAGTATAGGATTAGTTTTACAAAATCGATTAGAAAAATGAAGATAACAAATTCGTTTAATCTAAGGCTAATAAGGAGTTACTAAACAATGCCATAAAGTAAGATTAATAAAATCTATTAGAGATCTTTTCGTAATGCAATAATCTTATCCAAAAAAGAAAAAAGAGAGGAAATCATTCATTTGGATTAAGAATAATTGTCAATCTAAGGGTCTTAAATTTTTGAGTCCTCTATTGTATTTTTAACTTATTCTTTGCTGTGCAGAGGAGATTACAACTTAGCCTTATCTCAAGGTAAGGAAGCCCTAGAATACAATCTATCAGATAATAACAAATACATTATTATACAATACGTTTTGGAGGCATATATCTAAATATCAAAACTGAAGGACGCCATTAATTTTATCAATAGCAGCAGTGTCTCCTAATTTTTAAATAGAATTAATAATAATAATAATAGCAATTTATAATTTTAATGCAGAAACATAGTAGGAATTCAGACAACTTGTATTTCAAATTATAACTCTAAAGCTATTTATCATTTCAATTTGTCAGCCCTTCATCTCCACAACAATAATTTGACTTAGGCTTGGAATTCAATTTAATCTATGATGAATTGCTGTGATATAAATATAAATGCAGTCAATGCAGCTATTCCAGTTCCAATTTTAAATTTATTAATATGGTATTACTTGAAATCAGGTAACAATCATTACTAACATAGATAATGTTTAACTTGCAATCCATTTAATCAAGAGAAGAAGACTAATAACAGGATAGATAGGAAAAAATAAAATATCTCTGTTAAATATTACAAAATGATATAAATAGTAAATAATAATTAAACCATTCTTTTTATATTATTATAAATAATATATTATTAATTATATATTTAAATATAATATATTTAATAATATATATATATATTATTAATTTAATTATTATTTTAAAATTAAAAAAAGAAAAAATAAGGGAATTGCTCGTTTCGAAAACGCGCAGATATCACATTTTTGTCCTCCTTGGACTGGCTTGGCCTGGCTTGGCCTGGTTCTCGGAGTAATCAAATAACACCTGAAAAATATAAATATTATTATTATTATTTTTTAATTTTAATTACCTAATAGAAATATATTAATACTATTAAAGTGTTGGCACTTAAATATTTAACCAATTGCTAATAAGTTAATGAAATGTTCTTATTTCATTTGAATAATCTCTCTAGTTTTGATCGAAAAGGACAATAGTTTTCATATTGAAGGGGTTTGGATTATTTCATGAGGGCTATCCTTCTTGTAATTTATAAAGAAATTATTCAAGTAAATGATCAATGTTACCATGAGCTGGTTTCTAATTTTATATGACATTATTAAATACATAATTGCTTAAATGTTATCCTAAGATAAAAGTTGGAAAGTTCATATTCGATTTTAATTCCAGGTCGTAAAATATATCTATATTTAATAATTCTTGAAGTGGATGCGATATTTATAGGTTGTTTAAATTGAAAGAGTAGGTAAATGAGTAATTGTATTTTGTAGCAGACTTTAAACTAAGTCCTCTTCCTTTGGATAATTATGAGAATAGATCAGCCAATATTTGTCCATTTTAACCAAAGAATATGTTAACTAATGTTTTTATCTACATTGTAGTAGATTCCAAATTGCATAATCGCAGATGATTAGTTATTTGATCAAACGAATTAAGTCCTCTCTTGCTGATCCACATTCTGATAGATTAAAAAGCTATTTAAGTAAAATTTAAGGATCTGGGTATATGGATTGGATATCAACAATTTAGAAAGATAATTTAGATTCATTAGTGATAAAATTAGTGTAAATCTTAGGGTTGCTTAAGTTTCAAAGTTATAATTACATATGCTTCTATAAATTTTTTCATGACTAAATTATCATTTATTTACAAAATACGCGTTTCAATAAACTTTTTGCTTTTGTTATGAGCACAGGTTGAATGAACAACATCACTAGCCAATTTTGCTAAGGCTGTTTAGTTTCTTAAATTAAACGAGCAATTACTCTCCCCAGAGAAACAAATCAATAGTTTTTCATTTTTCTAAGTATTAACATATTTATATTCGACATATCCATTAAAGCTTGTTTTATAAACAGTAACTCTTTGTATCACTATGCTCTAATTATTGGTTTACACTTTTTACAAATTTAAGGTTCTATTTATTACATAAATAAATATTAATTATGAAGGGAAAGAAATTATTGGATGATGATGAGGAATTTCTAAGGTCAAAATCATAGATAGTATATAATAAATAAAATGTAGGATGTATTTCCAAGGTGGTAAGAATTGAAACCATTGGGTAAAAATATCCATAGAAGATCATATCATTCATGTGTGGCTCATGAGAATTAGTAAATTGAGAATTAATAATCTTAGCCTTTATGTCTATGGAGGATATGAAACAAACGAGGGAATCTTGAGTGATTTTTGTAGAATACCATCACCTGTTTCACCAAAGCCTTTTTGTTGGACAACCTTGGTTAAGAAAGCAGCAGCGGATAATGCAAATAATCTCATTCCAGGGCCATTGAGAAATCATACAGCAATAGTTCATTAAAATAGAATGTACATGTTCGGAGGAAAGGAAAACTTGATGTCTCCAACTGCAAAATTATGGATCTATGATTTCTAGGAAGAGGTATTTATTGAGGGGAAGGAATGTATAATTGAGGGCAAGAAGATGGCTGTGGAAGGTCATTCAAGTTGTCTATGGAATGAATAGGTAGAAGTGCAAAGAATTATTTTTAGTAATAGATGGTTGTCTTTGGAGGATTTTACAGTGATACTGGATATAGATCATCAATATTATTTTATGATTTGTAGAAGGAGGATTGGACAATGATATTCAAAGGAGATAACAATTCAGCACAATTTCCAAAAGGAAGAGCAGAAGCAGGAGTTACATTAATTGGAAATTCATTGTATGTGTATGGAGGATGCAATTACGAATCAAGATTTGGAGATTTTTGGAAATTTGACTTGGAAAATAGACAATGGGGATTAATTGTAACAGAAAAGTCTCCAGGAGTAAATTATTTAATTAATAATTTATATAGACAAGATCATCCACTTCCTTGTTGGTTCATCCTCAAGGAATTATGCTATTTGGAGGAATTCATGATATAACTCATGAGAAAAATGATTTATGGCTATACAGAACAAATGAATGGATGCAATTGGAGGAAGATACTAGTAGAAGATAAGTGGCAGATGAAATGCTAAATGATTCTGCTTTTGATAAAGCAAGTTAAGCAAGACCATAAAAGAAGGAGAAAGGTAGGAATGAACCTAGATCCTTTTTATTATTGGACGATGAGCCAAAGAATTCTATTCATTAGAGAAGAAATTCAGTGAAAAATCTTGATTAAAAGTAACCCACTGACACAAACAATAATTTCTAATTAAACAGTATGGATGAATAGAAAAAGAAGAGATTGCAACAAAAGAAAAACTAAATGCTGTATCATCATAATATTATATAAGAGCTGAATTCGAATTGAATGAGGAAGAAAAATCAAAATATAGGAGTTCATCACCAACTACTGACCAGATCAAGAATTCAATAAGTGTGATCACAAATTAAGAGAAATAAGGAGGTTAACGAAAGATATAATCACCAACAGGAAAAAAGAATGCAATCTAAGCATCTCTTAGTGGCAAGAAGCCATGTGCAAGAGATGGTCACAGTGCTATTGTAATGGGTGAAATAATGATAGTGTTTGGTGGAGACAGAAATTTGATGTCCTTCAATGACATCTATATGTACTCGTTCAATTAAAAATGATAATCTATAATTGTTATGAATAACTTAATATTCAATAATAGTATATGCTAAATAAATAATTATCTTAAAATTATTAATCTCATTAATATTCTTTATTTTTAAGTAAAATCGTCAATAATATATACAAAGATTAAAACAATTCTGTTTAAGAAAAGAGTCTCTCTCTTAATTATTCAAAAGCAAATAATTAAAATTAGGTTTACAAAAAAATATTGAATACTCATTTTCTCTGATAGAAATCATTTGAGTTGTTCTAATTATATGATGGTGAATTATAGGACAGTAACAAGATAAAAATTGCAAACTCCTATATTTACTTAAGATATAAATAAAGTTAGAATGAAAAATAAGTATATTGTTAGATGATATCATTTTGTTTATTTAAATTATCTTTAAGTTATGGGAACAGATTTTGGTGTAATTATTATTTAGGCTCTATCGTTTTTTAAAGTTATGGATCTCTCATATTTACTTTGTGGCCTATTAGTTTGATAATTTATATGATTTATTTGTTGCCTTTCTGGTTTTTTAAATCTTGCAGATTACATTCTTATTACATTTTATTGAGTCAAGATTGTAGCCATAGTGTGCTATTTTGATTAGAAAAATTTAGACTTGGAAATTTAAATTATGCCTTGTGACTTAGCTTCTTCTTACTTTTATTGAAATTCTGGATTCATCCTTTCAAATATATCATTGTAGCACTTTGTACAATCAATGGAAACATTAGTTTGTTAAGTCTGATTTTTCATCTTCCCCCTATCGTGTCCAACAATTGGTTTATATTAATGAAATTCATTTTATTCAGTTCTTATTAAACTCTTACGTCGTTTGTATTGATTAGAATGATATTTATGTTCGAAGTCTGCTTATTAGGTATCATGCAATGGTACTTTCACTCTTTAATTACACTATAAATTATTAATTGATTTACATTTTGAGAATCCTATGCTTAATCATCTGTCTGTTACACTATTCCAGATTCTTCTTCTTCTTCCTCTTCCTGTTATTTTTGCTGTTCCTTTTCCAATTATTATTAGAATTATTTCTCAGCCTATTCTAATTCCATTTCTATTATTTGATTATCATATTCAGCTTATTTTAATTACTCATTTTTTAATAGCATATATGAATTCAGTTCGCATGCAGCATCTTAAAGAGGTTTTTTAATATCATAAACGTCAGTGATTGTGAATGCATTATTGCAATTGGAATGAATCCTTCTCCATACTATTTGCCTTTTCATTAGCTCCTTTAGAGATTCATGGATCAAATTTTAATCCTTATCTGTTAAGGAGGATACTCTCTATTCAAACTATTTCAAATGTTAATCAGCTTTCTCCAAAAAGTATTTAGAATTTTTCAAATTGATTTCCAAATAATTTAGACCAACTCTATTCTTAATGAAATTGAATATCTTGCCAAAATAGTCAACAATATTTTCTAATTATACATTGGCCTATTGAGTTGCTATTCTTGTTGATAATTGCATTTCAAAATTATACTTCAAATTAGTATAATTGGATTTTAGGGTTTGGTATTCACCTTAACATTCAAACATATTCAATTATGCTTCCATAGCTATTTCATTCTGACTTTTCAATTCTTTTTTGAGGTTGTCAACTCTGTTATCCCGTAATCCAAAAACACTTGTTGATTTACATGATCTATCATTAGATAAAGATCTCCTTGTATTCTTTTAATTTAATAATTTCTTTATCTTGGCTAAATAGATCCACTTGTATAAAGCATGTCTCTTAACACATTTTCTAATCCAGATTTGTTGATCTTTATCTGCAATTAAATCGAGGGCTTCTTGCAAATTCTGTCTCTACTGTTCTCTGTCTTAAAAGACTTGAAAATATATTTATTACATGTATTATATTTAATTTCGTAGATCTACTCGACACTAGATTTGATATAGGTTTTCAATTTTAGAACATCTACATCTTTTTGCTCTTTCAAATCATGTAAGTGATACTGCAATTCGTCGACCTCCTTCTTTTTCATATTCAGTTCTCTTAATAATTGCTCAGTGAATTTTATTTATTGCTCTATTTGCTATAGCAATCATTACCTTCTAATTGAGTTTTAAATTCTTGGAAAATTCGGGCAGATGCTTAACTGTTGTTAATGCACCTGTCAATTAATACGTAATCAATTCCATAGCCTTATTTCCTTTTCTCAAATATCTCAAAAATCTGCTGCGTTCCTATCACCTCCTATACACCTTTCCAGAATCTATATAAATCTTTATCTATTTATAAAATAGCCTTGATCTACGATTCTATCTCGGCACTACCAATAATCTTTTTTACCAGTCGTTTCAATTTCTCAATTTCAGTGAGGTACTTTAAATTTTATTAAGTAAGGCTTTAGATTTGGAGCCTGAATTATTGTGTAAGATCCAATATCTTGTTGTAGATAAATTATCTTATTATGGGATCCAGCGTATTTGTATAATCGTAATAGGAGGCATCGAAAATTTCTTCGTTGGGGAACAAGTCTTTCCTTACAAACATCTCCCTCAAATGTTGTACATCCTTCAAATAGCCAATAGTCATTTTTTGAATTAAATCATCCCTCATTCTTACTTTCTCATCAACTGGTAAAATCACTTCCTTCACTATAGGAGCATTTGTCTGTCTCAGTTTAGTAGCAGATGGCAAAACGCTTTGTTAGACTTCGTCATCACTGCTTATGAATCCCTCTTGATTGTAGGGCCCATCTCTAAATATACGTTTTATCGGAGGAGGAATCTCTACTCATATTCAAACTGCATTACCAACAAAGTAATCGTGAAGATTGATTAGGACCTAATCTGTCCTCTTTATGCAGGCATTAAACACCAGAAATTCTTGATTATTCTTTCCTTCGAATATGTGGCACAACAATTACGCGATGAAGGATTGAACCTGTAACAAGGCGTCATCGTAAGTGCCTTTAAATTGTAGCACCTTCTAAACGAAATTATGAATTAAGGACATTTAATAATTAAAATGAATATTAAACTCTTGATAATATTAATCGTTTTGCTATTCAATGGTGGTAAGCTATTTCGTCTGAAACACTAGTTCTTACTAGCAAAGTCAAGGAATGCTAAGCCAAATGTGATTCACAAATAAATATCTGCGTTTACACATGTGCTTAATCTCAACTGAGGTAATCATTGGAAAGTTAATCCAAATGCAAGAAAATGTGTGATGCAGTAAATAAGGAGTGCAAAACTTCTAAATGCTACTTGGAAAGCTGATTGAACAAAGCAATGAAATATCAATATGATTAAAATAATATCAATTAACTTTTGCACTTCAAATCTTATGCAAAATCTATATCCAATCTTCAAAACCTATTCAAAAATAGAAACAGTTTTTAAATGTTTCAGTTAAAGTGTCATTTTTTATGATCTAAGAAATAGGTTATACTTCTGAAACTCTAACATCGAACAGAATTATAAAATGGATTACCCAACTTACATAAGCGATATTCTTTATTTCTGATTCATATTTTTCTTGACTGACATTAATTAATACATATTGATAATAATTTTATCAAAATGCTCTATCAGCATGATAACACATTTCCTATGTTGATGCTTTACGGAATAAGATAATATATCTCCTATGATCAACATTATTAAAGAATGAGAAATTTCTAAAAGATACTCTAAACTCCTAATTTAAATAAAATTAATCAAAAATATCTTGTACTCAGATATAGAAAAATCATTTTAATATTGTTAAATTAGATATATACAAAATTGTCGATTTTTCGAATAATTTCATTTCAACAATCCCATAAAATGGTATTCTTTATCATTTCTGTCTATTTCAGTACTTTCCTTTCACAAAGCTTGAATAAATCGTATTCTAAAGCCTGTTTACAACTTAAACGGTTCTTAGGATTCATTTCCAATAGCTGATTCATTAAATTAATCAGTTGTGTATCGCCATTAATTCTTTAACCTATTTTAGGCAGTTTTCCAAATAACAACTCATGCAACAATACACCAATACTAAAGCAATCTACTTTGTTATTATATTTTTTTTTATCCATTATTTCTGGAGCCATGTAACCAGGAGTACCACAATATTAATTAGTTTCTGCAGCCTTCACACAAATTCCTAAATCTGCTAGCTTTACAATTCCATTTTGCAATAAAATATTCTCAGGTTTGATATCTCTATGAATAATCCCATTCTGATGCAAAAAACTCACTCCTTTCAAGACCTGATATATAATGTCAATGATCTATTTCTCTTATAACTTTTTTTCCTTTCTATAGTTAAGCAATGTTATATCTCCCAATTCCAACACCAAAGCAATCTTTTATAATAAAATCTTATACTTATTTCTCATCATTAATTACTCCATAACACTTAAGGATATTTTAGTGGTTTATTAAACTCTGTATTGCTATTTCAGTTTTTATTAATCCTTAGATCCCCTTACTGGTTATCAACGACTTTTGTATTGTCTTTAATGCTGCTATCATTCCAGTTGTTGTGTCACTAAATTTCATATTTATGATCATACATCACTGAATAAACATCGCTTATATGGCCTCTCCCCAAATATTTAATCTTTTTAAATCTATTTAATGGAGATTTATAATTCTTTGACATTTACATGTAACTATGTTGTTTGTCATGACTAGAACTCCTCAATGGAGTGGTTTAACTGTTTGTAGTTGAAATTCGACTGTCATGAGAAAAATTAGAAACATTGCGAATGGGTTTAGGTATTTCTATCTTCATTTTAGATTCATTTATGCTTAATTACTTATTTTAACTCTTTATTGTTAAGGGATTTGATTTTTTAGAAGTTGAGATCAATTTTTTAATTTCTTAAATCTTTTCCCGATTTTTTTCCAAATTGCTTTCATATTGTACACATATTTTTGGTTAAGTATGTTGGCTTTCATACCTAATAGTATCGTTACAATGTGATTAGTTTGCAGGAATTTTGTTTTGTGAATTTGAGAAATCTGTTGACTGATGATGGAATTTGATGTATTAACTAATATTTTTATAAGGATCCATGTATACCAATTCATTTAGAAGGTCTACCGACAAGTCATGCCGCTATTTTATATTATTTAACACTGACGCTCCATCTGATTTCAATAGTAAAAATTAATTAATTTTATTTTTATCATTAATTTGACATAGACTCTACTGCTTTATAATTTCAAACATGTATATATATTTATGTAGCAGAGCAAAACAACCTAATTTTTATAATTAAAACTCTTTTTCAATCCTGTATTAAGAGACTATTTTACCTAGAGTTGTTAAATTTTATTTTTTCAATTATTGATATCAGTTATCGAATTCGAACTTAAACACATTCTTTTTGAATATTACTATTTTAAGAATAACAACAATAGAAAAGTTTTTAATTTTTCAATAATTAAACTACCCTTATATAATTTATTTTTTTTTCTTTATTTCTATTAAATGTAAAAAAATGAAAGGAATTAATAAAACATGCTTTGTTTTTCCAAAATTTTCGATTAATGATCATATATAATAAACCAAAATATTAATATGGTTAACAGGAATGTAGTTTTAAGAATTGGGAAATATTAATATTATTAAAAAATAATAAAATATCATTCTTATCTAAGAGCCAGTGATGGTTAAATATACTCATTTCCATTTTAGGATCCTGGAGAATATTAATTAAATTTGTTTCCGTAATTGTTATTTTAAGGAGATTAATAATTGATCAATGCATTATGATTTGAAATAAGTGGATAAGTTGGTTTTAATTGTGGATTAGTCTCTTAACAATAAATTTAATTGGGTGAGTAACCTTATTAAATTTGTTTGATTTAATTCTAATTAGAGACATTTGGTATCCAAGATACTTACTAGTTTGATTGGGCTATCAATGGTTGATTAGGGATAAAAGGATTCAATTAATATTTTTGAGGACTTTGAACAATTGGTACTTAAGGAGTAATTTTAGGGCAAAGTTTGACATCTAAATAAAAAGGCTGTTCTTATTCTTATAGAGCTTTGTATGGATCTAAGAATTTCTAATATTATCAAATATTTGATTACTTTTAAATCTATCCACGATTGCCTTTCTTCTGGATCATTAATTAACATTTTTTCAATCAAACCATACAACAATTCTGAATAATTATTTTTCATAGTTTATAAACTTTAAAAGATGTTATTTTTTTCTATCTAATTGAATTGATTATAAAATGATGTGAAATCACTTTTTGTAGTTAAACATAGTAAGACTATTCCGAATGCATAAACATCGCTTTTAAAATTATTTATTTAAGGGAAACGCACATTTCGTTCTAATTGATCTATTTATTCTGGCGATAAAATTGAAATACACTTCCATAAAGCTTAATCATAAGAAGACAAGATATTAAAGAGATGATTTACTTCCTAAACTTAACTATAAAATATTACCAATATTTTGAGATTCTTCGCCTATGGATATAGTGTATTCAGGCTAATATTACTAATTGATTTAAATTGGTTCTGAAGATACTCAGCACAATCAACAACCTAAAATATGATATCCCAAATGGTAGATTCTTTGAAGGGATTTTACCTTTCAATTTTAAAATGAACAATACTTTTTTTTCATTACAGTTTCCAAAGTCTCCTCTCCAGGATAATCATAATAAACTCTATATCTATCTTGATCACGACTGCAAATATTTGAGCATTTTTCAATAAACAAAGCTCGAAATAAATTAGGATGATTTAACTTTGTCTTCTCTATAAAGTATTACTAATCTGAAAGCTAAAGTGTCTTACCTAGGTTATCATAAGAATTATTTTTACTAAATATTTTTACTTAATCATCTGGGATATAAGTGTATATTTCAATAGGACCCAAAAGATTATGCTCAATGCATTTTTCTTTAGTGAATTGATGCTTTAATTACTCATTCCAATCAACCACCATGCTATTACCCATTAATTGAAATAAAATAATAAAAAAATTATTATCTGTAATTATTATGTTATTAGCCATTCAAAAATATGCACTCACTCGTCAAGCAGAGTTACTTTTTCCTTTTTCTACTCTATTAAATTAATTAATCATTAAATTAGTAACCCTTTTATTATTTTCTATGATAATCAAAAAAAAATAATATTGTGATAATATATATCTATCCTGAATAAATTAGAATAAAATCGTAAAACCTAGGTCTGATTATCTGCTGTATTTCGATAAATGATAAAACTCATTATATATTACAATTTTCTTTTAGTATTAGATGATTTCATTTCCTCTTAGTAATACTTATTAACATTATGTATATTAAATATTTTAAAAAAGATGCAATTTTTGGTAAAATCTTCAGGAAGAGTGGGATTCTTCGGATTTGCTACAGCAACTGCTACTCACAAGGACATTGCAGGAAAGAATTTCTTAAAATTCCAAAGCAAATATGCAGAATATGTCACATAATTCAATCAAAAGCTGTAAGAACATAATCTTTAATCATATAGTGAAGCTATTGAGAAAGAAAATAAAGCACCAAATGTTGCACCTTAAGGTAAAGCATTCGAGCATCCATACAATAATCCACACAATCCAGTGAACTTCAGTGGTGTAAGTGTTCAATATTATTTCGTAGATTAAATCATCTGAATTGTTTTACAACTTCATTGGACCAGAATAAGTCTCTCCACATTATGAAAATTTCCTTGTTGCAAGAAAATATCTTCTTCTCACTTATGGAGGATTGATTGTTATCGGATTTGCAGCAGGCACAACAAATCTTCATTGGATTGCTAAATCATCCTTCTTGCCATTCTTATTTTGGATGCAAATCATGTACTTCTACTTGGAGGGTCGTAAATCATTTATGAAACCATTGCTTGCCAGATTTTACAGAAGAGTAGCTGGAAATGAATGTTTCTAATTAGACCAATATTATCACGAGAATATGTAACTCAAAATTAGAACACTCCTTGAAGCAGCCAAAGGATAGATTGAATATGGATAACTACACAAGGAATTCAGAGATGTTAAAGCAGAATTAATTAACACTGTAAAATATTATAAATAATCTTTAGTTTCTAATGAATGAATAATTAAATCTCCAGAGACACGTTGCTGAGAGATCTCACAATATTCTTAAGTCAGTTTAATAAGCAGAATAAGTAATATTATTTAGAGATAATAAATTAGATTAATTAAAATAGATTATTATAAGAAATTATTGAAGCTGCTTAAAAGTCCTTGGAAACTAATTTGAAGAATAACCTTCCAGAAATCTAAAAGGCATTATTTAAGTCCGCTCTCAAAGGTTTAGCATAAGGAAAAATGACTTATGAAAATGATCCTTTGATTGAGATGATTCTTAAAACAATTAAAGAACATGTCAGTAAAATATAAAATCTATCTCCTGCTGAGTAAAATTTTGATTAAGACTTTCTAGATAGAAGAAGTTGATTTCACTTAGCAAAGATTAATTAGCAGCAATCTAAGCAAATGACAAAAAGTAAACAATATGATAGATTAATATATTAGAGCAAAAGAAGATTTCTTGAGAGCTGAACCTAAGATCGATTAAACCTTAAAAAACTATGAAAATGTGAAGAGATAAATTGCTTCATGGGGACAATGAAGGTGAGTATTTATTCATGATATCCAGAATAAATTATAATATTATTTAAAACTTTATTTAAAAAAGGATGCTAGTCGTCTGCCTCAAATTTTTTTAAAACATTATCGTCTTTGCTTTTTTACATATGGAATTTTAATATTATTTTATGTTATCAAATATAAGAAATACGATGTGAACTTATGTAATGAATATTTTAATAATATGTTGAATGTCTAATTTTACTGTTTAGATTTAAGAGAGGAAATATTCTATTGTTCTATGTATTATTCATTTGTCATAATTAATTTTGACATAATGATAATGAATTCATTACAGCCAACAATGATTGCACCTATTATGAATTTTAAAAGAATCAAAATCATTTAATTATTGAGATTTTCTACAGAATATCAGTAATTAATTTTGTAAAATATGAAAATATAAATGTGTTTGTTAAAATAAAGTTATTATATTTTAAAGCAGGATAATAGGAGAGATATTGATTTTAAAAGGTTGCAGCATCACCATCATAAACTAAATGGTTTATTAACAAAAATTATTTTGTATTTATTCCATTAATCCAAACAAGAAAGGGTAAACATTTATTCATTGCTTTTTAATAACTACAACAATTATTTATCTCAATTAATGTCTAAAATACCATAGACTTATATAAAACAAGAAAAATAATAAATTAGTAATTATAATTTTTAGAATTAGAACTACTGATTTTTATCATCTATTTCTATATTTTATGGACAGAATACTACCAAATAAGTTATAAATTATATAAAGAATCAAAAATTAATATTTTGATTTACTAAGTAGGTAATTATGAAATGAGAGTTTGAAATTATCTTCTAAAGTAACACTAAAGAAGAAGTTGCTGCAAAATATTAAAAATATCAAAAATGAGGGAATTTAAATCGCTGAAGTGTTAGTAAAGGGATATAATAATTACTCCAATAAGTTGAGGAATTGAAAATAGAGAAAAATATCTATTCATTAAATGATTTATAAAATATATACGAATTATTGAGGAAAAACTTAATAGCACCTAATAAATTTATATTTGAACCATGCATTTTCTATATTAGATTGAAAATTGGGGGGATAACCAAAATGTGAAGTCTTGAATCCTATGAATTGGAAATCAAAAGGCTTTATTGAAATATAGTTATTCAAATTTGATACTATTAAATATTATTAAGAGTGAATTTACATACATTCTTTGAATCTGTATTTCACTTTATATTTAAATATAATAATGTAATCTGCCAATACTTAAACATATGCTTTAAAAAATATTTTTCGTGATATAAAGATGAGATCCAGAGGAACATCTATGGAGAAATTTCAAGAAAACAATAATGCTTAATTGTTGTTTACAAACTAGAGATTACGCACACAATTTGCAATCAGTAAATAAGCCAGCGAGGAAAATATTGCTATAATGAATAGAAAATAAAATAAAAAGCCAACATTAAAAATAACTACTCGCATTTACAATAATTATTTACTTAATGGTGGTAGACCAAACAAAAAGTAATCCCTTCCCATACTTCAGATATCACCAAAACCCTTGCCATTATTTTTAATACCAAACAGTAAATCCTCCTCACAAAAGGCTTGTACCACAAGAACATGTTCTTAAGCTGATATTAAGAAATTTTAATTCAAAACACTATTTAATGATATATGATAAATAATTTTTATTTATAACACAATGTCTTCATTACAATAATACACCTCCAAACACATATAAAATACTACTGTAAGTGGTGCTGAACTCACACTTTCAACAGCATAGCAAAGATTTCTTACTTATAAGAAAATTATCTAATTTTTGATGAGGACTAATTAGATAATAAAATTCTTAATTAACTTTTTAAATCATGACATTTGAAAAAAGAGGAAAAAATTTTGAAGATAAATCTAGCTGATAACTTAGCTTATAAATTATTCAGCTAATAGTTCTGAGTTGTGAGCTAAAATTAATAAAATTATTAGAGAAGCATTATAGCAAAAATAATGAAATGGCTGTCAATAAAAGTTGAGAACCAAAGATTTGAAAAAAGCAAAAAAGTTTTTAGGGAAGGAATAATAAGATGAAAATGATTGGAAAGGATTTTGGATTATTAAAATAAAATGGAAAAATTCTTAGTTTACAACTAAATTTTTCTAAAAAAGCAATAAATGTTGAAGAATTAGAGGAATATAATTCATAGATTGAGCCTTACTTTATTGGAAGAAAAATTGTAGAAAAAGAAGATATTTGCATTCTTTGTTAGGGAGGATCTAAATTAAAATCCTATAAAAAGAGTGGAGATAGCAAACTTATCATTTAATTAATGAAAAAATTTTTGTAGATTAATGATATTAATAAGTATTTTAGATCAAGGAATGAGAGGTCGATTAAGGAAACATTATTCAACTTAATTTCCCATTCTTGCAGTTGAGCTTAGAATTTCCTAAAATAATGAAATACAGATATTCTTGATGTTCATTGTTATTAATATTTAATCTTTTGCAGCCCTAATAAGAGCATTGTGTTTTTATTGAAAATAATTAAATATTGAAGTTATTAACATAAAAATTAAAAATATCACCTATGTAATTCCAAAAATGAAATAAAAAGTTTGATTTTTACTACTGCATCAAATTACTTTACCAATAGGCCAGAATAATAGAAATCCTAAAGGAATAAATTATTTATAAGAGTGGAAAGGTAGTTTTTATTCAGTTTTTGATTGTTATAAAAAAAATGCTTTCCATATTAAAATGGTTAGTTGTATGAAATAAAGTTGGAAAGCAATCATATTATTAATAAGAATTTAAAAATATTCTTCTTTATTTTATTAAATTAATTTAGAACTAAGAATTAAAGATTCAAAAAACTGTTATTATAATTAAAATTTAATAAATATGTGTTTTTTGTTTCTAATTGAATATAATTTTTTTGGTTTTCTAGAATTTAAACATATTTGCAAACAAAGACAAAAATAATAGAATAGTATATTCGGATTAAAGAAATATCAAAGGGAAATGAGAAACAGAAGTGAAGGTTTATTTTTGGTAAGTATTTTATGCGGTATCTATTAATAAGTCAAAAAGAATGATAAGAGTTAAATACTATTCTTGATATAGTATTTATTGTTTCAAATTTCAATTTCAGCAAGCTCAGTTAATGTTTAATCAGTACAAGAGAATTTTAAAAACCCTGGATAAATATATTGAAAACAATATTCTTGCTTAGTTAGGTAAGACGAGAGATTTGAAATGAAAGAGAGATAAAAATGTATGAAGCTCATATTTGGAATATTTTCAAAAATGAATTTCAGAATGATCATGTAAAAAAAAGAAAGGAATTCTTAAGAGAGAATAGAACATTAAAAATTGCATGTAATACTTCAAATCAGCCAACTGAGAAATAATCTACTGAAGTGAATAATTTGAGGATTCTTCTACGTCTCTATCTTCAATAGCACCAATGAAACCTGTGTTTTAACAAAAAAATATTGAAAAATTAGGAAAATGATAAAACATTAGTTGTATTAACAATTCAATAAATCAAAATGGATTTACTAGTTATTAGTATTATACAAGTAATTTAGACAAGCAGACATTAGGTTAGGCTGTTTCATATATATCCTAAAGTTTGATTTATAATTTTTTTTTTTCTAGCTAGTAAAATTCGCTAGTTGGTCCATCGGTAGTAAGCAAGAATCTTAAGTATTCTCTTTAAAGACGTGAACGATTCATAGTTGCACTTCTTTCACAATCTTTTGATTTACTCTTTCTTAACTCAACTTTATTAAGAACCACTGTATTCTGGTTTGTCACATTAGCTTATGACTTATTTTCTATAAATTTAGGACAAAGGGAGCATTAATTTAGATGTTTAATCAGTTCATCAGGGCTCTAATGCTTTCCATACTTAAAAAATGTAGATTTTCTTATCATAAATATAAGAACTTAATTAATTACTGATATTATATAGAATAAATATTGCATTATAAATATTAACCAGAGGTGTTATGAATATTCCAGAATCTATTTAAAAGTAATATGATTTCTAGGTTTCAGCATAAATCTGAAGATAACTTTTTTGGACTTTTGATTAGAATGAATTTTTTACATTAATATTTATTTTTAATTGAACCTTATTTTCCCCCTGATCATATTTCAAAATAACAGAAAGTTGCTATTTATTATCATTAAATTAAAATGTAGTAAAGAGTCATTTAAAACTTTTGAGTTGTGAATCTTCAAATGCATCGAAAGAAATTAGTTTTTGAAAATTTTGATTGAATATTTTTAAAATCATTATAGCTCATATTATTGAATTTTTTCTAATTATTCAATTATTTATGAAAACAAAGAAAATATTTCCTTCTAACACTCAAATTTAAAACTCTGTTATTTAATACGAATAGGATAATACTACTGTTCTCAGAATGCCTTAATCTGCATTTTCTAAACCACAACTCTCTCTAGTTCCAAGTGAGGCCTGTCAAAATTACTACTAAATTATCGAAAAAAATAAATTATAATATCTTGAATACTACAGCCAATTCAATGAAATGAGATTCATGGAAAACATGGCAGGTTTTTAGAATTAATAACTTAAGGATTAAAATCGAAATATGAAAAATAAGTCCTTTTAGAAAATTTTCTCAATATGTTTGATGATATGATCTCTTGTCTCATGGCGATCTAAAACACTTTACTTCTCATAAACTTTGATAATCCTGACTTTTCATAGGTTTACAGCGTTCCTCCAAATATCATGGTTGATATCCTAATTAAAGACATTAAAGTAAGTTTCATACAAAAAATTTGTAGACATTAGAAGGGTTACATTTGGAGATGCAATATGCTTCGTCTCTTAGATTCTTAGAAACAGTATTAGAGGCTCTGGAATTTAATTCATAGCTCCATTCAAAAATCTATCAATTAGATGTAAAATAATGGTCTCAACAATGTAATAATTATCTCAATAGTTTTGCGACTGCACAATAACAAATTAATAATTCTTAACGATATTGTTGTTGTTTTAAATGAACTAAGATAATTGATTATTTATATTTATAATAATAATAAATTATCTCATTACTAGATAAAAAAAAAGATTTACTCCCCAAATTCGAAATTAATCGATCGTGCTCATCAAGAAATCAATTTAAAATAATACTATTACATCATTCATAATAAAAGGGCAAATTTCATAAATTTTAATGAGAATGAAATGCTACATAATTTTTTTTGTGATTTAGTCATCCTTAGAAAGATATTAAAATTTTTTACTTATACTCTTTGAGAATGTATCATCATTAAGATTGGGCAGTGGTTTAAGTATTTTCTGACAGAAAAAGAAAAGCTGATCAAAAGCTTGGTTTAATTAATTCGACAAATTAATCACTAGCAATTTAAGATTATTAACAAACCCTTGTATTGATGACAATTAATGAAAAAGCCTGTCATAAAAAGAATAAATTACCAAAATGGAATGAGATATATAATAATTAATAAAGATCACACAAAATTTATTTCAAGAACTTTCAATAAATGGATGAATATCTATCTCTTCATATTTATTATTAGTTTTAAATAAAGATTATTATGAATCAGATAAGATGAGTATAATAATATGTTTTTCTCAAAAGATTCTCAATAGATAATTGATGAAACATTTGATTTTATTGGTACTTTTTTATTATTCTTATGATATCTAAATTATTTAATACCTTCCATTAAAAAGAGAAAGTCATATGAATCTGAATTAATCAATTTCGTGATGAAATAATCACAAGTAATAATTAAAATAAAATTTGTTAAAAAAATGCATACATTGCCTGCGATCCCAGTCCCGCTTTATAAAATCATTTTTTTCCTTTAGCCTCTCAAGTATCTTTTTGGTGATCAATTACCCTTGCTTCAGGAATCAATGTTTCCATGGTTTAGTGACCGATTGAAGACAGAATTAAATACTGAGGGAGACGAATTATGGAAAAAAGTTTTCAATACTTTCAAGGGACCAATTATATATTATTGCATAATAGTTCAAATAACAGTGGCAATCAAGATCAGCGTATCTTATTTATTAAAAGTTACTTTACAAAGTATGGATTCATGGAATGCCTTCCTTTTAGGAGTGTTATTATTAGGTTAAGTAATATTTGAATAGCACTATTTTCAAAACATTTATTAGATGTCAGCTAAGATTAGAGCTTCTTTAGCATAGATGTTATTGGCTAAATTATAGAGAATATCAACATCAAGGTTAAAAGATGGGTAATTTTTTAATATAATAACGATGGATATTGCTGATCTTGACTTAACCTGGTTAATAGCATTTAGTGGTGCTCCAATAATATTTTGTGTGGGTATCTACATCTTATTCTCATATTTCGGAATTTCGTCATTAGTTGGTGTTATAACATTGTGTAGCTTGATGGTATTTTAAAAGCACATAACAACAAAAACAGGACCATTGAAGTCAGAAAAGAGCAAGATTCAAGATGAAAGAACAAAATTAACAGAAGAGATCCTAAACAACCTCCCTAAAATTAAGATGTTAGGATTAGAATCAATTTTCAGAGATAAATTATTGTTAAAGAGATAGGAATAGGATAATAAAATGAGGGAAATCTTAAAGATTGATGCCTTAGCATACTGTTTCAATGGTAATATCAATGTGTTTGCCAGTTTATTTTTGATGATGTTCACTTCTAAAATAATTATTGGTGATTACCCATCTCCTGATCAAATTTTTAGTTCTATTTGGATTTTGCAACTATTTAAAGTTTGGTGCATTACCTATGGATAGAGAGCCTACAAATTGATAATTAATTTACGAGTTCTATAATAGAGAATCAACGATGTTATTTGTATTCCAGAAATAGAACCTAAATTATTAAATACAAGGCAAGCAACCAAAAAATAAAAGAAATATCAATAAATAGAGGAGGAAGAAGCTGCATCTTTGGACACGGTGGAGGAACAACGTTAAGGGCAGATAGAGATAATAAATTACAGCGCTTATTGGACAAAATTATAAGAAATGTAAAATCAACCAATTTTAAATAAAATAAATTTGAAATTAGATAAAGGCACATTTATTATTATACGAGGTGCAGTAGGAAGTGGTAAGTCGTCATTACTCTAAGCATTATTACATGAAATTCCATTTTTCAGTGGTTAATTAAAGATATAGGGTCATGTGGCATACGTTGAACAACGACCTTATATCTTTTCAGGAACTGTAAGTGAGAACATTCTTTTTGGTTGTCCAAACAATGAAACTCATTATTAGAATGTGCTTGCTTAGAGTGGTTTAAGTGGTGACAATATCGACCCAGGTTTCAATGTAGGTGAGAATGGATCTAAATTATCTGGAGGGTAGAGAACAAGATTGAGTTTTAGTAGAGCATTGTATTCAGATTCAGATATATATTTACTCGATGATATATTATCTGCTGTTGATGCAAATGTATAAACGACAATCCTTAATACCTTAAGATATCTAAAGAGTCAAGGAAAGATAGTGATTTTAATTTCCTCTAGGATTGCTGAATGCGATATGATTTACAAAATGCAAGATGGGTAGCTGGTTTAAGAAGAAATAAATATGAACGAAATTTAACTATTGTAACAGGTTTAAGAGTAGCCAGAATAGTAGTAAGGAATTCAAGAAGAAGATGAAATATTAGAAGTATCTAGAACAGTTTATTAAAAATACATAGATGAAGGGGGAAAAAATAGAGCTATGCTAATTCTCTTCCTTTACTTGTTTGATGCTTCTTTATCACTTTTGATAATTAAACAATTTGGTGAATCCAATTTATTAATAAATCTTTTTCTGATGATGGTTTATATTTTGGTTAGTTTTACAAAGTTTAATGAGATGTTTGGGTTTACTATTACTGTGATTAATAATTTGCATAGAAAATTAATATCAACCATTGTAAGAATGAAACTAGAAAATTATACAAACATTGGAAAGTTGATGAGTAGATTCACATCTGACATCAACAACATTGAAGGAATGGTTATGTTAGATTTACATTGGGTAATTGAAGGACTTATCGATAACATTTTTGTTATTTTGGTTATTAGTCTTAATAGTTATATCATCATAGTCTCAAGTGCATTTCTGATTTTAATGCTTTTTATGAAATCTAAGTTCCATCAGAAAATGAAATATTCACTTAATTTAGACGATTAATCCAGAGCTCAATTATATTAATCCTTACGTAGTTCTATCAATGGATCCATCCTAATTAGAGTTTACAATCAATAACTTAGAGTGCAAAACGAGTTTTTATAATAAACCTATTCAAATATGTAGGCTTAGTTCACTTTTCTCAGACTTAATGCTTTATTAGCCTTTATTATTGAATTCTCATTACACATATTAATCATCACTGTCTTAGCCATTTTACTCTAATCCGAATACTCCAAAGATGTAATTGGTTTTTCTGTCCTAATGCTGATGCAGTTAGGATATATGTTTTCATTAAAGTATCATTTATTGATTAATTTTTTAGTTTGAGAGGATAGATCTTCCTAGATATAGACATGTAAAATTGTGTGAGAGTGTAAAACACGATATAATTACCATCTGAAAATTACTCAGGATCAAAAATGAACCAATGGCCTACTAATGGTGTTGTCGAATTCCAGAATGTGTATTTAAGGTATCCTAAATCCACAAAATATTCCCTCTAAAATATCAGTTTTAAAATTGAACAAGGTTAAAGTGTTGGAATCATGGGAAGAACAGGAGCTGGCAAATCTTCAATCATTAATTTATTATTGAGAACTGTGGATGTTACAAGTGGAAATATCAATATTGATGGAATTAATATCAATTAAATCAACCTTTCTCAATTAAGAAGCACTGTTATGGTCATACCATAATCAAGCAATTTATTTAACTAGACAATTAGATTTAACTTAGATCCTCATAAAACTTGCTATGATGAATAGATATGGGATGCACTGAGTAAGGTTAAGTTAGATTCTGTAATCAAGTAATGGGGTTTGGATTCGATGGATTACAATTTAAGTGTTGGTTAATAATAATTACTTGCTTTGGCTCGAGCTTTCCTACATGATGCTAAAATATTGATATTTGATGAAGCAACTGCCAATATTGATGATGAAACTGAAGAAGTTATAGAATAGGCTTTACGTAATATAACCGCAACAAAAATAATCATAGCTCATAGGCCAAAAATAGTTGTTAATTGCAATTACATCATTCATATGCAAGAAGGATAGATAGTAAGTTAATAATGAAGAAATTCATGCATATTTAAATTGATAATATATTTCTTATTCGTTAATTTTGGTTGATGGATAAATCTTATTCATCTCTGAGATTAATATTTATAATACAAAAATAGTAATTCATCAAACTATAATATGAATATTTTTCACATTTAAAACAACTTGATGTGATTGTTACTTATCTTTTCAGTATATTTTTTTAGAAATCAATCTTATAAATTACAAGAATTAAATATTATTATAATAATTACTAATAACAATCATTAATTAAAATTCAAATGAAAAGAGAAGATTAAATATTTCTCTCATCATTATAAATTTGGAATGCTATGGATACTCCTATTCATTAGAGTGCAAATCTTTTTAGTGAAAAATTTAAATAAAGTTCAGAATTTCATTACTAATACAAAAAACCATTTTGTTTACAGCATCCTGAAAAAAAAGTAAGTAAATTTAGTAACCTTAGGCTAAATATACTTTAGTTAATTCTGAAGGATCAAATGAAAAGCTTTGCACAAAATGTGCTATAGAGTTTGCTTAATAAGGGCATAAAATTTAAGTAATTGAAGAAGGTACTTTGAATGTGATTAATATCTACTAGATAATGCTAAGAAGAAATAAACTGATACTTTTATCGATTAGCTGCTTCAAACTAAAAGAGAAATAGGGAATATGCATTCACATTTCCTATGCACTTAGGCAAATCTCAAAAAGTTTTATAATGACTAATATACAAAAGTTGTTCGAACATTTGGAATCATTGAAAAATAACTTCAAAAGGTAATTCTTATTCACATATTTTAAAGTGCAAATCAGACTTATTAATCTCCTTATCTTAATCACTTTGGTCTGGAATATAAATCACAAATTAATTAAAATTAAAGGCTAAATAAGTAGAACATCAATTGGAAACATATATTAACGATATTACAAATCATTATGATCAAATAATATAGATGAGCACTCTCCCATTTAATTAAATTATGGGCGGCTACAGTAGTAAACTATTTAAACTTTAATAATGTCTTAAAGAGATTTAAGAGAATAATATTCCTTATCTTCATTATGAGGGTAGATTAAATGTTTTAGATTCTTTTGTAAAAGATATTAGCTTCTTGAATGAAAAGGATTAGCCAACAGATGCAAAAAATCCTGATAGCACTAGGTCAAGCTCAGAATAAAAAACCTGCAAAAGTGTAGAAAAAGAAAAAAGACCTTATAGTTAACCTAATAGTAAAGATTCTCATTATATTGATAACTCTGAAAACAAAACTAAAAAAAACTTTAAAATAACTGAACAATCTATCGAAGACTGGATGAAAAACTCTAATTCCAAGTAAAGAAAAACTGAACCTGCTGAAAAACTAGCAAGTCCTAATCTTTTAACCATTAAATTAGATAGCAAGTAAATGCCTCCAAACAGAGTATCTATGAAACAAGAAACAAATTAAGCAATTCTTAATAAATTAATAAATGAATTCACTTAAATCAAAAAAGATAGAGTCAAAACTATGGAATCAAAAACTCCTGAATTAAGTAAATCTAATTAATAGACAATTCCTAATAATTTCTCGCCTAAGTTTCTTTATAAAAATTATTATAAATGATTAATTAATAACTCAATACCAAATTCTATTTAATCATTAGATTGTCAATAATTATTTAACTTAATGAAAAATTCTCTAATTTATATTTTTAATAAACATAAATTTTTTTCTTTTTGTAATTATGAATTTATACTTCAATTATTACAATGAGTACAATTAATTTTAATCTTAAATATTTCAAATCAAAATTTATCTTTAAATTTAATTTACTTTAAATTACTAATTCAAATAATAAATTATAACACTAAACTCCTTTTAACTCTTATATCCATAGTTTAATAACATGCGCATTTCTCCTAAATATTTTGAAGCTATTGGATAATTATTCTTAAGGTCAATATCAATATTAATCATGGTCTTTTTAAATTCAATAAAATTCAATTACAATTATAGTAAATCTAAGAATAATTACATTTATCCGCAAATAATAAAAAGCACTTGTTTGGAAGAATAATATGCAATCTATAGAATTCCATTATTTCAAATCTAAATTTATCTTTTATTAATATCAAATATTATATCCAAGATCTAGCTCGTGAGTACTTTGGTACAAAAAAATTTATGTACTAAAAGAGGCAATACCTTCTTTAAATTTGTTGAAATATGTAGATTAATATAAGCCAATTTTCAATAAACAAGATAAAAAGTACTAATGTTTTATTTATTAATGATAAGTATTCATATTCTTTTAACCATTTCTTTTGATCATTTTCTTTTTGTTATTAAGTTTAATTTACTTTCATTTTTTTATCTATTTCATCTAATTTAATCTAAAATTCCATAATTAATTTTCCAGCCTCTTCATTTAGAGAACTTTCTGGAAAAGGAACAATTAACAAGCATTTTATATCTTCGAATATATTTTTTAGTGACCATTAGAGAGGATTTCAACCTTTCTTTAATGTATTCACACAATTTCTCCTTTTTCTGATACATTTGGATGAAAGATTTTAGTGTTAAATAGTCCTAAAATACATAGCTAGCTTATCTTTAGGGGCCATCTAGGGACATTGAGGTGGCAAGATCAATTTGCATCTAAACACTCCTCCTTGGAATGGAGTGTCGACTAAATTAAAAGGTAAAATTTACCCGGACCATCGATATCAGCTTGAGTATCAAAAACATCTTATTCATTAAAAATAATATGAACACCTAATAAATGATTGCGATATCAAGATACCATCAATTGGTGATTTGATAATCATTTATAATTGCTTAACTATAATGGGAGCAAGTTGAGGATTAATTTAGGGTTCTTGAATCTATTTTCATATTAGAGAACACTGAGTATACCATTTTAAATCACAACTTAGTTAACTTAAAGAAAATTCAATTATTATTCTAATCGTTAACAACAGAGTTTAATGTAAAAGAACAACCTTTTCTTTTTTACATCTAGCCTCTCGAAATACTCACATAAGTAGATAATTTTATTTAAACTATACAGCATATTAATACTTTAGGTATTGATATAATATGGGTTTTATACTCATAGTTATTATAATTTGAAAATCGATTTACGAATTGGTTTCCCTTTATTTTGGAGAGGTGTCACAGGAGTGATTGGAGAGTTTGGTGTATTATCATCAGTACGAGTCAAACTTTAAGGACTCAGGTTGTTGAATGAATTTTTGGGGCTCAAGAAATTAGTAGTTGGAATAGGTGAACCATCTAGATGTGGTAATCTCCTAATATTGCTATGTCTTCGAATTTTAAATTGACATGTTTTGGCTAGTTTTTCTTATACAAACCATTAATGGTTGAGAGCTTCTAACGCACTTAATCTCTTAACAGGATTCTTGTTCATCAATCCTTGTAGAAGACTCATTCCGTGCTCACTCAATTTACACTCTTCGAATTTTACTTTTGCATAGTAATTTCTCATAACAACATCATCATAATCCTTGCCTTCGAAAGGAGATTTGCCAGCAATAAGAATGAACATCAGGATTCCGATGCTATAGACATCTACTTTGTAATCGTAGAGCTTGTCTTATAATAATTCAGGGGCTACGTATCCTGGAGTTCCACATCTTGTAAATAAATACTTGCCATTTGGATTGTAATAATCTGCCAATCCAAAATCACAAATGCACAAATCTTCCAGATCATCTTTTTTTCTTAACATAATATTTTCAGGCTTAATGTCTCTGTGTAAAATTCCTTATTCATGGATAAATAGACAAGCTTTTAATAATTTGTAAATTAATTTCGAACATTTTTCTTCAGAAAAGGGAGGAGACTTCTTCATAAATTTATGTAACTCTCCTCCATTCAGATATTCTAATACCAAGTACAGGTATTCCTCTCCTTCAAACACTTCATACATTTTAATTACAGATTCATGTTGAAGTTTCCTCATAATTGAGGTCTCTTTAATAATTGATAATTTATCAACTTCTTCTTTCAAATCCTATTTTCTGAAGCATTTGATTGCGTACTCTTATCCATCAGCCTTGCAAACAGCCTTGAACACCTGAAATTGATAAAATGAAATACTTCAGCGAAATTTCCTTAACCTATTTTTTTAAGTAATGAGTATCTTTGAGAGAAGCATCTCTAAATACAATACTTTTTGAGGTAATTATACCATGGTTCAACATCACCATACATTTCGAAACGTTGTTTGTTTTTTAGAAATCGAATTCCTTGGCCGGCTGCTGGATTTTTAATTAGCTCCATGGTAACATTTATCAGATTTACCCACTTATGGACCTCCTAAAATTAGTTACTCTTTAAAAATTACTTATTCTTTGAACAATAACAGGTAATGAGACATCATTCCAACTTTACGTTTCACAAGTTCCCTCTCTTTATGGATAAGCATGTTATCTCTTAATTCAGTTTGGATTTCTTAAGCAGGGAACTGAGTTTGTGTCCAGAAGGATGTTTCTTCGGAATCATCAAAGAAGGAATCTTTCATAGTGTAGTCCATAAAGTGTAATTTTAATCGATATAACAAACTAATTAAATAATATTAGACATGAAATTCGCTTAAGTTACAGCAGGTGCGTTTTCATCCGGGAAAATAGTGAAGGTTGAACATTATAGTTACAGTGTGAATGATTAAATTGGATCAGGTTTCAGCAGTCAGGTGTTCAAAGGCAAAAATGAGAATACAAATGAGACCGTTGCGATAAAAGTATTTTTATTATTTGATCCATCAGATAATTGATCGAAGCAAAATTACAAATGAAGTTGAAGAGTTCTTGTTGAATTAAGAGATTCGAGCCTTGTCACTGATGAATTCAGATAATGTAGTAAAAATGTTTGATTATTATCACAAACCATAATGCACTTACATTATCACCGAATATTGTAATTAAGGTATTAAATAAGTCGATCATTGTAGGTAATCTGGGATAACTAATCAAAAGAAAATAGAGAATTGATGAAATAGAGGCAATTAAAATAATGAAGCACATAGTCAATGGTTTTAAGGAATAAGTGGCTAAAGGAGTAATTCACAGAGACTTAAAGCCAATAAACATTCTCATACGAAATGGAATTCCTAAAATAGCAGATTATGGATTTTCAAAAATGATGAATGCACCACCTGAAAAAATCTACTATAATGTAGGTACAGCTTTATACATGTCTCCATAAACTATGATTAAAAACATTTATTCTGAAAAAACTGACATCTGGAGTTTGGGAATCATATTCTATGAGATGCTGTACGGCGAAGTCCCCTTTTCAGCTCAGAGTGAAAAAAACTTGGCTTAAGTGATGTTAAAAACTCAACCATAATTTCCCCCAAATATCCCAGTATCAAAAGAAACAATAGAGTTCATTTTAAAATGTCTATCTGTTGATGAATCGAAAAGGTTCTCCTGCAGTGACCTAGAACACCATCCCATCTTCTATCGTAGACATACTATGACTGCACCTCGCCCTATAGCAGATAGAAATCCTTCTGTTAAAAATAGAGAAAATTACTCTCCTCAAAGAACCACAGAATATCATCATGCTCGCAAAATTAATTTCATTGCCTAAACTGCAATGCCTTAATCTGCTTTAAAAAGTAGAGAGAGTGTTAGATGTTTGACTTAGAACGATGAAGTCATGCAAGCGTAATTCCAATTTATTGAATTGATGTTCAGAATTCTAAGAATACTTGACAAACAGTAAGTTCTAAATTAAGATTTGCAAATCAAATTAAAATTCTTGATCATTAAAAACATGTTCTTTAAGACTATTTTGTTGAGAGAAGTAGTTGAAAAGAAGAAGAATGTCTTACAATTAAATGAATTTGATACCTATATCGAGACAGTTGGAAAATACTAAACTTAAGTCCATGAGCTCTATCAAATTGCTAAAGAATATCATGATAAATAAGTAATTGCAATAGTTATTTTAGTATTAAATGATCGAAAACAATCATACCCTTAAGCAATCTGTGCTCAGAGATCGAAGCTTTCAAAAAATATACGAAAACTTCAAATCTGTGACTGAAAGCTATGAATTTTATTTACTCTTCAGCACATTGTTATAGAGATGCATAAGAGATTTATTTAATAAATGTAATAGCAGATTAGCTGGAGCTAGTGATTCTTAATAACTCTAATTGTAAGATGAAACTATGGTTTATGTATTGGAATAATTGACTTACTATTACGGTTTATTGAGGTTGATTATAGAGAATAATAGCAACATTTAAATTTTTACTAAAAAGGCTTAGATTAGTAGAATTTTGTAGGCCTCTCCAGAATAAATTACTAAAAGCAACCTGATGAGTATTAGATAATCAATACAAGAAATGAAAATATGAGAAGAATAACTATTTATAAATAAATTATAAAAAAGATTTAAAAATGATTAGCGGAGCGTTGAGAAGATCGTTTATTGGCAAAGCTCATTTTGGTCTGGTTTCAGAATACAATAGCAGAGTCAACTAAAAGTTATACAAAGGAGTTTAAGTATCTGAAGCACCACAATTCTTCACAACATCAGCTAGACCAGGAAACTTTGGTGATCATATAGATTTCAAAGTACAAATGGATAATTGGTTTGATGAAAACAGGTAATTATTGCTTGACAAATTGATTATAGAGTGCATAACGAACATGAGACTGAGATTAAAAGAACATAAATATATGCATTAAATGCCGTCTATTACGGGGGATTACTCTCCTTTGCAAGGCTATTCGCAGTAGGTATAATAGGAAGAATGGATGGATGGAAGAGATATGACAGAGACACTTATCTTGAAATGGAGTAATAATTTAGCATAAGTCTTATAGTATTGGAGATTTACCTCCTGGAGAAGTCATGTAAATTGTTTGGAATGGTACACCAGTATTTATTAGGAGATTAACATAATAAGAAATAAAGGATGAAGACAATTTACCAAAAGAGACTATTTTGGATCCTAGGTAATATAGATTTCTAGCTTGTTAGCTCTGAGGTTGTCCTTACCAATTGTGGTAACACTAAGGTATTGGTTGTCAGTGCTTTGTGTACCCATTTAGGATGCATACCAATCCCATATTTAGGTGCCTATAATGTATTAAGCAAATGATTATGATAGGGTTGGGTTTGTATTTGCCATGGTTCAGTGTATGATAAATATGCAAGAGTGAGACAAGGACCAGCTTTGTAGAATTTACCATTTATTAATAACTCCATCTATGATGATGTTATTGTCTGTATAGAAGAAATGAAATTCCCAAGAGAGCCAAGTTAAAGATATTGGACTTGAACACAATATTATTTTAATCTATTTTATTACATAAGTAATATATAAATGATGCCATTTTGTTTTATTTGTGACTATAATAATCAATTATAAACCATGTATTTTTGAGTTGCTGAGAACTTCTAATATCCTTTGATGACCTTTTCAATGGCTTCTAATAAATCCTTCTCACTTATGGCTTTTCTTCTAGCTCTAATTGCAAACATACCAGCCTCGGTGCAAACACTTCTAATATCAGCACCAGTTGTATTAGGACATAATCTTAATTATTAAATAATTGATACCTTGCTAATAATTCGTATCTAATATTTTTTTCCATGCTCATTGTCCTGGCGTGAATTTTAAATATGCCTGCTCTGCCTTCTAAATCAGGCAATGCAAATTCAACTTTTCTATCCAATCTTCCAGGCCTCAACAGTGCTGGATCTAGTGTGTCTGGTCTATTGGTTGCCATTAAAACTTTAATATTGCCTCTAGAATCAAATCCATCTAATTAATTAACTATCTCAAGCATTGTTCTTTAAACATCATTGTCATTTCCATCATCATGTCTTGCTCCTCCAATTGCATCAATTTCATCAAAAAATATTATGCATGCCTTCTTAGTCCTTGCCATCTAGAATAATTCTCTAACCATCCTTGCTCCTTCTCCGACATATTTCTATACTAATTCAGATCCTATAACACGAATGAAACATGCCTAATCTACTTCAAGAAAATACTTCAGTTCTATTAGCTACTGCTCTTGCTGTCAATGTTTTACCTGTTCCTGGGGGTCCATACATCAAAACACCTTTTGGAGGATCAATACCTAAAGTAATAAATTTCTCTGGATTCAATAAAGGCATTTCAACTACTTCCCTTAATTTTTTTAACTATTCTTTGCACCCACCAATATCATTATATGTAACATCAGGTTTATCTTCCACGGTCATCATTGTGACTGATGGATCAATCTTAGGTGGTAAGGGTAATTGAATTGCATATTTTTATCTTTCTACTCCAACTCTCATTCCTTCCTCTATGTCTGTTGGGGCCACTTTCTCACCTAATCCAACAACATACTTTGCAATATGCTTTATAGTGATCATATAAAGATCCTTTTGTTGAAGAGAGGATTTGAATATTTTTGTGCATCTAGCCACTGTCAAAGGATGTTCCTTTAAGTTAATTTATTAAATACTGAAGCAAGTTTTTGATCTGCAACTAAATCCCATGTACTTGGAATACTTAAACCTGTATCACTCTCTTTTATTCCCACCATCTTATTTATTGTGGCAACAGAATTTTTGTTCTCTTCCTCTAATTATTTAATTTTCTCTGCATATGGTCCCATACCATACTTTTTCAAGAGGTTGATATCATTCTCATCAAGGGGAACTGTTTTCGTGTCCTTTTCCCTAAAAACTCATAAAAATATTCATTACTCTGCCATTACAAAAATTATTTAAATTAATACTTATCTGAAATTTATTATATATACTCCAACTAAAGATATCCTCTTTTAAGTACCTAACTTATCTTATAAACTAAATCATATTCACCTCTTTATATTATAAATAATACTAAATAGTTTTACTAAAAGAGGTAAACTACCTGAATAGGATAAATTACTCCTAAGATATGAGCAAATATGTCTAAACATTTTCATTTTTAATGGATTCCTTTTGAAAAATCTGCAACAATTGGGTTTTTAACATCATCATTCAGCATTTCTGTGGAGCCAATATCTTAATAATAAAAAGGACCAATAATGACAAAATGAATTAATAATTCACTAATTACCCTACTTCTCTACTGATACTGCCTTGAAAAATTGTATAGGTAGAGGTTGCTTTTTTAAATGTTATGAATATTTATTTATATATAGACTTAATAAGATATTATTCAAGATCTAGTTTAGCTAATATGCCTTATTGATTAAGATCTTGCGAAGGATTTTCTCATTTTTTTTCTTTTCAATTTTATAGGTAGCTTTTTACTTACTTTTTTCAACTTACCAACAACTATTTAAAAATTAAATCCTGTATCATAAAATTCCATTTCTTTTTATGAATCTATATCGCATTCTTTTTTAAGCATTTATCTTGCAATATCAATTTCAATAAATGATAGTTAATCTACATCAAGCAATTTTGCCGAATTCTATTAGATTTATGGTGAAGGTAACTGTGATTATCCTTGTTATTATTAGGTTAAAGCAATTGTTTATTAAAATTAAGTTTATAAAGGGTCTTCCTCGAATCTTTCACTCTATTCAAGTTTCATCTAATTTTATATTAAAGTGACTCTCTTTGTGCTGGATTTGTGTTTCCTTTCTTGAATACAATTCTCTCTTTCATATTATGCTGAATTTCTATTTTATTAACATATTTTTTAAATAGAAATTCTTGTGTATTTTTTTTTGGATTTTATAGATTGAGAATCTTTATTTTCAGAAACCTTCCGTTTGGAATCTCTTTTAATTTGTAGATAATTTTAAGATTTTATTGGCTTATATTCAGATTCGTTATCTGAATTTGTCATGCTAGGATCTATTTCTTCTTAGGCTGAATCTTGTTAGAAATTGAATTTGTTTGATAAAATAAATTCTGAATTTGGCCCAATTTCATTTAACAAACCCTAGCAGGCACAATAGTTAAAGACTAACTATTATAAATTTCTTAATTATGCTAGAGAGTTCTATTTATAGCAATTAATTTACATTACATTATGAATTTTTTGATTTATTCTAGATCTAGTTTTGAATCTCCGATGTTATTTTTCCTCATGATCATTTTTTTTAAATAACCTTAAGCTATTTGGTGTATAGAATACAAAAGGACACTTTATGAAATCATGATTTTGATGACATAATTCACATCCTCCCATTTTAACTCTTCCACCAAATTCTATTTGATGTTTAACATAATAAAAATGCTCTCTGTCTTCTTGATTGTATTTTAATAATTCTAATAAATCATCATATGTAATATAAGCTAGCTTTGAGAATTTGATAGCTCTGGTGGAGAACAAAGCAGGATGTTGTGAAATGAATGACTTTTCATCTATAGCTTAACTTCTTGAATAGATTTTAATTGTTTTGTTGTTACTAATATAAGCTTCTACCTCTCCTTTGAGTATAAAGTAAATTTTATCAACCTTTTATCTAATCATTAATTTTTAATTACCCTTCTATCGAGATGATTTCTTCTGGAACAAAAGATTATTCTTTCACAAGTATACATAACTTTTCTATAAATTGAGCAGAAAAGTTTTGTCTAATTAATTTAGAAGTGCACAAGATGTTTTTATAAAAATCAATCTTGACTTCCCTGTTCAAAGTCCCTGATAAATGAATCATTAATTTTTCACATTCTGATTCTTAATCTCTCTCTTATTTCAAAAAGTATTCAAAAAATTTCTTAACTTTCACTTGTAAATCTTTATTCAAGCCTCTTTTTTTAAGAAAGGAATCTATTAATGTCATTCTATCTCTGAGGTAATTTTTGTTTTCACTCATCTAAGCAAAGATTGAACCAATACTCGAAATTGTATAACCAAAGATAATAGAACTTAAAAGTGTTACGAAAATGACAAATATTTTCTCATATTGAGTGACCTTTTTACTAATTATGATAATATTTACTGGTATTATATCACCATAGCCAATAGTCAATGTAGTTATACACGCCCAATAAAAACTTGTAATATATCTAGCCTGCCAATTGTGTTCGACCAGATTGGCTCTTTGAATCCATGTGTTTTCCTCAAATGAAGATTCTTACATCGCAATGAAATGCCAAATGCAGGCTATAATGTGTGATGCAAACAAGAAGGTTGACATTAATGAGATTATGTCAATAACTGATGCAAAATTTACTCTAAGATTCGTCGTTTCAACGATATTTTCGAAGATATACATAACCTTTAAAAACATATTAATAATGCATACCCTGGATACTCTAAAGAGTAACACGAACTCAATATAGGGTACATTAGATCTACCTATCATAAATGGGATGAGAACAATAAAATCAAGAGCAAATTTTCCCTTCAAATAATGTTTGAATATCTATGTTCTATTTAACACTAATACTCCTCTTGAATAGTAAGCAACATTAAAATTAAGCAAAATTTCGAAAACGAACACATATTAGGGTAGAGTGTCCAAAAAAAAATCAGCCCCATCAACAAGGCTTATTTGAAATGAGATCTTAAGTGGTATATAAAGGATATTTATTAATAAAATGAGAAAAACTACTACATCCCAATATAGTTTAAGCGAATTATCAGGCCTGATTGGCTTTATGATTGAGGAAAACACTCTTAAAAAACCTAGGTACAGCTTAATTTTTGTTGATAGCAATTCCTTGAGATAACAAAGTAAAATACCAATGAGCCTTATTTTGCCTTGCCTCTTATTAATTTATGTGTTAAATAAAAATTAAAATCAGAAGCCTTATCTCCAATAACTTTAAATTACCTATGATCTAAGTATCGCAATTTAAATTTATCCGAATTAGTCAATAAGTAAGTAACAAAACGAGCAACAAGAACTATAATATTTAAGGCTCTATCCTTCCATATCTTAGTTTTAAATCCTTATTTGGCTTCGAAATCATAGGAGTCTTAGGAGAGGATACTTTATTCGCTAACCTCTCTGGATAACTTTACTTTGTCCAGCATTGTGAATTAAGATTGCTTCATTTTAAAGTTATTTAAGAAATCATCATCTTCAAAAATAGATCAATTTGTACTCATAAAAACTATTGAGCTTGCCATATTTGGGCTGGAAAGTGGGTCTTCGTATGCAGACATAAAAATTAAATAATTAAAATTGAATATTCATAACTTAATGGCAATAATACTTACAATATAATTAGCTTTTCAAAACATTATTGCAATATAAATATAAATAGCAAATAAGTGATTGCATTAATATAAATTTTATTTCTTAACAATGATTAATACGACGACTAAAAGGGAGGAAAGCTTTTTGACAACAAAGGTATCCGATCGAGTGATTACAGTTGAAAATGAATAACGATCAACTTATAACTTTGTAAGAAGAAATTATTTGACAACTACATTTGCTACCTTAGCAAACAGATAAACAAATGGAGTCTATAATGTTGCTTTCAATACTTCATGTTGCCAACCTTGTCCATAACCATGTCCTCAACCTTAAGCAATGCCCATGCCAATTTATATTCCCATGCCATATCCATAATAATGCGAAAAAGAATGTCATTGTGAGGAGGAAGAATAATATAAGGAGGAAGTTCTTATTTTGAGAAAACGAGTTGCAGAGTTGTTAAGTAGATAGCCTTAAGTAAAAGTTGAAAAAGAAACAGTCAAAGTTGAAAATACAACTAGAGTATTCTAGCAATATAAAATTTTAGATAGCAGATTTGTAAATGGAAATAGAAAGATTAAAAATAAATCTTAGAAATGAATAGGATAGATTGAGATAAAAGGAAGGAGAATATCTGGAATTAAGAAGCGATAAATCATCCTCATCTTTGAAAGATAGATTAGCAATTTTAGAAGTATTTTTCATTTTATTAAAATAGAGTTAATTATACAATTCAAAATTGGAATTAGAAAAACTTTAAGGCCTTCTTTAATCTAAGTTATAAGAATTAGAGGAATGGGAATAAAGATATCATCATATGGAAAGTACTGTTACTGTAGAGAGTACTGAAACTGTGACTTTAACTAATGTAATCTCTCATTCTCTATGAAGGAAGTTGAAGTTTGGAAGACAAGATTTAAGAAATTGAACAATGACTTTTTTGAAACATAAGAGAAATTGATTATGGCGTAGGCTGAATTAGAAGCCCTGAAAAAAGGGGGAGTAACCGAAGTTAAATAAGTTACTGTACAATAGAATGTGACTAGTTCTTCTGTTAATAGAGTAATTGAGCAATCCTCGAGAGGTTCTAGATTCATAGATTAAAATTTAGTTGGAAAGTTATATCCTTGATAGTATTTGAATCAAAAACAAATATCAATATATAAAATATTAATATTGTAATTATTATTTATAAAGTATAAAATAAAAAAGTAGGACCTACTTGGATTCGAACCAAGGTCTTGAGGGTTAAAGCCTCAGGTACTAACCACTATACGATAGATCCTATAGTTATTCTTATACATACCGGACAGTATTTCAATATATCTGTAAACAAATTATCAATAAGCTTTAAACAAAATTATTAAAATTGAAAAAGATTTGAAAAATTCTTTGAGGAATAACACAGAATTATTAATCATATATTTAATTTATAAATATCAATTAATAGCAAATATACACTAAATTCATTTTGTATTCATTTTTTTAAATGTATTTTTAAAATTCTATGACTAAGATAATTTTCCATAATTTTCAGAATTAGAAATTTTGTCTAGTTACTCCTTTTTTCTTAAAGGACTTGCTTGGGCTCTAAAATAGACTTTGTTAGGCAATATTTTAGGACTTCCGTTTGGGGATGAATTTCTTGAATTCTTGAAGATTAATGGCTTCAATTTTGGAGAAACTGCTTTACTCCTATTTAAATCAAGATAATTTCTGACTATCAATTAATTTTCTTCATTATATAAAAAAGGATGCCTTAATGCTTATTTTGACGATAATCTATTAACTGGATCCTCATATAATAAAGATTTTAAAAAACACAATCCATTATTAGAAATTGGAGGAATATTTAAAAAATCAATGTGCCCAAGAAAGTTTTTTAAAATGGTTTCTTTAGTTGAACCTGATTAATATGGGTCTTTCCCAATTAAGATTTGATAGCCCAAAATTCCAACACTATAAATATCAACTTTTAATCCATATTTTTATTTTCTTAAAATCTCTGGTGCTACGCAACCAGGAGTTCCACAATATTTGAATAAATAATTATTATCATCATTTGCTTTTTCAGCTAGTCCGAAATCAATTAAACATACAGAATTAAAGTTATCTTAAGCTCTCAACATCAAATTACATTTTTTAATATCCCTATGAAATATACCTTTATTATGCATATAGTTTAATCCTTTTAGAATTGATCTTAATATTTGTTTAGCAGTTATTTCGTTAACTATGTCATCTCCCAAAATCGTTTTCAAGTCTCCCCCTTCTAACAGGTCTTACACTAAGATGATCTAAGCATTTGATTCAAAAACTCCTTTATATTATATGATATTTGGATGATTTAATTATCTTAAAATCCTTATTTCCATTTTTATTGATTATTAGATTGTTGAGTCTTTTTAGGATAAGGATTTATCAAAAACTTTTATAGCATAATCTTGATTGTCAATCTTTGATTTAACTTTATAAACCTAAGTTAAAACATATTAGTTTACATTTGCTGCAGATCCACTACCTAGCAATCGTACTATCTGAAAATTGGAAACAAAGTCTAAACATATGCATTCTTTCATAAGGATAGCCAACCAACCACTTATTTATCCGAATATCTCAATTTTACTGCAATTTTTCTCCAATCGAAATCCTACTATTTCATCGTTAGAATTTCGTAAGATAGTTAAAAATGCCTCTATAAAGGAGATATATTTCTAATTTATATACTGTGCTTACATTTCTTGAATATTTTATGTATTGTGCTCCAATATATAAATTTTTTTCTTTAACTTTTTCTAAATATTTAACAACAATCAAAGCATTTTATTATGAAACAAAGTTTATATTAGTGGTCCACAAATTTGTTTCTGGTGAGAAGACAGAATTGCGTAAATCTAAGTTATTTGAAACTAACTAATTTCTCTGCTACATTAATTAAACAAATTAAGATTTCTGTAATAACTTAAATTTATTAAGATCCATCTACGATAAATTGTATTGAATATATGAAAAATAACTTAACTTCCCCTCTTTTTAAGGTTTTAGTAATCTTAAATCCAACCAATTAATTTTAAGTTGTTTTCTTTTAGTTCAAATAATTGAGAAAAACGATAAACTGTAATAACACTTATAATTATTAAATAATTTCGAAAAATATAATCACCATTTGTCAATCAATCTTCTGATATTTCTGGTCCAACATTTTTTTTAAACGAAACAAGATCATTATGATTTGATTTGTAATTATAAAACTTAAAATACAATTGATACCGATCATTCGTTTATGGAATTATTTTGATTAAATTAGTATTGGGAGTGTTCAAAATTATGGATAGATTAAATCCCTTTAGAAATTATAGATTTTTAACTGTTCAATTTAAGAATTTCAATTAGCAAATCAACAAATATTTTAAACATACTTGTTATCTAATAAAATATTCCTAAACTTTTATTCATTTATGATTAATCTAACATTTGTGTTTTAGTATTTTTTAAAATGGATCATCTTTTTATGAGTGTTGTGGTCGAATCAAAACAAATCAGTTTTGAATTGAAAATTTATTATTATATATCTTGTGCTTTCTAAATTAGATTATACAAGCAATAGGTATGTCTTAATATTCTTTATTATTGTAAATTGTTTTCAATAACACATAAAATGGAATTGTATACTCATATGTGAATTTTCTAATTCAACAAGAATATTTATATATTTTTCAAAGTAAATGTTATTAATTAAGTTAGATGGCGTTAAAAATACTGAATTTCTATTAACAAAAGATAGTTATTATGTTTCTTATATGTTGAAAAGTTAGTGTGAAATTTATAAAAAAGGACTTATAAATTTTGTATTTAATCAATAGAAATTCATCAAATATACAGAATAAAATTGAATATATAAGTAGTAATATTTCTCAAAAAAAAATGAACTCATTTGTGCTCTCTCTTTAATAATTGACCTAATTCCTTTTGTTGAGAGATACTAAATGATATTTTCGAACCAGTATCTTTAAATTTCACACTTTTTATATGTTTACATATTTGTTAATCCTTTTTTTTGAGTATACTTTTATTAGCACTTATTGAATTTTCATATGATGAGTTGACATTATTAGAATCAACATTAAAAAATGAATCAAGAATTTAATTAGCATTAGTGAAATATTCATCGTTGTTCTAAAACGGGCTTAAACCTAATTTTAAATCTGCATGATTTGGAGAGGAGAGTGTTTGAGATTCCTTTCGTACTTGTTTCTCTTCATGACCTTATGCTTAAAAATGAGTTATGAATTTTGTCTATATTTAGTATTAATGAACATATTCAGGACCAAAATAATCAGCTTAGATCTGCTTTGAATAATTTTCTGATAGACTGTCTTCTTACTTATTACAACACTTTACGCTCTATCCCATTAAATATAATTAATTAGATATATCTAATGAATTAATAAATAAAATAATTTTGTTTAAAGGGCACTTTCCCTTTTTGTGAATTTGAAAATTCTTTCATATATAATTTTGCAAAGAAACTTTAGTTTTTATCAATAGATGAAGTAAAAAATTATGTCCATATATGCAAATAAAGATTGAAAGCAGAATTAATTCTGACACATCACACTGTAATCCAAAAATGAAATCCTTAAAGACTTTCTAGAAGGTAACCTAGACGAATCCCTATCAAAATCAAGGGAAAATTGTTTAGTGATGCAGAACAATCTTGATGTGTGGAGAAGGAATACATATAATTTCAATAACCTTAGAATATTTCCAAGAATAATGATTTATTGCTATATTAAGAAAGATTACTTCCAAGAAAGTAAATTTGAAAAAAAGGATTAAAGAAATAAAATTACATTAGGATAAAAAATATTAAGATAAAAATGAATATTAGAAAATAATTTGATGAATCTTGTGACGTTTCAAAATACAAGTATCTAAAATCCAAACTTTGAATTATTTGGGTTAATACAGTAACCAAAGTTAATATGAATGAATATAAAGATAAAATAATAAATAATAAGAGCATTATTATTTTATAAAATGAATTGTTTTAATCATATTAAATATATCATTATTAATGGTCGAAAACAAGGAAAAATAATTTAAAATTAAATTTAATATATATGAAAAGTTGTCAAAAGAAAGTTCTTGATTAGGTTTAGAATAAAATAGAATACGAGGCATCCCATAGAAAAAGCTTTTTTTAAAGAAAATTTGTCCGAATGGAATGGAGCAGAAGAAAAATCCCAAAAATTTAAGGCGAATTTGATTTACAAATTGAAGTTATTTTATTAGGGAAGCATAATTAGCCCAAGAAAAAATAATTGATGGTATGGTAAAATATAATGAAAACAACTAAAAGAAATGTATTATAAAATGTTTATTCTAGGGTGATAGTTGTTGGTTAGATTATGAAAATTCAATTCTTGAAAGTCTATAAAATGAAGAATATGGAGTAGGTATCAAATTAACGAAATGCTTTGATGAAATAATTATTTTTTGTGATGTTTCCCCTTTACTATCTATCATCAAGAAATTTACGATTTAGTTTGATTTTTTTAAGTACTTTGAAGTAATTAAATAAATTTCTTAAGAAGTACTACTATTTATTACTTTAGACGTATAGAATTTAAAGAAAGAACGAAACTCGTGATTATCAATGCATTATTTATTAGAAAACTTCTCTCACATCTTAAATAGAATCTTAACTGGAAAAATCCATTTATATTCAAAGAAGAATTAACCATGAATATTTGTAAAAGTTTTATGAGGTATTTGAGAGCCCAGAATAGATAATTGTAGTCACAGAATTGACTCTAGGAGGAACATTAAATAATTACGTTTAAAAATTTCCTACACTTTCAGAGGAGAAGGCTTAGAAATTCATGTTTAAGATTTTAAAAGGATTGGCTTACCTTCATTCGAAAAACATAATGCATAGAGACATAAAACCAGAAAATATTTGGCTTGGATTAAATGGAAGTTTAGAGAATCCTTGTCTTAGCTCTTATGGACTGGCAGAGATAGTGTTATAGAATGAAAATTCTGCTGATTCAGATAATGAATAATAAATTCCTGATTATCTAAGCATAAGATTTGGCACACCTGGTTTTACTGCTCCTGAAATATTAAGAAATGAATATTATGATCAAAAAGCAGATGTTTTTAGCGCTGGAATTGTGATGTATTACTCTTTATGTGGAAAAATCCCTTTTTAAGGGCGAAATTTATAAAGTGTTATAGAATCTAATTAAAACTGTCAAATTGATTTTTCTAAATTATTTTTGAGTGATGAAGGTGTTGATTTCATAAAAAGCATTTTAAATGAAAATCCTTATGAAAGGTTAAGTTCTTAATTAGCATTAAATCATTAATGGCTAAGAAAAGAGAGATTGGCAGAAGTAATGGAGTTTAAAGCAAGTTAAAAGTTAAAATAATTAACTGAAAAAAATAATTAACAGAAAGGTTAAATATATGTCTATAATTAATAAACATTTTCTTCAGATGCAAGTCCATTAAGTCCTTAATCTCCTTAAATAAATAAATTATAAAGATAAAATTCAGATTTTCGCATTCGCACATAATGCAAAAGTTTCAGTCCCGATGTAAGTTAATTTAGAAAATAATCCTCTTTTACAATAAAATCAAAGGGAATCGCTTAAAATCAATTCAGTCATCTGAATGATAACGACGAGGTAAGGAGATGCAAAAATTAAATTAAAAAATCAATATTTAAACAATGAATTTTGAAAATTTTTGATATTTCAATTGCAATAATTTTTCTCTCCAATCAATAAAAATGGTTTTCATTTTATTATAATAATATTTAAAATTTATGAATTAGTAATATTTTTCTTATGTAACTTCAATTAATAATAATTTATTGAGTTTTTATGTGAATTGCTCAATTTGTAGGGCATCTTTGAATGTTTGCTCAGTCTCCTTGTAATGTAATCATTTTAATCTTGATGAGAAAAATGCTCAAGCAATTTGGTAAGGAAAACCAAAATTATGTAAAGGAAAGATTTAATAAAATTAATAATTTTAGTTCAAAATTCATTTACAACTTTAATTGAAATCATTAATTTCAAAAGGATAAAATTTATATTTAAGGATATTTAAATAAATACTAACAATTAGGTATAAAGGTTGAGATCTATTGATTAGTAGCGAGTCTTTCCATACTTTGAGATTTTTGAAAATTATCCTTATTAAATCATATTTATATATAGGATGTATTTTTTTAAGCATAAAATCAATTAGTTTTCCACAGGCATTATGTTCGCGGTGTTCTCAAATTTTTTTTTCTTAAATTATGTATTTAATATTTAGGAATTCTAAATGGTTACAAAATTCTAATTTATTAATAGAGATCCTAAGATTATCAATAACTGATCAAAAACTCATTCAGGAAGTTCAATTGTTAAGGTTAAAGTTAAGGTCTTAAAATTTATGTAATACCTTCTGTCCAGATATCATTTGATGTATTCTAAATTATTTCAACTTGCTGCCTTTTTAAATACCAAGTCATAATATTCTGAGGTATTTTTTGTCATTTAGGAATTAAAATCTCCTGCCACAATAACGTCGCTTTCCATTTAACCTTTAGTGGTGGTAGAGGAATGAATAGTTTGATAATGTTGTACACATGAAATTATTGTTTGAAATATGTTGTTAAACTGGCTCAATTTACTTAATTACCATTTAGAATACCGGTAGCATTCAAAATTTGAATCAAGGATGATATCCCTCATGTAAAAAGAAGATCTACCACCACTGAACATGACTATCTGAACAGTTTAGAGATTGTTAAGAAATTCTTTATAATGAACTTTTCATTTTTGCATTTTGTGAAAGAGCATTGTTGTCAACTACATCTCCTTCAAGATGTGCATGAAGTGAATGATAGATATTTGTTCTAAAATAAAGTACAGTAAAGCAGTGTTGACCGAATATGATAAAATATTTTGAACATCCAGGAAATTAAATCATCGAAAAGAGGAAAAATTATCCAATCCAATATCACTGCAATTTGATGAAATCTCCAGTCTAGTAATCAGTCCAATATATTAGATCAGTCAAGGTTCACAGCCACCTCAACGGAGCCATCCTAAATCATCAGTTGTTTTAACTCGGAGCTTTCATCATTATTTGCACTTCACCACCACCAGACTAATACAACACCAAGACAATATATTAGAGACAAAAATTCAGATGAGTGTGATTGACCTGTCAAACTTAAAAACAATGAGAGCAAAGTGCTCATTATAAACAAGATATCCAACAATTATATAGGAACAAAGTTCATATATGCAAGCTAAGCCACCTTAGAATGTAATGGCTGAAGAATTTCGGCAAGTCAACATGAATTCACCAGGATATTCCTAGGTTTAAGGAAACAACCAGTAATATATCCGATAATGCAATGACTGTATTCAGTTCTCCAAATATTCCTAAATATTGAGTTCTAAGCTTTCGAGATGGCAATAAAGTATCAGTAAATGAATTGTTGATTCATGACTAAGCCATATACAAATTGTATTTAGCACTGTGTTATTATTCAAATGCTTCCTCTTAATATAAAGCAACAATCCTACGTGTTTACTTTAATGTGTTGCATTGGTCATTTGAGTCTTACATGTAATTGATAACTCTTTCTAAATGTATTCCTGCATAAAGAATATTGTTCCAACATTTGACACTTTGTGAGAAAATTCCTTAGCTGACTGTATTTTGTGCAAATATTATTGTCCCGATAAATAGTATTTCTTTTGACACTTCAAGACAATCTCTAATTTTATTGTTAGAAGAACCTTATAAGATTGTAGAACAGATATGATCAGGTGATTCTTTATGTCATTACTATTAAAAAACATGAAGCATATGTAAAGTACGTAGATCGTTTACAAGAATAATCACGTGTACTTCAGTTTAACTATCAACACACAATGACGTGGTGACAATGTTTCCAGTACAGTTTTACAAGAAGAATTACAGGAGCAATGTGTAGTGCAACACTCATATATCATCCGTCGTCTTAGTTAAGGAATACAATTTTCAAGGATTATCATAACGAGATAGATTTAGTTCAACAAAAAAGGCTAGAGATATTATTAGAACGATGCCAGAATAATGAAGTGCATTATTGCATGAACTTTAAGTCAATCGCTAGAAATCTCAGGTAATATAGGCTCAGATAATTACTGTTTTCAATCTAATAATCATCAAGAAATTATGAAATTATAGTTGTAATGTTCTGTAAAAACAGAGAACTCCTTTCATATTTGGATTAGTTTAACATTCCGCCTTTTAGAATAGACATATTTTCATCATCTAATCATTCTTGACCTTACAAAAACATTTAGGGTTCCAATTTGCATCATAAATTTGCTTCATATACATAGACTATCGAATTAGAGCTTAAAAAATTAGACAGAATCAACCGGATGGGTTAATAAATGTATTAATATAGGATATTAACCATCATATATTAGTTATAGTGACAAATAAAACTAGGAATAAAAGGTAGAACTGTCAATTATGGCAATTTTCACTTTTTTGTCAAACCAAAGTACCTCTTCTTAAAGAAAATTTTAATCATCCTCATAAAATATTGAGTAGGGCTTTCAAATGCAGAATTACAGTTTAAGTTTCTCAATCAGGCCTTCCATATATTCTATACAAGATCAATTACAAATTTCAAAATTAATAAAGAAAGGCGTACAAGCAAATTGATTTAAAAGGTGTGATCTAACAACATAATCTTCTAAGTAAGTTAAACCAGCATCCATAATATGACATTATTAAAAGGTAAATAAACCTTATTATCTGAGAAATTATGTATAATTGCATCTATTTTCAAGCTCAGCAATTACTTGCCTACCAACGTACAGTTAAACTCTTAATATTATTTAACACCATTATTAAGTTTCAACTTAATAACTAGCAATACATTGGAAAATTGATTATTACTTAGATAAATTATCCACTCAAATACCTATCATAACAAAATAACTATATATTAATATGTTTACCTAACTTTAAAATATCACTCTAGCATTGATGGATAGTTGGAATGTCTACTTTCTAGATCAAAATGCTTTTGAAATGAAATAGTGTTCATCATCTTTTGCAGATCATCTAATGCGATAGCATAAATCTTGATAAAGAAAATACTTATATTTACCTTCAGCATGAGAATTTGAGGAAATTGTTGATCAAGGTCTAAATGTTGCATAGGTATTTCGATTTAAATACGTTCAGTAAAGTTGAATAGCTTCTAGTTTCAAGATCCAGTCATACGGTGGAAATTATTAGAAGTTATGGTTAATTAATACCATATTTGGAATTACTAGCAGTGTTCGTTGTATGATGTGCCAAAAATTAAAATTTGGTCGAATCAAATAGATTCTCCCCAATATATTACTTAGAATCTCAGTAATTACGAGATTAATTTTTTCAAATAAATTCTAATTTCATGCTTTAAAATAATTTAATATCATAACTACTGATTATAAGTCTATCTTGACTTTATGCAGTGATTATCCTTATAGGAATAGCAGCAAGCTAAGTTTTGAAATTTGATAGTAGCAATTTGAATATATTTCTACATTTACAATTGAATTGATATAATTGTTGCTGTAATAATTAATTACTGCTAATTCTACAACTATTCATCTTGCAGGTTGCTCACCATTCCATTCGATAACTTACATCACAAGCAGAATTCAATTTAGAAAGGAGGATGCACTTTGGAGGTTGAGAATAACACCATGTGATACTAATAATTAAGATATACGCATTAATGTCTTTGCCGTATCTATTGTAATCAAACCCGATAGTAATAACACTAATTTGTAGAGCAAGAATAGCATGGTTACTAGAATTTAAATGGCGAAAGAGCATAAGCTAGTTTCATCCCTTCTTCACTGTATTCCACACGTGAGTAAATTGCTGCCAATTTTTAGACACTAAAGAATCAACAGTTTTGCTAAAGAGCACCACCTCATTCTGATAAGTTATACCAATACTATAAAGTTGTGTTTGTTTACGAGGTGTGAGTTAAATAATTTAAGTTTTTATAAATATTTTCTAAATTTAATAATTTTTTTTTTAAATTCTTTTATATTATCTATTTCCTTTCTTGATTCTGTATCCATCGAGTGAGGTCTCTAATCACAAAAGCAATTTGTTTCTCAATTCTGTTATCCGTTAAATCTGAAGCTTGGCAACTAATAAAGATCACTACACTAACTTGCTTTAGAACTTATTGATTCAATACAGCTTAAACTTCATTTTGTTAGCCGATAGTGAGAAGACATCAAGACCCTCTTCAGAACTACAAATCTTAGCCAGCATTCATGGAAAAGATCTGCTGAAATAAAAGATTGAATCCTGGTTTGAAAGATTATTGATGGTTGATAATTTCATCAACAGAAGCTTATGTAAGTGAATCTATAATCAGAGAGCTTTGCCGATAAACAATTAGTCAATTTGTTTAAGCACTTGCTACAAACTAAAATATCAGTTTTTGCAGTCCCATTGAAACAAATTGATTTGAGGATTCTCTATTTTTGCTTGATAAGGTACAGTTATAGGTCTCTATTGATTTTCAATTTATATGATCAACACAGAAAAGCAAATCTAGCAGTCTAAGTCAGACATCTATCTTAATAGGCATCTCCAAAATGGATTGAAGCACCCTTTTTAAAATATTGTTTGTGCATATTTAGAATTTATTATTAGTATAATAAAAGATCAGCAGAATCATTAACGTATTCGTAAGCTTATATTACTTGTGACTAGCTTTAAATCAGAACTCTATGTGTTTCCATAAAAAACATTATCAGATTCACAACCTTTTTTGCTAAAAGTCAAGGAAAACTAGGAATTTATTAATCAGTTATCTCTTTATTAGTATTATAAATTACTTGATGCAAACCTTTTTATCATACTAATTAGATTATCTTCTTTTTTATTGTTTAGAATGGTTTGGTTAATTTACATTTTTAATATCTTAAATTCATTTCATGTTTTAATTTCAGACTGCTCCCGCCATATTTGAATTGCATTGCACTACAAGGTAAATACATAAATATTTATAAATTACCTCTAATTGTAACCCTGAATAAAGTAGGATCACAAACATCAGTACATGCTGTGACATTGCCAGATTTTGAAAATGATTTTCAAGTATTGTTGTATAGTATCACGAGTGATAAGTTGCGAGTACCATTTTTAGGATGAGAAAAGACCGAATAGAGTAACTTATCATCTTAATTAATTTGGTTCACATAGTACTTCTGATGTGAAGGATAACCTTCAACACAATATTGAAACAAGAAGCAGTGATGACAGTATTGAATAATAATTAAGTTCAATCATTAAGAAAATAGAAGGATAAATATTTTGGATGTTTACGACATTAATAAAAGAAGCACATGTATTAGACAGGCACGCATGTGATGTAATTTATGCATTGCTAATGCTTTTCCTGACATCCATAACAATTTAGGGAAGAAGTTTATTAGCGCGAAATCTACTTCGTCATTTTTGTATTTTGCTTTAGTTTAGACAATGCGCATATTATAAGGAACAACATTAATAGCCTGGTCTCATAAATACATCAAGAAAGATATTAAATCAAAAATTGATAAAGTCCCCTTAATCTACATGTTAATGTGGAGTCTTTGCTGCTTTCAGTACATCCATACACTCAACACTAACTGTAAAACAAACTGATTGCTTAGTTCTGCAATTATTATCCTATTGTCGATAAAAATTATACTGACAAGTATTTTCTTAAATCAATAAATTTGCATCTTCAAGCTTCTATACAAAGAGGTTTCATTCTTTGGGACTGCTGGCTGTTCCTGTTTTTCCTTCTTCCAGTTCCTGAATTAGATTATCAGATTGGCATTCCAGTATAATCTGATTTTTGCATTCAGATACATCGGACGGTTCTATATTAATTTTTACAGAAAAACAAACATTTATATTCACATCTATGGGTAATGTAAAACTGCATTTACAAAAGATGCTTCTCCTATTTTAGAGTAGGTATTTTAAGCTTGTGAAAATACAATTCATATAGTATAAGAATTTCATTACCATTCTAAGATACTACTTCATTTAAGAATTAAGAATGTGTATATTGGCTTTTTTTAGGTGCAGGTGATGTGTATCATCTAGGCCCTTCTGATAGATATAACCTAATGCCAATCTTGTAGGTACAAATGCAGCATTTATAATAATCCAAGATATCAACTTATCACTTTAAGGTATCGCCTCAAATGCAATAGAGCTTCAACAGAAGTTACTATATGTTATAGTGGCTTTGTATTCAGACACTGATAAAGTCCAGTTAAAACTATGAAACTATAAAAAATCCACTAATAAAAAAGATGAAAATGAATAAATCAAACATTATTTTCTACATTTAATTAAAATAGGAGATATTTTCAATAAATGAAATATTACGAGTTATCATATAAAGTTGATTAGCAAAAGATTTCAACTGGAGTTGAAGATGATGACAGGAATTGCTAATGTTTGAAATAAGGCCAGCATTTCAATCACTAAATTGGTTTGCTATAAAATATTGCATAATAAGGTGAGAATGTTGAGACTGAGCAATTAGTTTTGCTATTCTAAACAAACTTGTAGCCTTATTGAATTTAAGCCAGATTAACTGAAGTCCTCACCCTAATCTTCGATCATAAATTCATGTGGGGCTTTTCATTTAGTGGTTTAGTGTTATAGTTTTTTTGACCCAATTTGCACTGCTTCTATCTTAAATTACACATTCTGATCAGGATTGATTTTCCGGATGGCTTGTACAATTAGAGCAATCATATAAACAACTTTGTCTGCTAGAAACAACATACAAATGCAAGCTCTCCCTAATTGAATTTGAACTTAGGTAGCTACCGGCTACTCTATTACTACATGTGGTGAAGTTACTAATAGCTCTAAAGATGTCATCAAGGATATGAGGATTATCATGAAATTCTGAGGGTAGCCACATTGTTTGCAGTTTACAACATGTCATTGAAATCATTGAGTTTTATTCAGACAAAAAATATTCTTGAACAATTAATATAAAAATATATGATTAAAATATAGGTTTAGAAATTTTTTAGAGAAATAGATTGTTGTGCTGGCAATTTCTATCATAGGAGATGAAAGCTTTGAAAAATGAATTTTGTTGATTAGTTGCTAGTTATATAGTATAAAATCCTACAAACTCAAGATATGAACTCATGTAATTCTACTTAACCATATTCAGCTTTTGGTTGAATAAGTGCGATGGAAACACATGTGCTACATTTACAATTATATCTCATCATCTAAACTAAATACAAATTGTATTAGTTTATTAGATTTTGTTCTATTTAAAAATTTTATGACATCAGTGTTTATTTATGTCTTAAAGAGAAATCACAAATATCTAAAACAATCACCTGCATACATTATTTAGTATTTAAAGTATTGGCGTCACAAGTAAGGATGCACTAATAGCATTTTCAGATGGAAAAGCTTTTAAATATGATTGGAAAAGACATCCAGATGTGTCATATAGTTAACACATAACAGCTTACTCTTAATTTCTAACCTTATAAGATGGAGGGAGCTGTATTTGATGATTCCAAAAAATTGGTCTTTATCATCTACTTATTTATTCTAAAAGCTCTATTTTCAAAACTCAAATTTGTGGTGAATATCTTATTATTGCATAAAATATAAATCTACTTTAATATTTCTTGATGTACTTGGATGTCTAGAAGTCTACCGTTTGAAAAGAGGTTAATTGTACTTACTCTTTACTCCTAACACTTCATTTAGATTTCTATTAGAATTTAGGTTTTTGTGCTTATTGTGTTTCCTGATCACTTGATGTAGTATTTGTATTGATAGTCTCGATTATTAGTTTCAATTGTGGACAGCTCTATTTTTCAAGAAATGATCAATTTATTGCTCATAAAAGTAATGAATAGTGTGAAAAATGGAAAAGAGAATAAACTTGAATAAGTTAGTTGAACCTCCTTATAAGTTTATAAGATGGAATAGTTGTTTTTGTTGCGCCAACAAAGACAATTGAGTCAATAATGTGAAATCACATTTTTCAGGAAGGATAAGAATATTATAAAGTTTTTGATCAAAAAAAGCATAATAGCATCAATAAAAATATCTAAGCGAGTTATTTTCTTTGAATCCATTTTATTAAACATATTCTTTTGAAAAAGTCTAACAGAATACCAAAATTAAAATTAGAGAACTGGCAGAAAGCCTTCCTAAGAAATAGAAGAGAATGAAAAGATGGTTAAAAGATTGTGAAATATTGGCATACGCTGATGAAGTTGTTTATTACACTAGAAAGGAAGTTGCAATGTATTGCGCGAAAATCTTTATTGAGTGTGCGACTGGTTTTGACCTTAAGGTTAATATTAGAAAGACAAAATACCTTGCAAATAACACTAACTAATCCCTTGAAGAACTGTAAATTGAGAAAGCAAAAAATTGTAGATACCTTGGTGCATGGTAACTTACCCCACCAGCTGATAAAGACAAGGAAAATTATTATTCAAAAATCTTCTCAGCTTAGAATAATGAGAAGAGTTGTACTTATTAGGATCCTAACTAAATTGCGGACTTTATCTATCCTACTTCATGAAGAACTGGCAACTCATTAAGATTAACTCTTTTAGAAGAGTAATGGGGCTGAAAAAGAGTTTCCCAAAACAATGGTTGATGGAATAATGTAGAGACTTGAATATGATCTGAAAGAAAATGGATACATTAAGAGATAACTTAGAATTGCTTTGTTCAGAAAACATTTGTATAACTATGCTCCAGAGGGTTTTATGTGGTATCAAGCCTCATAACCTACCAATTTTTTCTGGAATTAGTTTTCAAATTAGGATACAAAGCTATTTGATTTGGAAGATGACAGAGCTGATGAATTGATAATTTGTTAAGAAGATTCCATGAAGAGAATGGAGATTACGATATTGGACTCTTCTTGCTGCGAAAGGAATTTGGCTTAATGGAGATCATGGAAAAATATTTCTTATAGTGATGATAAGTCTATCCGTTTATGGAATGTAAAGGCAGAATAATAAATTAATTCTTCACTCAATGCAGATGACTAAAATTTAGGTTAAAAAAGAGAGATATCATTGAAAAAGAAGTGATTTCTAATAAATTAAAATGGCTCTCTATCTTGTTCTGTTTGT